TCAATGAAAATTCTATTTGTATTGGGGGGGGGGGGGTTGGATGGCTGAATGGTTAGCACGTGCGCGCTGTATCATAAAGTCTGTCATTGAGTCAACTGGCAGGGTTTCGATTCCCCGGTTGTACGTGACAAGGAGTAGGGTCGCCTGTCCTTCCTCGTGGGTTTTCTCCGGGTCCTCCGGTTTCCTCCCACTGCTAAAGACCCCTACGTGCAAGCGAATTGTTGAAATAAAATTAAACCATATGACCTAGTTTGTGTCGAGGGGACATTAAACCCCATTTCTCTCTCTCTCTATATGTATTGTATAAGTCAACAAAAAAATCACTGATCATCTGGACGGTTGGATGATGTGCCATAAAACTCCATTTCATTAATTCATTCATTCTGGATGGTTGGATGATGATTCATTCATTCATTCTGGGTGATCACGTGGCTAAGTGGGTAAGACACTGGCTCGCTAGCCTGGAGGTCGGGTGTTCGATCCCTGCATTTGCCGAGAAAGTTCATCCCGATTTTCCGGCGTGGTTTCCCCTTGTCAGTGATGCAGGAAGGAGGGCCTGACAAGGACAGCTGTTTAGTCGTTCGGATGGGACAAAAAACCGAGGTCCCGTGTACACATTGGCGTGCACGTAAAAGATCCCTTGGCAGTTGGAATTCGATATAAGAGTAGGCCTTAGCGCCACGGGGGGTTGGGTGGACTAACACATGGTTTAATTTTATTTCAGTAATTCGCTTGCGCGTAGGGGTCTTTAGCAGTTGGAGGAAACCGGAGGACCCGGAGAAAACCCACGAGGTTGGACAGGGGACCCTACTCCTTGCCACGTACAACTGGGGATTCGAAACCACGCCAGTTGACTCAATGACAGACTTTATGGTACAGCACGCACATGCTAACCATTCGGCCATCCACTCCCCTATTCTTTCTGGAGGATAGTGAACATTCTGACTGGATAAAATTCAGTTCTTTAATAGTCATTGACTGAGGTCACTTTTCCTGTTAGTGTTAAATTTACACAAACAATGGGAAATGGGCTTGTGAATTAGTGACAACTAACAATACATCCGATAATTTTATTTGAATAATTTTAAACCTCTTTATCTATTTTAGGTTTACCAGAGGATGGATGTAAAAAGTCCCGATCTTATCTGATGTTGCAGAAAATGGCTCCATCATTATCAGAAGAACAAGAGGAAGAAGGAGAAAATCCAGAGGAAGCAGGCCTTGGGGAACCAGGTTCCCAAACATCACGCTCTGAAAGATCAGAACATTCGCAATTATCTTACAAAGCAATGCCCCCTCAGGCAGACCCATTACCACCAGGTCTTGGGTTGAAACGTGAAGCTCCAATGGTCAATGCTGAAAAACCCTCAGCTAACTCCACCCAATCAGCAAGACGAGCAGATAGTCAATCCAATGTACGTCCTCCTTCTGAAACCAGCCAAAAGTCTAACACCAGTCGGAGATCTCTTGCAAGTCAACGGTCAACTACGAGTCAGAAATCTCAAAGAGTTTCAAAAACTTCTTTAAAAAGTGACACTGGATCTCGAGGTGGTGATCGTGGAAGTGAAATGACAGATTCTCCAACAAAAAATGTCAACAACAATAACGAAACAAAAACACCTGTAAATCTACCAAGAAAAAGTTCCCAGTCCAGCAGAGGCTCTCAGGGTGAAGACCGGGTAGATGGTGGAAGGACATCTGAAAGTCGCAGAAAATCCAAAACAAGTATTCAGCAGGATGTTCCTTTTAATGAACAGAAGCGAAAAGATTCCAGAGTATCTCGAGGTTCTGATGAAGGAAGTAGAAAATCTTCTAAAGATAGTCTGCCACGTCCATCTAAAGATCAGAGTGAAGTTCCTTTAGAGCTTCCTCGGGGTAAGGAACCTGATCGTGAACAACTAGAACGGCAGCCAGTTGATCAACGTGGAATGGAGAAAGTTTTTTCCACAGAAAGTGTGGATCAAGCAGGACAACCGTCCCATGATCAGCCATCCGTCCAATACCTTGGTCAAGAATTACAGGGAGGTAACTCTGGACCTAGTTCTGGTAGTCAATTATCTGTTGAAGAAACTGCTTCAGGTACAACATCATATACCAGTACCCCAGGTAGTGAGGAGGAGACCGAAGATGACGAAGAGGAATACGACAGTAGGTCAGAGGTCACACAAACCCCATCAGATCGTGGACGTGGTAGAAAAGACCACAACCCCATGTATTAATTGAAATAGTGATGTTGTTTGTTAGATCACAAAAGTCTATAACAATTTGCCATTTGTGTTTAATTAATACCTGAAGCTTCTCAAAGATGAATTAAGAATAGTTTGATGTCAACAGATTTCTTCTACTGAGTGATTCATTTCATTTCATTTCATAGTTCAGCATCATCCTCTAAGATACCAATCAGTATGTTTGTAAATAATAATAGTAAATTTGGACCATGTAAACATATTATATTGGGAGAATTCATTAAATAATTATATTTACATTTCTTTTACCTCTCAAAACAAGCTAATGTGAAGTTAAATGTAGTTTCTAGAAAACAAGCGATCAGTCTTGAGAATCTGATTGTAATCAATCTAATTAAAATAAGCTGTTTATTTCATACAGTCTTGAGTATTTTTGCGGTACATATAAAAGAAATGAAAGGACATTTCTATATTAATTAAACTGGGAATTATGGAGAGAAATCCACAGATTCAATTTGCTGAATACTGATATTAAGATAAAATTGATACAACACAAATACCCTGATTAACCTGCATCAGTGAAATAGTATGTAAGAACCTATCAGAGAGTGTAATGTTAATTAATAAACTGTGAATTAGGCACCAAGAAAATATACTATTCATTGATTACAGAAAAGATAAAATTGTAAAGCTTAAATAGTTTGAATAACCTGTAATTTCAACTAAACTGTTAATCAAGCACCGAGAAACACCCCCAAAAAGATATTACTTATTGAATACTGAAAAGGAAAAATTGTAAACCACAAATAGCTTGAATAACCTGCACTTGTGAATTTAGTATATAATAAGGTACAAGTTTTAGACTGCTACTATTTGTTTCGGTTGTTTTTTTTTATATTATAATGCCAACCAGGAATTATCACATTCTATCCCCTATTCCTTCTATAGTTCAAAGAATTGTGTACCGGGACCTTCATTTTAAATTTTGGATACATATTTTCAGAAACTTGTCTCAGGTTTTCAGCATTATGTAGCTTATTTCCATTTCAGGTTTTAAAATCCCAAGAAATCTTTGATATCACAGCATTAAGTACCTAAAACTCAAATCATTTTTACCAAAATCTATTATTTTAAGAATGCTAAATCACAGTGTTACCTAAAGATTGACTCCAAGTTACAATGCGATTTTAACACGTCTTAGGTACTCTTCCTTATTTCCAGATTTCACCCCATGGTCTCCATATCCCATGTTCATCATTCCATCCAATATTCCCAGCCATGCACTTGCTCCAAACTTCCATATTCAGCATTATGTCCAGTTTTATGTATTTAAATGATCTAAGTAATATGATTATGCTCTTTATTTCCAGATTTTCCAGTCCTAAGCCCCCCTCCCCCAGCCCAGCCCAATATTCCATGTTCAGCATTCTGCCCAATATTCCCAGCCATGCACTCCTCCCTGTTATCCCTTGCTCATCATTCCGTCCAGTGTTCTGAGCCTTTCTCTGGTTCCAAACCGCTCTCCAAATCCCATGCTCATCATTCCGTCCAATATTCCGAGCCTTGCTCTGGTTTCAAACTTCCGTATTCAGCATTATTTTCATTGTTATATATTTTTATTGGTTTTATTATTATTGACCTGTGATATAATTTATATCTTAATCATTTGTTTGTTGATTGTTTTTATCTTTAAATTGTAATGTAGAATTATTTGTTTGTGAATAAAATCATTTTGTAATTTTTACTATGAAGTATTAATTAATCACTTAATCCCCACTGTAAAGATGTTTGAAAAATGAACAATTGTTTTAGAGACAAAGTTATATGGGACAGAGATCATAGGCTTACCGGACCCATATGATACGAGCGTTTGGGACTCTTATGATTAAAGCTTATAGACTTACAGTCCCCTTATGATTAGAGCTCAAAGGCTTACCTTCCCTACATGAGATATAGGCGTGCGGGACATAGAGACATAGACTGAATAGCATTATTCAGTCTAGTGATAATTGAGGCTAGCTAATAGAGTATTACTCAATCCATAAAGGGAGGCTAACTTTGCTTTACTCCATCCAGCGATAAGGGAGGCTAATACAGCTTGGCCGGTAATAAAGGAGGCTAACATGGCATCACTCAATAAGTGACACGGGAGGCTAAAATAGCATTACTCAACCCTGTGATAAGGAAGGCTAACAAAGCATTACTTAATCCAGTGGTAAGGGAGGTTAATGTAATAATATTTCCTGGCGTTTAACTATCCGGGCCCCAAGCCCCCCCCCCCCCCCAAAAAAAAAAAATAATACGCTCAAAACCAACCCGTACATTTAACACGCGATCCTCATCAGAATCTTTCTATTATTACGGACGGTTTTGAAATACCCATCTGTCTATTGGTGCTTCCACAATAATGATTTCGCAGATAAACCGGTATAACATTTACCGTTCAATAACACAGCTATAATCAGCATACAGTACAACTGCTATCCTACATGTATTTGGGAGTTAACTTCTTGCGGACGGAGCTTCGGAGGGAGGAGTGGCGAATAGTCTAACGCGTCGCTTTAGATCATAAGATCTACCATGGATTTAAGCGGCCTGGTTTCAATGACACACTTGTGCGTGACACACAAAGAGTAGAGTCTATAGCTTAAACCTCGTGGGTTTTCTCCGAGTCCCGTTTTCCTTCCAATGCTAAATACCTCTTATGCACAAGAGAATTATTGAAATAAAGTTGTGCCATGTTATATTAGTCCAAAAATAACTCAGTTTGTGTTGAGTGGGAGTTAAACCCAAATTCTCTCTTTCTCGTTTTGAATGTTATTTATTAGTTGAAGAGTAACACACTAATTATATAGGTTGTTGTTGTTTATTTATTACAATATTGACATCCACTACACTATTTTAGATATTATGGACAGATTGATTTTAATTAAGATTGCTAACATATGAAGGGGGTGGGGGGTGGATGGCTGAATGGTTAGCGTGCGCGCGCGCTGTATCAGAAAGTCTGTCATTGAGTCGACTGGCGTGGTTTCGAATCCCCGGTTGTACGTGGCAAGGAGTAGGGTCGCCTGTCCAACCTGGGTTTTCTCCGGGTCCTCCGGTTTCCTCCCACTGCTAAAGACCCCTACGCGCAAGCGAATTATGTAAATAAAATTAAACCATATGTTAGTCCGTATGTGTAAAAACGTCACCTTAAAACACGGTATTGTGAGAAAAGTGGCCCGGATCATCTTCTTCTAGGGCTTTATGGTCGCTTGCACCTAGGGTGATATCGCAGATAACCATTATCTTCTCCCAGTCAGTGGGGCTTAACGCGCGCTTCCACCTAGGGTGATATCGCACACAAGTGTTTCCTGGGAAACTTGTGAGAGTGGAGGTTCGTCTCGCATAGGTTGGAGATGGGTAAACGATTTAGAGTCCTAATCGCTTCCATTTTCTTAGTTGAAGGCACAAGTGAGTAGAGAGAATCTTCTCCCTTCTACTAGTTTTTAACGTCTGCTTCCATCGATTATGATATTGCAGACAAGTTATCTAAATATGATTAATAGAAACAAGGCTTAATGGTCCGATTGTATACTCATAGGCTAGATCCCATTTTGTGTCCTCTGATCGGAATGCTTTCCATAATTTTTTCTGGTATTCTTCACGTATTGGTCGTTGTTAGGGACTTCACGTGCTCAACGATTGGTTGCAGATTGGTTTTCTGTTGATAGGGGTTGGTGTTCTATGGTTCTTGTGTCTAAAGCTCTATTGGTTTCCCCTGTACATTGGTCATTGCCGGAACAAATCAACTTATATATACAACCTGTTAATGGTGAACGATTTGATGTAGGATTCTCCCAGTTAGCTTTTAGTTATTGTTTGATGGTGGATCCTGTGGTGGAATTAGCGCCTATCCCTGCTCTAGGGAATATCCTCCTTGTTTCGTATGACAAAGAGTCTATAACGCTATCAGTGGGTAGCTAGGAACGTGGTCGTCAACGAAAGGGTATCTATATATGACTGCAATACGTTGTGTTTGTTGATTAAGACATATAATATACATAGGAAATGTTCTCAGTTCTAACTATATGTAATGCATGCTATGCTTTGTGATGCCAAATTACCCCTACCAGATTTAAAACTTGAAATATTAAAAGCAAAGCAATGTGAACTGAACTACCAAATTAGTATGCAAGATATATTTATAGATGACGAATTATTTCATAATGTTTATTTTCGAAATTGTTCCCTTGACTGTGAAAGTATCATTGCTTATAAATGATTTCATTTCATCACATTGACAAACCTTTTGCCAGTCGAATACTGTGGCCAAAGGTTCACGTGTCAGTGGAAGGGTTTTAGATACTATGTTGCTTGTGGCATTATTACTTATTAGTTCCATGGTAACCACAGTGTTAGTTGGCTGGGCTTTGGCTCCACATAGTACCATGCCAACATCTACATAGTCAATAGAATATGTCACATTTAGCTGGTTTATCGTGTACTTTTTTCGCGAGGCTCGGATATACCACAACTCATCTTCAACCCCATACACGGGACTATACCTGGCAATATGATTTGTTTGGCTATAATATTTAAATGTATTGGTAATGGCCGCTTGCCCAACTATTTCTAAATTCCCTATCATACTGTTAAGAGTTGCAGTGTCCATGTTTCCAGTGTTGAATGTGCTGTAGACGTCATATATCATGGTTAATTTATGTGCCTCATTGTCCTCTTGTTGGCATCTAATACTTGGCAGCAGATCTAATACGCCATACATTGAATCACCTTTCAAAATGACATTTATATTGTACATGGACTCCTTCAGTTGGTCAATAAAATTATTTGTCGATTCCACAACCCTCTTCATCTTGTGTTCCTCTTTTTGCAGTGCTCTTTGCATACGTAGTTTAAATTCGCGACCCTTTGTTGTGACAGCCTCACATATAGCTTTTACTTGCTGGTCAATCTTTGCAGAAGATGTGACAGCAGACGCATTCATATCGAATATCTTCTTGTTGGTATCATCAACATATTTCTCCAGTTCTGCTATTTTCTGTTGAAATTGTGTTTTCAAATTTTCCATTTCTATCCTTACTTCATTTCCGTACGCGTTCATTTCCATTGTGTCGTGACCTTTGTGATCTGATATTTGACATTCATTACAAATAGTCTGACAACAATCTTTACAATAAAATTCCAACTTCTCCAGTGTATGGTGATTACAAATTGATGGGTGTCGTTTAGTCGTATTTCTGCTATGAGCTAGATCTGAGACATGATGATCCGAGAAAAAAGAATCGTGTGGGGTTTTACAGGACAAACAAAAACATTTCTTACAGTCCAAGCAATTGAACTTTGATTCGACCTTTCTCTTACATACGTCACATTTCGTCGTTGTGCGTTTAATGGATTCAATTTCCGTGGTGGAAGAAAGGTTTTTAATGCCACCAACCGGAATAGTGACATCCTGGCGACATAACGGACACGGGAACCTGTTATCTTTACCAACTTTAGTAATATAATCCTCCAAACATTTCAAACAAAATCCATGTCCACATTCAATAGTTTTAGGTTCTGTGAAGTCGTTTAAACATATACTACAGTTTATCTTATCCGTCTGTTCCGCCATGTTCTTTTAATACCAGGGCTAATATCTGAAATATAATAAACAAAAGTATATCGGACGTTGTAGATAATACTAGCACACCCACCTCGTACACGATGTACATTACCCTATACATAGCGTGTGTTGCAGACTTTAAAGCGTTCAAAAACTTGCCGTGTACGCCAATGTGTATACGGGACCTCGTTGTTTTGTCCCATCCGAAGGACTAGAGAGCTGCTGTCCTTGTCAGACCCTCCGTCCTGCATCACTGACAATGGGGAACCACGACAGAAATCTGGATGAACTTTCTCGGCCAATGCAGGGACCGAACAGACGACCTCTAGGCTAGCGAGCCAGTATCTTACCCACTTAGCCACCGTGACCCCCTCTACAAAATCAATGCTTCACACCATAAAATTCAAAAGAATCTGGAATTCATTCTAGCCTGCAGGGTGGACACGAGTTGGTACACATGTTTAAAGTAAATTTATCTGATCTTCGTCAAATTCGATTGGGGCCATCTTCATAATGATATTAAAGGAGCATTATAGGTAAGATTAGAAAAAGACCTGAGAGTTCTCGCTATAATAGTTAAATATAGATAATGAAAAGAGAATATGATGAAAATATCAGTCAAATTGCTTCACTCTGAACCTATATATTAGCGATTCCATTTTAGGATAGCCTCGAATGCCATTACTACCGTTGTTACGATAAAGGACAAAGTCTCGATTATCAATTTTTACGGTTATTTTATCCGCAACAAAACGATGGCATGGAGAGTTGATTATGGTCTGGATTAATAATTTAGATAACATTTCAGGCCTAAAGAAAGACATGCAAATAGGCAGATTTTGCTCTTGCATATGCATGTTTAACCAACACCAAAGAAATGTAGGTAAGCACGAGTCAGGGAAAAGGTTGATCAAAACATACGCCCATATACTACTCCTGCGCGTTTTAAAAGGGGGGATATTTATTTCAGCTACCTTAGTTCAGGTTATAAAATTATTCGACATAAATTACTTGTGCACGATAGATCATTCAGGTACAGTTGAAATATGATAGGTACGGCGAAATTACGTAACGGCGAAATTAGTACACGAGAAAGTGCATGCTTGCTCTGTTCACATAATGGCCATTGCAAAGAATCAAAACCGGATGAGAATTAAGTTTCGTTTGATTTTTTTTATGGAATTAGCAGGATTGGTTTTATATAGACTAAGCCTGTTCCATAATCCCATTGAAATGTCCCGAAATAAATATTATTTATCACATATAAATTAGTTATATTTGCTTTAAAGAAGGTGTTTAGATTCAAATGTCGGTATTCGTATAAAGTGGATCAGATGGGTTGGGTTAATATATGACTCGGGGTTGACAGAAATGACACCGGTGCAACACGGTTTTGACCGAAAGTATGTCGGATTACGAATTAGTTTTACTTATGCTACGAGGGAAATGTTAACCGTTCAGCGACCGTCCATGCCAACAATAATATCAAATAATTTATTACACCAAACAAAGCTTTTTAATTATGAAATAAAAGTAGTGGGGATAATATAAACGAAACCACTGCGCTAACTCATGCAAATAAAATCATAGATTGCATATTTATCATAGTCTGTTATATATGTTGTAGACCGACCTACATTTGAACATCTATTCAATATGTATCTCCCACGTATATAAATATAATACAAAGCTTGCATATGAATCCTTAAAAGTAGGACACGCTTATAGGCTACATACCTTAATTTGCAGTTGTGTCGAGTCGTTAAGTTTTTCTTCTCTGTAGAAGTAATAAAATATAATAATATTTATATCATATATTTTAAACAGGTCTGTTATTAGTGATAATATCCTATCGATTGGTCTATATAGCCGTAGTTAGCTTTTTCCTAGAAAACTTCGATCAATAGGCGTGTCAATCTAGTCATTTCTAAGAATGACTAGATTTAGATCAGCTACAGGTCTACGGCTTTATTCATACAAGTGTAAACGAAACTATTTTAGGAGTGCGACATTTTCATTGGCAAAGGGCTAAAAGCAGGGCCTGTTAGTAAGGAGGGACAGGGAAAGGGTTTAAATAAGCTCCCCTTGTTTTTTTTAAAGTATAAATAATGTGAATAACACCGAAAGAGCCAGAAGGCTTAAACATAGGCGTACGGACTCGATGACAGTTAGGGGGGTAGAACCCGAAATGCCCGAAAAAATTTCGGGTTTACAGAGAGCGCCAGTCTTCCTTTACAGGCGAAGAGAGCGGAGCTTACCTTGCCCCCCACCCCCCACCCTCAAAAGAAAATTTTGGAATATTTGACGGCTGCAAACGCGTTTTCCTGCTATTTCAGCCCGTGAACAAAGTAACTTCAAAGTGGTCTAATATAGCCTTATTAAGGTGGCTGACTCGAATTCCAATCAATCGTTTACAGTCCACGAAGACGGGACCGTTCAATCTGTTTTACAGACCTAATGCGACATCCAAGCGAATATTCACTGCGGATCAGTGTGGGGACCGTTGGGGGAAATTTTGAAATTTTAACTGCCGCAAACGCGTTTTCCTGCTATTCCAGCCTGTGAATACAGCAACTTCAATTTGGTCCAATATAGCCCAGTTGGCTGACCGGAATTCCAAACAACCAATCAATCGTCGCTGGGTTCGGGGTTATACCCTTCCGGAGAAAAATTTTGAAAATTTAACCACCGCAAATGCGTTTACTGCTATTCTAGCCTGTGTAAACTCCAAAAGTATCCAAAATCCCACTCTGAATCCCAACCATCCAATCAGACTGTTGCAGCTGCATTCACAAATAATAATCGATGCCCGAAAAATGTCGCACAAGGTAGATTAGCTCCAGACAATATGTTTTAATCCATAGTCAACTCAGTACAAATTCGTGGTATTCAATTAAAAGAAAAGTAAAATTAGTGTTATATTAGGGCTCGATAACAGTAAGGGAAGCAAAATTAAAAATGCCCGAAAAGATTTCGGGTTTACAGACAGCGGGGCCGGTTTTCTTCAAGAGGTGAAGAAGCGGAACTGACCTTGTATGGACCCCCCAAGAAAATTTTGGAATATTTGACAGCCGCAAACGCGTTTTCCTGCTATTCCAGCCCGTAAAATTAGTGTTTTATTAGATTTTGGGCACTTTATTTTGTCAAGTAGATGAAATAATTTTTTTTTTTTCACTTTACCCGTCTGCCCGAAAAGTCAGCTTGCCCGAAAGTTAGGGGGGCAGCTGCCCCCCCCCCCCCTGCCCCCCCGGGCTCGTACGCCTATGGGCTTAAATACAATAAAGATGACAGGAAAAAAGTATAAATCTCGTGTACGGTGATGCCAATTTCAAAGCTACTTGGGGAAGGGCCCTTTGAAAGGCTTGCTACGGCGGCCTGTGCTGTATTCCGACTTTGCTTTAACCACACAGGACAAACGCCTTCCGATGACGGAGGATGGTTTAAAAAATTATAGTAGGTACCTATGTAAGAATGACATGACAATGTAAGAATGACATGATAATGTAAGTATGGCATGACAATATCACAATAGCATGAAAATGTAAGAATGGCTTGAAAGTGTAAGGTAACATGGTAATGTAATAATAGCATGGCAATAGAGAGAGAAAGAGAAATGGGGTTTAATGTCCACTCGACACAAACTAGGTCATTTCGGGACTAATATGGTTTAATTTTATTTACATAATTCACTTGCGCGTAGGGGTCTTTAGCAGTGGGAAGAAAACCGGAGGACCCGGAGAAAACCCACGAGGTTGGACAGGCGACCCCACTCCTCGTCACGTACAACCGGGGATTCACGTGGCAATAGAACAATGACATGACATTATAAGAATGACACGAAAATGTAAGAATATCATGCCAATGTAAGAATTACACGACTATGTAAGAATAGCATGAGAATGCAAGAATGACATAACACTATAGGGTTGCATGGCAATTCAAGAACGGCATGATAATGTAAGAATTCCATGTCAGTGTAAAAATATCATGACATTTTTCACAACAGATTGGACAAATTTACCACTACTGAAACCGAAACTACCAGTTTTGAATTTCGTTTCCAAGAATCGAACGGGTTTTGTCAACAAAAAAAAATTGTTTTTCATGATTTCTTTTTCGATACATTACATTTATCTTTAGAGTGTTTTAGCACCGTACGTTTACTTTGGAATGTCTAAAAAAAATCTTGCATAACAGGACTAAAACACCTCGAAACCTGTTTCAAAAATACGTAAAAAATGTCAAATCAAAATCTCTTCGATTTAGTTTCATAACGATTTCTGTAAATAATGAAACTAGTTGTTCGAAAAGCATTTGAATAGTTTCATAGTTTTAGCGAAAAAAACAGAAAAATTGACCTTTTAACCTCCGGGGTCATAAAGAACAAAATGAATTTAAGTTGATATTTTTATTGAAACAGTGAATAGTTTCGATCATTTTCAACATGTTTGCATGATACAAGAATGGCTGCGCATTCACTTTCGGTGTAAATGACCTCATTTGACCTTTGACCCCGAATATCTCGAAAAAGTCCCAACGACGGACAGATTACCACTTGGCGTCATATTCTACGCAAAATTTTACTATCGAGAAGTTGGGTCCGGACCCAACCGCCCGGCACTGAGCCTACGGTCTAAATACCTGAGTGTAGTAACAAATATCTCTTCTCGTTTAGCCGAGTTCGGTCGGCGGTAGCAACCTTCATAGATGTATAAACCAAGACCACTATTTATATTTTTTGTCAATTTCGATAAAATCTTGTTTGCCGTAAAAATATTTGTTCTCTACCGTCATATTGAGTTTAAACAATTTGAAATTAAAATATGAACACAAAAGATGTTTCACTTTGTTCCACGTGGCGTCAGCAACTGTCTTAAAGCGGAAATTTCATATTTTCATATTTTTGCTCAATAGGTTATCAACTCACTATTATACGACCATGGGCATTATTTCCCACCCTTAAAAATCATTGACACAGGAAATAATAACACAATTACCTCCCTTGTTTTCATATTGCCTCCATGCATTAGCTACCTTCAAACGTTGGAATTGATATTTTTGCCAATTTCTCAGCTGGCAATAGTGAATTATAGGATTAATAGGATTATTCTTTAACAAGGTGGGACAGTTTATGGATACCATCTATTTTAAGGCTAATAAATTTTAAAAATATAACTAAAAAATATGAAATTGTAGCTTTAACTAGATTGTCCATGATTATTACATGTGGGTTTTAACAGTTTTATTTGTTATTGCCACGCAAATACGCCCACACATCAGCATGCCTCAATTAAAACAGCTTATCCAAAAGGAAAACTTCGATATTGACCATATTTGATAATGATTCGGAGCCCGTCAAGTAATTTAATCTCTATCGTGTTTACAAGATTTTATGGACACACAATGTATCTCTGAAATGTATTGCTGAAAATCAACAGGGTCCATCCTAGCCGATTCCAATCTTCACACCAAATTTGAAAATCAATAGGGTTAATCTTCGCTCAGTAGGGTTAAGCTTTTTCACAGTCCGAATGCTTCACATCAACATTTGAAGAAAAAACAATCTAACAAAAATTGTAGTCTCTGACATAATACAAAGTTGTTTTTAGAAACAGAAAGGAATGCTGTCTCGAAATTTCACGCGAACGATACCAATTGGTTACATGCGGTCACGCCAGCTCAGACCCGCGCGACCGATTTCCTAGTTACGCAAATTGAAATATCGGTTACGTTAACAAATTTCATTAACAAATTTATTCGCATTTGATCAATTTTTATATAGGATGACTTTGTGACACAGGTCTAAATTATTAGTATTATAGCACAAACTTCATTCATTCATTCTTGGCATTTCATTTCCCATCTTACCAGTACATTGACAGATCACGTATTGACCAAGCAAGCAGGTTGATTTAAAAATGCCCCCCTTCTCCTAATTCTTTAAATGATTAATTATGCCATAAATATTTGAAAGCGCACCTTTGGATTTTCAAATACAAAATGTGTTTGACTATATATTTAACATGTCATCTATATTTCCAAAGAATTTACTACACGTGTTCTTTCACTATAGCCATATGCTGTACGGTAGTACCAATGACCCGTCGTCAACTTTGACCCCCGCCGGCATGAGCGATAATGTAAACGATTTTACTGTCCTGTCTATTTTAATATTACTTCATCACATCAAACTATTCTGTTTCCTTTTGAGACTTTGTTTATAGAGTGCCGAGGTTAATAAATACCGTCTCATGCTACGTGCTTGGAAGAATGATTACAAATGACAAATGCAATATGAAGTATGTATGTGGTCTTCAGTGGCCGAAAACAACGTGGTAGCTACCATTCCTGGTTTTTGAAGATCAGATATGACATAAGAACGAAAATCCATTAGTAATTTTTGGAACCGATTCACCTCTGCAACCGAACCGTGACCAGTTAACTGAATAGATGTTTACGTACATCAGGGATCTTAATCGGCCGCTTGATGTTTGAAAATAGCCGATTGATAAAAGAATTATTAAAGTATAGGGATTTAGTGAAGTGGAACAATTTTTAAATGGGGACACCGTTGGATTAAAGTCATAAACAGTTAACCTCAAAATATAACTTTAAATATAAAAAAATATAAATTAGGTTATTTCTTTTAAAAAAATACATTCACCGCAAGTGGAAATGAATAGTAGCACCATTTAAATCTGGATAAAACATGAAAATTGCGCAACCATTTTATATAACCAATTGGTTACGCAATGGTCATTTTTCTGGTTACGCCAAAGTTTGAAATTTCGTGGCCTGGGAATGGAAAGTCGCAGACTGTGAATATCGATAGGGTTGGTCTTCTCAGGACCACAAATGCTCCTTACAAAATATGAAAAACATCTGTTAACGAATGAAGCATGGTTAAGGGATAATGAAAATGGACATACGCCATATGATGGACACTTTACCCGTACGTGGATTGAATGCGAATTGTCAAGGGTTCTTTCATCCCAAACTTAGGCTGCCTGTCTACAGCTAGCTCCGCCTGAAAACAGGCCCTAAGCTAATTAACCGACATTTTAATTCCTACATCGACGATTTTAGTCGAAAACACTGAGTATGCTTTTAGTAATTTTTAGAAGTATTTATTTCTCTTCTATTGTCATATTGAATGAAATTAAATATGTTTATTTAGCCGCTGTGTGTATGAAAGATGTCAAACTAATCTAAGCCGAATCACAAAATAGTCCTCTAATTATTCAATATGGCGGCGCGCATGAAAGATAATTTCATAGAGGCGGTTTTGTTTGCGAAGACAAATTTAGGAGTATCTAACCTTGTTTTGAAAGATAAACAGATTGAAACTCTAAAGACAGTTTACAATGGCAAAGAATGTATTGCAATGTTACCCACTAGCACATAATATTATATATCGCTTTTACCAGAGTGGCAGAAGTTGACATTTTGCCAATGACATGTGTTTACATAAAACACGTGCTTGATCGGGTTATTTTTTACTCTGTTGTGTACACAAAGCTGAAGTTAAGTCGATAAGTCCAGCCCCAAAATGATCACGTGAGCATTTTAAATGGAGGCCAACTAGGGCAGTGATCATAATCTCGAAGTATGACGTAGATGGATCGCTGCGTGCAGTTTGGGGTTCTTTTTCCATGTACACCAACGTGTGCACAGGATCTCGATTGTTCGTCCAATCCGAATGACTAGGCGCTGTCCTAGCCAAGCGCTCTGCTCTGCAACACTTAGAGAAGAGGACACTAGTGTTGAACATTTGTTGGCATATAAGTAAAAGACCCCATCAGATTTGGAATTAAATGAAGGGTGAGTGGAATTACCGCACCGGTTGGTGTAGACGAATAGGAGTTAAACCCAGTTTCATTTTAGTAAAGAACGGATGGCTATATTCTTAAATTATCGTCAGTGTCAAAAAGACTACCCAACACATAAGCACCACAAACTAGAAACCCAGAGACAAACGCGCGGCTTAAATTATCGTCAGTGACGAAGGACTATCCCACACATAACAACAACAAACTAGAAACCCGGAACTGTGATAAATGGGTGTGACAATACACTAACAGAGAAATAAACGAAGGAAACTGTAGTTAGAAGGATACCTTTAATATCGTTGAGTAAGCTAAAAACGCAGTCGACATTCTGAAATGTGTTCAATTTAAAAAAATTCAATTGTACTGTTATTTCGCAGTGAATGCACAACTTAATAACATCGCGCTCAAGTGCTGCTAAAATAGTTCTTTTTTCTAAAAAAATACGTTCTCTGATAAATTCTTCTAAACCGAATAAGTTAAATATACGAAGTTAGCAACTAGTTTTAACGAGTTAGTATTTGGTTTGAACGAGTTAGTATCTGGTTTGGCCGAGTTATTATCTCGTTTGGCCGAGTTAGTATATCGTTTGGACGAGTTAGTATCCCGTATGAACAAGTTAGTATCTCGTTTAACCGGCATAACGCCAGAATCTCAGAAGAGAAACAAAAAAAAAACCCACAGCGGCTGCCAGGCAGGATACGCCCACATTTTCGAGAGATGGATAGAGAACAAGCTAAAAAGAAAGTGATTTTTCCTATTATCAAGGGTCATAATTCAGGAAATTAAAATTCGATATGCGCAAATATCGAAAGGAACCGAGATATTTGGGTTATAAACTTACATTTCAAGTTTCAACAAAATCAGATAAAAATTGTGACCTCTATAGGGTCCACAACCTTGATATACCATATTTTTACGCCATTTGAGAACAAAGGGCGCCCATTTTGTCTGTCAATTTTGGTCCGATTTTCACGAAATTCGAACTCAGTCATCCTTAGGGTGTAACGGTGATATAATAATACGTTTTTTTTAAATCGGATAAACATTGTGACCTCTATAGGGTCCAAAAGCCAAAATCGCGATTTTTCGTACAATCAGGGGCCATAATTCAGGAAATTACGTTCCGATATGCGCGAATATCGAAAGGAACCTCGATCTTTCGGTTATAAACTTACATTTCAAGTTTCAACAAAATCGGATAAAAATTGTGACCTCTATAGGGTCCACAACCTTGATATACCATATTTTTACGCTATTTGAGAACGAGGGGCGGCCATTTTGTCTGTCAGTTTTGGGCCGATTTTTACGAAATTGTAACTCAGCCGTCCTTAGGGTGTAACGGTGATATAATAATACGGTTTTTAAATCGGATAAAAATTAGGACCTCTATAGTGTCCACAAGCTAAAAAACGCAATTTTTCGTACAATCAGGGGCCATAATTCAGGAATTTACGGTCCGATATGCGCAAATATCTAAAGGAACCGAGATGTTTGGGTTATAAACTTACATTTCAAGTTTCAACACAATCGGATAAAAATTGTGACCTCTATAGGGTCCACAACCTTGATATACCATATTTTTACGCTATTTGAGAACGAACGGCGGCCGTCTGTCAGTTTTGGGCCGATTTTCACGAAATCCGATAAAAGTTATGACCTCTATAGTGTCCACAAGCTAAAAACGCGATTTTTCGTACAATCAGGGGCCATAATTCAGGAAGTTACGTTCCGATATGCGCGAATATAGAAAGGACCCGAGATCTTTGGGTTATAAGCAAGTTTAAACCAAATCGGATAGATAGCTAAAAACGTGATTTTTCGTACAATCAGGGGCCATAATCCATGAAGTTACAGTCCGATACATGCAAATATCGAACGGAACAGAGATCTTAGGGTGATAAACCTATATTTCAAGTTTCATTGAAATCGGATAAAAATTGTGACCTGTAGACTGTTAACAAACAACTGTGGACGGACGGACAGGGGCGACGACAATATACGTCCACATGAAAATCACAGAATGGGCTGTATATGTTATAACAAAGGTTACACTGTTACATATTTTATAGCAATGGTTATACTGAACAATATATTTTATAACAACGGTTATACTAAACTATGAATACACATTTCATAGTGATCATAATATATATCATGTTATACCTGGGCGAGTATACAATTATTATACACGATCTATTTATAGATAACATTATTATGTCTTTATGTCTGTAACAACAATTGTTGCCTGGACAGTGAATTGATCGTTGTTTACAAATCCAGCTGACGACATTTGATTCATATAGTAAGCATTGTTCCAGATGAATTCTGTGGCTAATGACGTGGTTGTGGGTGGCGAGGTATTGACTACCGTTTTCATGACATCGGTGTTGTTGATAAGTTTCAAGGAAACTTTGGTTTTGTCTGATAAGAGATGTTCCCCATAAACCATCACACCCAGGTTTAGATAATAAAACCATAATGATTTTAGATTTCGACTGGCTTTGAAATGCCACAATCTATCTTCTACTTTATAGACAGGACTGAATCCCCAGGCATTCGTTACTTCACTGTGTTTAAAGTTGTGTGTAATCGTCACGTTTCGGGTTATTTCTAGCTTTCCTATCATTTGATCAAGAGTTGAAGTATTTATCTCTCCAAGGTGGAATTCCGTGCTGACGTCATATAAATTGTTTAGTTCATATGCCTCATTTTCTCGCCGTTGGTTTCTAAGGGTTGGCAGCTCATTTAATACGTCATACATTGAATCACCTTTTAAAATAGTGTTAATATTGTGCACGGACTCCTGCAACTGGTCAATGAAATTTTTTGACGATTCAACAATCCTCTTCATCTTTCTTTCTTCCTTTTCGCGCGCGTTTTGAATATACAGTTTAAATTCACTGCCTTTTCTCGTGACAGTCTCACAGATAGTTTTTACTTGTTGATCAATTTTAGCACTGGATGTGGCAACAGACGTGTTTATAGCGGAAATCTTTTTGTTGACATCATCAACATAATTCGTCAGTTCTGCCATCTTTTTTTCAAATTCTGTTTTCAAATTTTCCAATTCTGCCATAGCCTCTTTTCCGTACAGCTTTATTTTTAACGTTTTATGACCTTTGTGATCTGATATCTGACATTCTTTACAAATAGTCTGGCAACAATCTTTACAATAAAACTCCACATTCTCAGTTTTATGACGATTACAAAATGACTGACGTCCCTCGGTCGTTTTTCTATTACGACCTTGTTCTGAAACATGATGATTCGAGAAAAAAGAATCATGTGGGGGTTTACAGGATAAACAAAAACATTTCTTACAGTCCAAGCAATGGAACTTTGATTCGACCTTTCTCTTACATACATCACATTTCGTCGTCGTGCGTTTAATGGATTCAATTTCTTTGGTGGAAGAAAGTGTTTTACTCCCGCCAACTGGAACAATGACCTCCTGACGACATAAAGGACACGGGAACCTGTTATCTTTACCAACTTTACCAAGTCTACTGACATAATCTTCCAAACATTTCATACAGAATCCATGTCCACATTCGATAATTTTAGGTTCTGTAAAGTCGTTTAAACAGATACTACAGTTGATCTTATCCGTCTGTTCCGCCATGTTGTTTAAGTCTGAAAATAAAGAAAACGAACGATAAGGTACAATACCAAACAATACAACAGGGTAAGCATACCCCACCTCACATTCGCCTTTAGAGATAAATCCTGTCCAGACACTGTGAAACTACACAAATTATATACATGTATAGTAAAAAGCACATCGATTGTGTATTATAACCACAAAAAATGACCGCTATTGCAACATAGATATCTTAGTCATTTCAGAAAAAGAAAGTAAGAATCTTAATCAATGCTTTATTGGAAATTTTGTCAGGTGCATTTTTAGTTCTGTGTAAATAATTCTCGATTGTTGCATTGCTCCAAGGTTACGTTCTACATTGGCTTCTGAATTGCAAGTACAGATTATCGAACAACATCGCATGCGCATGATAAGGTGTAGGCTACCTACTGTTTCTAAGTACCTGATCCCTCATATTAGTTTATAGTGGTTTATTGTATTTTTATGGATTTGGTGGGTTTTAGGGTTATAGTACGGCTGTGTCTCATCCCCTATACGTAGTATTGTCACTATACATAGACCTGTCACTTGTAGAAACTGTGGCGCACAGAGAGTCGGGAAGGGACAGATGGGGCGACGGGTCGGGCATCCAATTGAAGAATAAAATTAAAATTAACTAGACTTGTCAAAGTGACAACTTTGATAGGTTTTATGCTACATTACCACACACTTATACATTAATTACAAATATCTAATATAGTAACGTGTATTGTTGACCTTGACTTCATAAAATTGAAAAACAAAGAAAACGTGAGTACGGTACGGCACTTGTAATGTATTGTTTAAAAAGAAACGAACCGCATGTTTTTATTGGTCTATGAGGTCACTTCCAGATAACATTTTCTAGATATTCATTAGGTTTTTGAACTAAATACATTTCATACAGTATCGAGATTAATTCTGTAGAGTGTGTACTTTGTCCTAAAAAGTTTTTTTTTAAAAACAATTCTTTTTGCCATGTTTGGCCTAATTCAGCCATTTGTAACGGATTCTGAAAGTTTTAAACCGAAATCTTCAAAAATTAAAAGTATCAAATTAGGTCATACTCATTCTATTGTACAAAACTTGTAAATTCCGAACATCTACCAATTGGCGAAAACCGCATTTACATTCATTGAAAATAAAAAGTTTCCTTTGATGTCTAACATTGGTATGACATTCATTAGGCTTTTGAACTAAACACCCTTCAAACAGTATAGAGTTTAATTTTGTAGAATATGTACTTTTTCCTAAAATGATTTAAAAACAATAGTTTTTATACTATGAAGTAGTATAAGAAGTGGTTGCCATGCAAGATTCGCCCACATTTTGCAAGAGATGGACAGAGAACAAGCTCAAAAAAAGAAAAGAGTTTGTGAACAATCAGGGGCCATAATCCACGAAGTTACGGTCCGATATGCGTGAATATCTACAAGAAGCTAAATCTTCGGGATATAAACATATTTTAAGTTTCAACAAAATGGAACCGAGATCTTTGGGACATAAACAAATATTTTAAGTTTCATCAAAATCTGATAAAAATCTGATAGAGGGTCCACAAGCTTGGTATTACACACCTTTACACTATTTGCGTACAAGGAACGGCCATTTTGTAGGACAGTTTCGATCCGATTTTTACAAAATTCAAACTCAACCATCCTAATCGGATAAAAATTGTGACCTCTAGAGGGCCCACAAGCTAAAATCGCGATTTTTCGTACAATCAGGGGCCACAATCCAGGAAGTTACTGTCTGTTATGCGCAAATAGAGAAGGAACTTATAGATCTTTGGGGCATAAAGATATAGTTTAAGTTTCATCAAAATCTGATACAAATTGTGACTTCTAGAGGGTTCACAACCTTTGTATCACATACTTTTACACTATTTGCATACAAGCACCGGCCATTTTGTCAGGCAGTTTCGGTCTGATTTTCATAAAATTCGAACTCAACCGTGATACTAACGGTGATGCATTTACACGTTGGTTTTTTTTTAAAATCAGATAAAAAATTGTCACGGTGATATAATCAAACGTTTTTCTTTTAAATCGGATAACAATTGTGACCGCTAGAGGGACCACAAACTAAAAAACGCGATTTTTCGTACAATCAAGGACCATAATTCAGGAAGTTACGATCGGATATGCGCGAATATCTGTGGGCAATAAACATGTATTTTAAGTTTCATCAAAATCGGATAAAAATTGTGACTGAAGGTTCACAACTTTGATACACCATATTTTTACACTATTTGCGCAAGGAGATGTCCATTTTGTCCGGTAATTTTGTTCCGATGTTTACGAAATTTGAACTTAACCGACATTACGATGTAACGTTGATATATTCAAATGTTGTTTTAAATCGGATAATAATTGTGACCTCTAGAGGGACCACAAGCTAACAACGTGATTGTTCGCACAATCAGGGACCATAATCCATAAAGTTACGATCTGTATGCGCCAATATCGAAAGGAACCAAGACCGATGGTTTATGAAAATGCATTTAAATTAGATGAAAATTGTGAACTCTAGAGTGTTCCCATAAAATTTGATTTTTCTTTATAGTCCGATACATGCCAATATCGAAAGAAACCGAGATCGTTGGGAGATACACCTATATTTCAAGTTTCGTCAAAATCGGATAACAATTGTGAATTGTAGAGTGTTCACAAACAAATAATGGACGGGCAGGGGCGACGGCATAATACGTCCACATGAAAATGTGGGCGTATAAAAACTAATAAGCGAAACCAGAGTAGCGAACCCATAAAAAAGAAGTAGTTCAAGTAGCTCTTCCTGAAGATCTGATTTGTGGCAAACCCCCTCCTGCAAAAATTCCTAAAGCCGCCCCTGGTAATATGATGAATGTCACTAAATATTAAATTACACCAATCAAAACTTCATTTCTAATAACAATATCTGAATGACAGAAAGAACACAAAGTTGATTCTGTCAGTCTTAATTTACAAAATAATTTGTGTATCCATATGGAAGTTTTGTGATTTAGAGTTAATTTTTATATGGTGAGCTAATCTTTCCCAATCATTTAATTTCTCCTTCCATTTAGTAATCGATTTAAGTTTTTCGTATTTAACTACATGTAGTATCATAGGATACCATTTCCTTATAAATACTGATAGGTTTCATCCCGTTTCCAGAAGGGTTACTCTGCTTGTCGGACGTGCTCTTCTCCTTCTGTATAACGTTTCTGGTAATAAATAGTTTCAAGGATAATCCCAGTCTTTAGCTATTACCGAAGATGTTCACTTCTACAACAAATACAGGGGATTACAAAAAAAGGAAATACTACAAAATCGCAATCGCTGCACTAACTCGTGCAAATACATGTACAAACATGAATTGCATATTTATCATAGTGTATTGTATATATGTTGTACACTGACCTACAATTGAACATTTATTCATCACATACATATAGATAATACATGTATAAGCTTTTATATCATCGTTTAAACTAAACATCATATGCTACATGTACATACGTTCATACCTTAATTTACACCTGTGTTGAGTCGTTACGTTTTTCTTCTCCGTAGAACTAGAAGTAGTAAAAATATAATAATATGTATATCGTATAATTTATACACGTCTGCTATTAGTGACTGGCTAGTGGAGTAGACTTTATAACCATCGTTATCTATTTCCTAGAAAACTTTAATAGGCGTGTCTATCCCGTCGTTTCTAAGAAATTTGATGAAATGTTTAAAGTGATGGCCTCGTGTGAAAATGGACCTGTGGAAGGCAACGTGCGTGTGTGTGTCGGGGGGGGGGGGGCTTTGGCACACCTCTCGAATCAAACTAAGCGGATTATAAGACTGTCCAATTAGATTCCTGGATCTTTTTTCGAACAAAATTTAATGTCGTGACCGTAATGAGTAGGGGAAATCGTTGTATTAAGTTTTATCATGTGAATCATGTGGGTAACACATGAAAATTCCAGATGCGTTGAATACAATCAAGATGTCTAAATCTGTTTTTGCATGATTTCGAGAACGACATCAACAACGACATCGTTCGTAGTAAGGAAATAAGTCTAAATCTTGTCTACAGCGATGCCATTATCAAAATGTTCTGGGGGAGGAGCCTTTCGGAAATGCTGACCCCGGCGGCCTGTGTTGTAATCCAGCTATGCTTTAACCACAGAGATCATAAAAAAAACTAGAGGACAAACACTTTAAAAAATGCGCAAGCACCCTCCTGCTACCCGAGACAGGAAATATGACAACTTCACGTATCGGTTTTATGGTGCTACCGTAAATAAACACATTAGAATCCAATGTAAGAATGGCATGAAACTATAAGAATGACAATGTAAGAATGACATGACGATGTAGGAATGACACAACCATGTAAGAATGACATGACAATGTAAGAATGACATGAGAATGTAACCATGGCATGCCAATGTAAGAATGAAACGAGAATGTAAGAATGGCATGGGAATGTAAGAATGACATGATAATGCAAGAATGACATGCTAGTGTAAGAATGACACGACAATGTAAGAATGGCATGAAAATGTCAGAGTGACATGATAATGTAAGTATGGCATGACAGTGTAAGAATGACATAGTGATGGCATGGCAGTGTAAGAATGGCATGGCAATGTAAGAATGACATGCCAATTGAAGAATTAAAACATCGATAATTCCGCTGCCCAACAAAACAAAGTAATTAGGAAAATTTCTAATTCTACCGGCATAAACAAATAAAAGCATAATGCCTGCCGAAAGTTATCATCACAGATTGCACAAATGTACAGTCACTGAAAACGAAACTGGCAGTTTTGAATTTCGGTTTCGTTTCTAAGAATCTGTCGGTATTTGTCCAAGAAATATTGTTTTTGACGATTTCATTCTTCGCTCAGTCGAAGACGCTTTTTCAGGTGGTTAAGATGTTCATATACTAGAAACCATAGGCAATTTGTTTTCTGGAGGGAAGATTGAAATTTTGGATGTTTAGTTGGATCAATATTGAACGCTAAAGATGTTTCAAATTGATCCGCGTGCACCCATAGCCTTCTTGGTTGGATTGTCCATGATATTACACGGGTTTTAACAGTTTTATTTGTTACTGCCACGCAAATACGCTCACGCAAAGGCTATGTCTCAACAAAACAGCTTATCCGAAAGGAAAAATTGATTACACGATTTTCCAGACACATCATATATCTCTGGAACCCAAACTCGTAGATCGCTGAAAATCAACTTGCTTAATTCTTTGCTATTCCAATGCTTCATACCAATAGTAATTCTGAAAGCCTTGAAGTCTATAAGAATTATAAACTGAATCTGTGTCAAGAAAAATACTTGTCTGCACAAATCCCTAAGCAGGCAAAGAGAAATGTCACAAAATTAAGGTTAAATCTCTTCTCCACAGGAGCAAATTTATATAAGAGAAAACTATCCAAGCATCCGAATTGCATGTTTTGTACACCCAATATAATTGAAGATTTGTACCATATATTTATTGTGTGTAAGACATATCATGAACTACGAGTTCAATATTTGAGTGACTACATTAACGAAGAGAATGGATTCTATAATTTATTATTAACATGCGATGAAAACCGTTTGTTACAATTATCTACTTTTATAGATAGGGTATGGGTATTAAGAAACAAATTGTTAAAAACCCAGTCCTAAATCCTATTTACTGACCATCTCACCATTTCTATACACCAAGGCTGTTGAAAAGTAATCTACCTGCACGTATCATTTATTATATTGTTATAGTTACATGTTTATATATATATATATATCTATGAATTATTACCAATCCATACCATACCACTGTCTTATCTGACCACTTTATTGTATTATGATTTGGATCTATGGGTCTTTGACCTAAATCCTTAATAAAAATAATAAATAATAATAATAATAATAATAATACCAATAGGGGCAATCTTATCACAGTCCGAATGCTTCACGTCAAATTTGAAAAAAATATGTTAAAAACTGTCGTCTCTCACACATTAACAAGGTTTTCAGAAACACAGAAAGGATATTGGGGGGCGGGGATATGTCCGGAATGGAAGCTCGCAGACGGTTAATCAGACGGTGAATATCGATAAGGTTGGTCTTCTCACGACCCCAAGGTTTCACACGAAATATGAAAAATATTTATGAATGAAGTGGGGCTACTGCATCTACCGAGATACCCGTCTTCATTAGCCAAGTTGGAGCAGAGCAGTATGACGTTAAACCCCATTTCATTTCTACCGGTATAATGAGGACGGACATATATTATTGGAATTTCTTCCGTACAGGAATTGAATTCTGTTAGGTTTTAGTCCCATCCGAACGACTGGGTGCCGCCATGACTAAGCCCTCAGTTCTGCAACACACAGGAAACTGGGTTGGTTTGACTACTCTTCTGTTTGGCGTTCCAGTAACAGAACCCTTCAGATTTTGAAGAGTGGATGGAAACGCCTCACCGTTTGGTGCAGACAAGTAGGGGTTATACCCAATTTCATTTTCATTTTATTGAAGAACGGTTAGCTATATACCTAAATTATCATCAGTGATATAATCCATCGACAGAGGAAAATGTTATTAGTAGGATACCTCTAATAGCGTTGAGTAAGCTACAAACTGTATTTTTGCCGCGCATGTGCAACTTAGTTACATCATGCTCGAGTTCTGCTAAGATAGTTCTATTCCTATAAATGCATCCTTCATCTGTGATAAAATCTTCAAAACCGAATAAGCTCAAAAAATTAATAAAAAAACATTAGAATTTAATAGACTAATTTTTGTTGGATGTTAAAAGCACTTTTTGGTAAAAAATGGGAACTTTACTTTTCTTAATGATTCTGGTGTGCTTAAAACGAATATCCATGTTCCCAAGTCAAAAATTGAGTTGTTGACCTTCTAATTAGCATAAAAACAAATGCGTCTAAATTGACAGATATCTTGCAAACTATTCATTTTAGGGCCTATCAGTTTATTATGGACAAATAGGAAGTTGACCCTAAGGAATCCAAAAGTAACATCTTTATGTCCCTGTGACTATGACATTACACACTATATAACAGGCATGGTGATCGAATTTCATATCTTGCAAACTATTGACTTCGGGGGCTATAAATGTATTATGGGCAGATAAAATGTTGACCCTAGGAAATACAAGAAATGACATTTTAGGCCCCTGTGACGTAACTGGCTGGCATGACGATTAAATTTCAGTGATGAATCAAAACTAGCGAAGTTATAATTGCTATCTTTGTTTACTTTAACATCCATTTTGACCTTCAAAGGGTAAATAATTTTGAGTTTCCTTTATATGTGTTTTGAACAACAGTGATATTGAACTACAAATTTATTATTGATGATGACAGTTGCTTTTCAGTAACTGGATAGAATCATGAATTATAATACATATTTATGGAAAACAGCTACTTATATATTGAAAGAATACTCCTTGAAGCATCTCCCAAATATATCAATAGCTGTTTTCCATTACCATGTGTTATAGTTTATAACATCTAAGTAGAAAACCACAAAATAAACATACATGTATATATATATATATATCTTTTTATAACAACGGTTATACTGAACTATTATATGTTATAACAACGGTGTTAGAGAACTATATGTGTTATAACAAGGGTTATACTGAATTATATATGTTGTAAAAACAGCTATACTGAACTATATCTGTTGAAACAGCAGTTATACTGAATTATATCTGGTATAACAAGGGTTATACTGAATCATGTATGTTACAACAAGGGTTATACTGAACTATATATGTTAAAACAAGGGTTATAACAGCGGTAAGACTGAACTATCTATGTTATAACAGTGGTAAGACTGGAGTCTCTATGTTATAATAACGGTTATACTGAACTACATGTATATATGATATAACAACGGTTATATTGAACTATGTTATAACAACTTTTATACTAAATTATATATGTTATAACAGCGATAAGACTGAACTATCTATGTTGTAATAACGGTTATACTGAACTATATAAGTTATAACAACGGTTATACTGAACTATGTTATAACAACTGTTACGCTGAACTATGATATAACAGCTGTTACACTGAACTATGTTATATTAACAGTTATACCGAACTATATATGTTTTAACTGCTGAACTATAATACTGCTGAACTATAAATATGTTATAACAAGGGTTATGCCGAATTATATAATATGTTATAACAACGGTTATACTTGGCTGTATGTGTTATAACAACGGTTATACTATACATGTTACAGTGATTATAACATATTACACCTGGGGTATCGTGATTATACAATTATTATACACGATCTAATTATAGGGACTATAATCATATTACACATGGAGTGACTATACAATTATTATACACGATCTATTTATAGATAACATTATTATGTCTTTATATCTGTAACAACAAGTGTTGCCTGGACAGTAAATTGATCGTTGTTTACAAATCCAGCTGGCGACAAATGTCTCATAAAGCAAACATCGTTCCAGATGAATTCTGTGGCAAACAGTGTGGTTGTAGGTTGGGGAGTATAATCTACCGTTTTCGTTACATCGGTGTTGTTGATAAGTTTTATGGTAACTTTAGTTTTGCCTGATATTAGATTTTCTCCATAAACCATCATACCAAGTGTAAGACGGCACTGGATAGGCCTACCTCTTAAACTTTGATAAACTTTGAAATGCCACAATCTATCTTCTACTTTATAGACAGGACTGAATCTCCAGTCTCTCGTCACTTCACTATGTTTAAAGGTGTGTGTAAGCTCCTTGTTTCGGGTTATCTCTATCCTTCCTATCATTTCATCAAGGGTTGAAGTATTTATCTCTCCAAGGTGGACTTTGCTGCTGACTTCATATAACTTGATAAGTTCACGTGCCTCATTTTCTCCCTGTTGTCTTTTGATTGTTGGCAGCACATCTAATACGTCATACATTGAATCAACTTTCAAAATAGTGTTAATATTGTCCACGGACTCCTCTAACTCGTCAATGAAATTTTTTGATGATTCCACAATCCTCTTCATCTTTCTTTCTTCCTTTTCGTGTGCGTTTTGAATATACAGTTTAAATTCACTGCCTTTCCTCGTGACAGCCTCACAGATAGTTTTTACTTGTTGATCAATTTCAGCACAGGATGTGACGACAGACGTGTTTAAAGCGGAAATCTTTTTGTTGACATCATCAACATAATTCGTCTGTTCTGTTATCTTTTTTTCAAATTCTATTTTCAAATTTGTCAATTCTGTCAGAGCCTCTTTTCCGTACTGGTTTATTTCCGGCGTGTCATGACCTTTGTGATCTGATATCTGGCATTCTTTACAAATAATCTGGCAACAATCTTTACAATAAAACTCCAAAATCTCAGTTTTATGACGATAACAAAATGGCCGACTCCCATCAGCTGTATTTCTACTATGAGCTAGTTCTGAAACACGATGATCCGAGAAAAACGAATCGTGTGGGGTTTTACAGGATGCACATAAACATTTCTTACAATCTAAGCAATGGAACTTTGATTTGGCGTTCTTCTTACATGCTTCACAATTCGGTGATGGACTTTTAATTGGTTCGTTCTCCGTATTTACACCAGAAATGCTGGATGGAAGGGTATCAATTCCACCATCAGGAATGGTGACATCTTCACGACACAGAGGACATGGGAACCGGTTATCTTTGCCAACTTTACTGACATAATCTTCCAAACATTTCACACAAAATTCATGTCCACATTCGATAGTTTTAGGTTCTGTAAAGTCGTTTAAACAGATACTACAGTTGTTATTATCCGTCTTTTCCGCCATGTTGTTATCAAGTCAGAGCTAATGTCTGAAAATAGAGAAAAACAGTGATAAGGAACAGTACATTACAGTATAACATGATAAGCATATCCCATCTCGTACACGACTCACATTATCCCGTAGAGGTCGGTCCTGTCCAGACACTGTGAGACTACGCTAGTAACCAGCGGCTACCAGGCAGGATACGCCCACATTTTGCAAGAGATGGATAGAGAACAAGCTAAAAACAAACGGAATTTTTTATATAATCAGGGGCAATAATCCAGAAAGATATGGTCTGAAATGCGCAAATATCAAAAGGGACTGAGATCTTTGGGATATATAGATAAGATTTAAGTTCCATCAGAATCGGACAAACATTGTGAACTGTAGAGGGTCGACAACCTTCGTATTGCATACTTTTACACAATTTGCGTGCAAACAGCGGCCATTGTGTTGGGCAGTTTCATTTCGATTTTCCCGAAATTCGAATTAAACCTTCATCATGGTAGAATGGTGAAATTGTAGGGTCCCCAAGCTAATGGTGAAATATTTAAACAGTTTTTAAACTCGGGAAAAAAATGTGACCTCTAGAGAATCCGCAAGCTAAAAATGCCATTTTTCGAAAAATCAGGGGCCATAATCCAGGAAGTTAAGTTCGGGGATCCGCGATTATCAAAAGGATCCATGATCTTAGTGTGATATATCCACACATTTTTTTTAAATCAGATAAAAATTGTGACCTCTACAAGGACAATTACAAGCTAAAATCGCGATTTTTCGTACAATCAAGGGCCATAATTCAGGAAGTTAATATCTGATATGCCGAATATCGAAAGGAACCAAGATCTTTGGGTTATTAACATACATTTCAAGTTTTATCAAAATCAAAAGAAAATTGTGACCTCTAGATGGTCCACAACATTGTTATACCATATTTTTTATACTATTTGAGTACGAGAAGCGGCCATTTTGTCTGTCAGTTTTGGTCCCGAATTTACGAAATTCGAATTCAACTATCCTTCGGGTGTAATGGTGATATATTATTCGAAGGTTCTTTTTAAATCGGATAAAAATTAACACCTCTATAGGGTCGACAAGCTAAAAACGCGATTTTTCGTACAATTAGGGGCCATAATTCAGGAAGTTACGGTCAGATATGCGCGAATATCGACAGGAAACGAGATCTTTGGGTTATAAACTTACATGTCAAGTTTCAACACAATCGGATAAAAATTGTGACCTCTATAGGGCCCACAACCTTGATATACCATATTTTTACGCTATTTATGAACGAGAGCCGGCCATTTTGTCTGTCAGTTTTGGGCCGATTTTCACGAAATGCTAACTAAGCCGCCCTTAGGGTGTAACGGTGATATACTAAAACGATTTTTTTTTAAATCTGATTAAAATTATGACCTCTATAGGGTCGACAAGTTAAAAACGCGATTTTTTTTCAGGAAGTTACGGTCCGACATGCGCGAATATCGAAAGGAACAGAGGTCATTGGGTTTTAAACTTATATTTCAAGTTTCAACAAAATCGGATAAAAATTGTGACCTCTATAGGGTCCACAACCTTGATATACCATATTTTTACGCTATTTGAGATAGAGGGGCGGCCATTTTGTTTGTCACTTTGGGGGCGATTTTCACACAATACTAACTCAATCGTCTTTAGGGTGTAACGGTGATAAAATAAAACGTTTTTTTTTTAAATCAGATAAAAATTATGACCTCTATAGGGTTCACAAGCTAAAAACGAAATTTTTCGTACAATCAGGGGCCATAATTCAGGACGTTACGATCTGATATGCACGAATATTGAGTGGAACCGAGATCCTTAGGTTATAAACTTACATTTCAAGTTTCAACAAAATCAGATAAAAATTGTGACCTCTATAGGGTCCACAACCTTGATATACCATATTTTTACGATATACGAGAACGAAGGGCGGCCATTTTGTCTGTCAGTTTTGGGCCGATTTTCACGAAATTCGAATTCAGTCGTCCTTAGGGTGTAACGGTGATATAATAATACGGTTTTTCAAACCGGATAAAAATTATGACCTCTATAGGGTCCACAAGCTAAAAACGCGATTTTTCGTACAACCAGGGGGCATAATTCAGGAAGGTATGGTCCGATATGCGCGAATATCGAAAGCAACCGAGATCTGTGGGTTATAAACATACATTTCAAGTTTAAACCAAATCAGATAAAAATTGTGACCTCTATAGTGTTCAAAAGCTAAAAACGTGATTTTGCGTACACTCAAGGGTCATAATCCATGAAGTTACAGTCCGATACATGCCAATATCGAAAGGAACCGAGATCTTAGGGTGATAAACCTATATTTCAAGTTTCATTGAAATCGATAAAAATTGTGACCGGTTTTCTTCGAGAGGTGAAGAAACAGAACTGACCTTGTATGGACCCCCGAAGAAAATTTTGGAATATTTGACGGCCGCAAACGCGTTTTACTGCTATTCCAGCCCGTAAAATTAGTGTTTTATTAGATTTCGGGCACTTTATTTTGCCAAGTAGATGAAATAAATTTTTTTTTTCACTTTACCCTTCTGCCCGAAAAGTCAGTTTGCCCGAAGGTTAGGGGGGCAGCTGCCCTGCCCCCCCCCCCCTGGCTCGTACGCCTATGGGTTATTATAGAAATGAAGATGTCATTTAATTCTTAGATTTGTAACCACCTTTTCCGTCCGGTGGTACGTCAACCCTTTCTTGTCAGCGCAGTAGAGGCTATAGTTTTTAGTTGATTTGTCTGGACAACTTTCCCTACATCTTTTGTTTTGAGATGACGATGATCCCTTGTTTTTTTTCATCAAATTCGCAGGGCCATCACAACCCTATATGGCGCCCCAGGGCAAAAGTTTTAGTGACGCCCCCTCCCCACCCCGCATACTGTAACTGCTTTGTCCAGTGCCTGCGCTCAGTTGACTTTTTATGATTAAAGAAATTCCAAAATAGAGAGGTTTTTTTATACTTTTAACACTTTATGTAAATACTTATTTATCAAATGCAACTTATATCTTTTATATTTTTAAGTCTATTTCCCCCCACCCACCAACTCTCCATTTGATCGAAAAACCCGAAAAACCTTATAATATATCTTGGACAAAATCATAATTCTACCCTCTCTATTTGCTGAAATATGAACTGGTTTACATATGATTAGGGAAGCGAAGGTCGGTGATTTGCTATCTTAGTCTCCAAGGAGGCTAGTCCACAAATATTCAAAGGGGATATCTGGTATGCACTTCGATAATTTGCCGCCCTCCAAGAAGTGTCGCCCCAGGCATATGCCCCTCTCAACACCTAGAACCCCCCCCCCCCACCATGTGAGGCATCTGCAAACTAGGATCAATATTTTTAGAGTTATGGCGTTTTTTGCCGAAACCTATCCACATTGATTTTTCATCACATTTTTCTGAAGCTTTCAGGAAGCTAGTATTAAGATAAGACGAGGATCCATATTTCGTTTCGTCAAAATTGGATTTATAGAGTTATGCACATTTTTTTTGCCGACACCTAACCATACTGCTTGTGTGCACAATAGCATACTCCTCGCAGTGTTTCGTTTGATATACCTAATCCCACTTAACACTGCTGTAAAGGAAGCAAATTTCTGGTCAATAGTCCGATTAACAACCAATAACTAACTGCGTAACAATATCATTAGGCTTTAAACAGAGCTCCAAATTGGTCCAAATAATGTTTACATAACGTTACGTCATGACTCACGATTTTATTATGCTCAATTAACCAGTGCATAACAGAATATTGCAGAAAAAACTAATTGAGTGACAAACGAGGCTACCAAAACGAATACAATGTGAACAATACTGTTTGGAGACGAACAATACTTTCACCGTTTTTAATACCTTAAATCACTGTCCAAAGTTTTAGGGAAGACCCGATTAAACGAAAGTTTGTCATGTTGCTGTACTTGGGATAGATTTGATTGAATGAGAAGAATAGACACATTCCCTCAAAAGCATCAGAAACCAATCCAGCAATAGCCAGAGAGGGATTTCTCGGGCAATTGCTTCAGGAATATGGCACAATAGAGGTCAGAATTTCCATCAGATTGTTCTGAAATGTCCAGGACGAGTTGATTATGATATGACGAGGATCCATATTTTTTTTCATCAAAATCTGATTAATATTTTTAAGAGTTATGCCCTCTTTTTGCCGAAACCTGTCCACGCTGCTTGTAATACATTTTTTTTCAAATTTGGTTGGAAGCAGTATGGCCATAGGAGGGTGAACCCTAGAGATTAAATTTCTTCAAGGCTACGATGTTGAACATCCAAGTTTTCCTTTCGGATAAGCTGCAGTTTAGACAAAGCGGCTATGTGGGCGCATTCCACGATTTAGGTGGCTATTCTAAAATGGATTTATAGGATTGGCATTCATCGCATTATGTTTATTCAGAATCATTTCATTTCGTTTATATTTTCGGATTTTAAAACTGCTTTGTATACAATATCTACCAGTGACGCGCAGAGAGGGTTGGTGATGCCCGGTACCCAACTCCTTGATTGTATGCCATCAAGTCTCAACTGTTGGGCCTAGTACATATGCCGTCAAGATTAAAGTGTAGGGTCCAGTACTCAGAAATGTGAGAAAGGAAGGCATTTTAAACACATAAAACCAGATGAAATAATTTTTTTATTCAAATTAAATAGAAATCGGCCACATTAATTACGTTCGGTGCCATAAAACAAATCTCCAGGAAGATCAACTTCTTTTTTTATAGTTTCCCTAACCCGGTTTCTCATATTACTCTTAATTTCATTCTTCAATTTGGTGCCCTCCGGAAATGGATTAAGCGGAAACAAAAATTATCATCTAGTTGTCAAAATAAAGAGCCCAAAATCTGATAAAACACTAATTTTACTTTTCTTTTAATTGAATAGCACGAATCTGTACTGAATTTACTATGGAATAAAACATTTTGTCCGGAGCCACTCTAATAAAACACTAATTTTACTTTTCTTTTAATTGAATACCACAAGTTTGTACTGAATTTACTATGGATTAAAACATTTTGTCTGGAGCCACTCTACTTTGTGCGACATTTTTCGAGCATCGATTATTATTTGTGAATGCAGCTGCAACGGTCTGATTGGATGGTTGTAATTCAGAATGGGATTTCGGTTACAAAACCATTGACTACTTTTGGAGTTGCTTACACGGGTTGGAATAGCCGAAAACGCATTTGCGGTGGTTAGATTTTCAAAATTTTCTCCGGGAGGGTGAGGCCCCGAGGGTGAGGCTCCCCATACCCCGCGACGATTGATTGGTTATTTGGAATTCGGGTCAGCCAGGTAGGCTATATTGGACCAAATTGAAGTTGCTGTATTCACAGGCTGGAATAGCAGGAAAACGCGTATGCGGCTGTTAAATTTTCAAAATTTTCTCCAAACGGCCCCGTCTCCGTGGACTATAAACGATTGATCTTTTGATTGGAATTCGATTCAGCCATCTTAATTAGGCTATATTAGACCACTTTGAAGTTGCTTCGTTGACGGGCTGAAATAGCAGGAAATTATGTTTGCAGCCGTCAAATATTCAAAAATTTTCTTTGGGGGGGGGGGGGGTACAATACAAGGGGAGCTCTGCTTCTTCACCTCTCGAGGAAGATCGGCGCCGCTGTCTGTACACCCGAAATTTTTTCGGGCATTTCGGGTTCTGCCCCCCTAACTGTCATCGAGCCCGTACGTCTATGTAATAACCTATTAATGTTGACAAAGAAAAACAAAACACAAAGCACGGATTACTTACTCATAATTCCGATAATGGGATTATTTACTTTGTTTATCTGCCGACCTATGTGTATTCGAATTGTGTCCAACGTCACATGTAACAATCACCCGAAAACCAAATATATAGCTAGCTGTATCCGAAAACCAAATATATAGCTAGACTAGCTGTATGGACTAAGACTAGTAATTATTTCCCCTTATTTCATGATGGGAGTTATAAATAGACAATTTTTCCCTTAATTTTTTTCTCCCCTCTTCCTGCATTTTTGGGTTGACTTTTTGGTCTAAAATTGGAGAAAAGGGATCAAATGTGCAATTTCATAGCAGTTCTGGGTAATACTGGTGATATTACAGCGGAGGGATAGGAGGTGTAAAGTGTCTTTCTGCAGAGCAGACATTGTATCGGAAGTGAGATTTTCGCCCCATTCAACTTCAAATCCCCGTAGCAAAAAATCTAAAAGGTCAACCCCCTACAAAATTATGATGGGGAGATTGCCAAATGTGGTCCCAATTGTGCCTATAAAGATTGGAACCAACGGAATGTTGAGCTAAAAAAGCTACAGCCCGTGATGTTACAGCCATTTAACATTGAAGTCAATGGGCAAATAATTGCTAGTCCGAGTCCGTATTTTCTCCGCAAGTAGCGTGTCACTTATTTATGTTCACGCAACATTTATAGTGAAAGTAGGGCATATTTTTAGGCTACATATTAATTTCTACTTGTGATGAGTCGTTAAGTTTGACTTTTCTGTATAATAACATATACTAATATATATATATATATATTATCTAATTACATTTCATAATATGTATATCATAAAATATATAATTTAAATATTACCTGCCCGTCGCGTTGTATATAGAACTCTGGCTGGTGAGCTATTTCCCGGAATACTTCAATAGTCCCGTTAATCCAGTCGTTTCTAAGAAAATCGATTTGCAAAAGTTGTCTGCCCTGACATTGGTCTTTATATTGTTTCTTTTTTGTATTTAATGAAATTTATGAAATTTGTTATGTATCAATGATTAATTGAAATAAAGTGATTATTACTATTATTATTATTATTATTATATTGAAACTTAAACATACATTATGCAAGAGCTAAAGCTGCCTATTGCAGACAGACCCGTATCCAAAGGGGTGGGGGGCAAGGCAAAAAAAAAGAAAGAAAAAAAGTTGCCGACCCTAGCTCTAAAATACCTACTGTAGACTGTGCCCCCCCCCCCACTCCCAACCAACACACCATTAAAAACTTCACTGCGGGCCCGATTGCAGGTCTTTCTTTAGGCCTAAAGTGTTAGCTATTTAAATGGGTAAGCGAGAATAAGTCTCGAATATACCAGTGCCCTAGTTGCCACAATGCACACATCTTCTCAAAACTACAAACAAGTGATAACTTGGCTCAGAATGAAGAAATTTGAGCAATTATGGCCAGCTTTTTATCTAAATCTTACATAATATATCTTTAATAATCCGATGACAGACTTACAGGCGACAACATATTAGTCGTTTTTTGTAATTCTCTTCATCTTTTTATTGGAGAATGAAATGTATATGTATTTCTAGAGGTATTCTGTCCCGCTCTCAATAGACACACTTCCATTGTGTTTTATCGAAAAATCGATGCAAAGATTAAAAAGTCTACTTCTACAAAATGTACATATTACAAATTAGAATGATACCTCTGATGTTTGAAATGTTTTTTCTAAATATCACCTCTTTGGGGGCGGGGGGCCTGGATCACACAGTTTTTCATTGAGTTAAGTGACGTGGTTTCGATTCCCCGCTCGTACGTGTCAAGGATTGGGGTCGCCTGTTCAACCTCGCGAGTTTTCTTAGGTTTCCTTTCACCACCAGAGTTCCCTACGCGCGCAAGCGTATTATGGAAATAAAATCGCACCTTATGTTAGTCCCGATATGACGCAGGAACTGACAAGGACAGCTGTGTAGTCGTTCGGATAGGACGAAAGGAGCTTGCAGAGTCCCGACTAATCGTATAACCGAATTAGTTTTTTGTTGAAAACACTGTTCTGATGCTTTTATATATTTAATGACAGTTGTTATACAGCATTGCATGGTTACATGGTTATATTGGTTTTATTGGTTGGTTATTTGATCTAAAATAGAACAAAATATCTAGCTTACAAACTGACACATAAATAAAGTTACACTATAACCAGATATACATATGCAACTATTAACTTCAATTAAGTTTAAATCCGATATATTAAATGTCAAATAAAACAGAATTAAGTAAATTATATAGTTACTTCTACGGCGGGACTGCTCGCTCCTGCTAAGAGAACGGTTTTACACAAAATGATAAGTGACACGCAGGCCGCTTTCTTAACAGCAGAAAAAGCACGTGCAACAACAAAAAGAGAAACAGTTTGGAATCAGACCACTGATGATTTGTAACAGTAAACAGAACATCCTCCCCCCGGATGAGGAATTATTCCTCATCAAATTCGTAACCGTTTGCAGTTAATAAAACAGCTATTTTGGTAATCGATCTTGTATATTCAGAGTCTTGACATTTAACTTTAACATTTCTAACACGGTTATCAGCTCCTGGATAAACTTCGATAACTCTACCGATTGTCCACTTTCCTCGAACAGTGTTTTGATTATTAACAATAACTATATCATTCACACAGACATTGCGTTTCTGTGTGTTCCATTTCTTACGCGGCACTAATAATGGTAAAACGTCTCTTGACCACTGTTTCCAAAAAGAGTCTACAAGTTTTTGAACAAATTCTACCCTTTTTCTCGGGTTTTGAGTGTTTCTAAAGGGTCCTTGTGCCACATGACTCGAGGCGCGACCGAGCAGAATATCATTTGGACACAAATACGAACCGTCATTTGGGTCGTTCGGGATTCTACCAATCGGGCGTTGATTGACTAAATTTGCGCATTCCAACAGGTAAGTATAGAGCTCAAACGGTGTCAGTAACTGTTTTCCAATGGATTTACTTAATGCTGTTTTACACACTTTAACCATTGATTCAGCGCAGCCATTTTGATGTGGGGCGGCGGGCGTAGAAAACCTCCATTGCATTCGATTAAAAGAGCAGAAGTCTTTCAAAGTCTCAGTGTCTATTCCTTTAATCATGTCTCTCAATTCCTTTTCAGCTCCGACCAGTTGAGAACCATTATCACTAATCATTAACGTAGGTGTTCCTCTAATAGAAAAAAATCTTCTTAAAACCTGAAGAAAAGCTTCAGTTGAATAATCGACGGCCAGTTCCAGGTGGACAGATCGAGTGTTTAAACATGTAAACAAAACTCCGTAATGTTTAATTGTCTTGTTTCTGCCGAATTTAACGCTGTACGGTCCAAAATAGTCGACTGCGGTATTGTAAAAGGGAGGGGTAAACGGCGCCAAGCGAAACTTGGGCAAGTCCGTCATAAATTGACTTTCAGTCCTGTGTTCAAATTCTCGACAGGTAACACATCTAAATTTGACAGTTTTTGAAAGTTTATGAACCTTTAATATCCAATATTTTCTTCTAATTTTCGCGGCAGTAGCGGCAATTCCTAAATGACCTTGATTATGATGATGACGGGCGATTAATAATGAAATTCTGTGGTCGTTGGGTAACAAAACTGGATATTTCGATTCAAACGAAATAACTGCTTCATTCAGGCGACCTCCAACCCGAATTATTCCATTTTCATCTGTAAATGGACTTAATGATTTGAATTCCCCTTTCAGGTGACAATCATGTAACCCAGTTTGAACTTGTTTTATCCAGTAATTTTCAGATGCGGAAATTTCTTTAGCAGATAACGGCTCTTTACGGGTATCTTTGTTTCGTATTTTACCCAGAAGATTGTAAATAAACCTTCTAACACAGGCAGTAACTCTTAGCAACTTGTTCCAGCTAGAGAAATTATTGCTATCCATAATATTTTCTTTAACAGTGACAGCATTGACACAGATAATTTTACGAGTTTCTAATTGTGTTTCTACTTCTATGGGTGTAATTGTATCAGTTGGCCAGTCTTCTTCTTCTGTATATAGGAAGTCAGGTCCGTGTTTCCATCTTTTCGTAAGTTGTTGAACTGATATGCCTCGGGAAATATCATCTGCTACATTATCTTCGGAACGAATATGTAACCACTGGGATGGATCCGTTATGTCTTGAATTTCACCAACTCTTGCTGATACAAAAGGTTTGTACTTCCGGGCATGACCTTGAATCCAGGCAAGAACTATCGTACTGTCTACAAAGAACATTGTCTTTTCTATGTTCATCCGAATTTCCTCCAAGATAAATTTGTACAATCGAGCGGACATTACAGCTGCTTGTAACTCGAGTCGTGGAATTGTCAATTTTTTCAACGGCGCTACACGTGACTTAGCAGCAACAAATCGAACAGCATATCCAAAATCAATTTTCCATCTCAAGTAAGCAGAAGCGCCAAATGCTTCATCGGAAGCATCGGAAAATATACAAAGTACAGGTAAGCCAACGGATTCCACAGGTGTTAAGCACCTTTCAAATTCAACACAGTTAAGTTCATTCATTTCAGTAAAGAGACTGATCCATTCAGTGTGAACAGATTGGGGCAGGCTTTCATCCCAATCCAGACCCATTTGCCAAAGTTTTTGCATACCAATCTTCATACGGATTAAAAAAGCGGCAGCTAAACCAATCGGGTCAAATATCTTCGCTATCTGACTGAGGATTCTTCGTTTTGTTAGATTTGCTGGTGTCCTCGTATCCACTGATGAATATTTATGCAGGCTGTTATTAACTTTAAATGTGAAAACATCCTTGATATTGTTCCATACAACACCCAGAACCTTTTCTTCACACATGCTTTTCAGTAGTTTTAATTCAGTTGACTCAGTTTCTGTTGCAGGAAACAGCATTTTATTAGATGTCAAACCCTTTACTTTAAATCCACCTTGAGCTAAAACCTGGTCAATATCTAACGTCAATTTACTGGCTTCTTCTATGTTTGTGACAGAAGCACATATATCATCCATGTAGGTATTCTCCTTTAGAACCTGGGCTGCTTTTGGGAATAAGGTTTCAGCTTCCTCGGCAGTTTTCTTCAAAGCTATCTGGGCCATGGCAGGGGCTGGTTTATCTCCAAAGTTAAGACAGTCTTGATATAAACATCCGGTTTGTTTTCAATCTTTAAGTTTCTCCACAAGAAACGGTGTACATGCTGATCAGCTTCCGGTATTAAGACTCTGTGGTACATCTTGGAAATGTCTGTACAAATAACAACTTCGTGTTGTCGGAATCTTAAAATTACCCCGAACAAATTATTCAGTAAATCAGGGCCTTTCATCCAGTATTCATTTAAACAGTGACCTTGGTAATTTTCAGATGAGTTGAACACAATACGTACAGGTGTACTTTTCTTTTCTGGTCTTATTACAGCATGATGTGAAATATAGTGAACAGGGCCGTGATAATTTTCTACTTCAGTTTCAGTCAGTTGTTTTGCAAAGTTCATTTCAACCAGTTCCGTCATTTGCTCATCATAGATTCTAGCATGCTCAGGTGACTTAAGTAAACGTTGTTCAGTTGATTTTAATTTGTATTCAGCTTGTGATCGGTTGTCTGGTAACTATTTTGGGTCATTTTTCCATGGATAAGGAACTAACCATTGGTTTCCAATCTTTTGACAGGAATCTTCAATTATTCTGTATTCTTCAAGTTCAACTGGACTAAGTTTACTGGGTCTACAATTACAAGTATTTCTAGTAACTCCCATAGATTCAGTGGACCAAAACTCTGCCATATCAACCGGAGCCGACATTGCTACGTGGTAAATGTGGTTTTCGTAGATACGTTTATCAGACATTGTAGCACCAAATATTACCCAGCCTAAAGGTGAATATCTTGCTATGAGGTTATCAGATTCCCTTATTTCACCACTGTGCATCCGTACATGATCAATACCTATCAGAAGATCAACCGTTCCTTCACCTCTAAACAGATTATCTGCTTTAAGCCCAAACTGACCGGCAATGTCTAGTAGATTAATACCTTGTATATCTCCACTGATAGATGGAATTCCTACAGCTGTTACAGTGTGAAGTGTATTGTTTTCTATGGAACGTATAGTTACTCGAAACAGTTTAGTCGTCATTTCTACAACATCACCTCCTACTTTGGTTAAAGTAATACTGATATCTTTTCCATTCAGTTGCAGTTCTTCAGCCAAAGAAAATCTAATAAGACTTATTTGTGCTCCAGAATCAAATAGTAGATTTGCTTTAAGATGGTAGTTTTGATATCCCACAAGTTCGACCATTAAAATTGGTAAAATGGCTTCTTTCCTGTTAACAACAAATGCGACTCCGACATTGTGACTGCTATTTTCGCGATGAAGTAATGGGTTGTGAAACATTTTACACGGACTACCGTTATATTCTTTTGTACATTGACGTCTTCTTGAACAGGTAGATAAATTGTGTTCCCTACCAGCGATTTTTAAACAACTAAAACATGCATGGTTATTCTTCACTGCCTTTAGACGATCATCAATTTTCATAGCGGTAAATTTCTGACATTGGTCAACCCAATGGGTCGAGTTCTTACAGAGCCAACATTTGAAATGATTACTATTTTGACTTTCAGAGCTAGCTACATGATTGACGTTATATTTGGACGGTTGGTGATTGGACCTGATGGGTGCATTGGCTCTTATTCTGGACTTCATTTCTGTGTTCATCCAATCTAATAAATCTTCTAAAGACGCAGACTGTTTTTCTCTTTCTAAATGACGAAACCAAACTTTTCTATCTTCAATGTTCATCTTTTGTTCAATGATTGCTAACATGTGGTTATTATTCATATCATTAGGGCAACCAATTTCTTTTAGGGTGTTATAACTTCTTCTTACTAGATGAACTAAATCACAAAAGCGGTTATCTTCACCATCTCGTAGTGGACGGAAACGGTTTATATCTTGTGTAATATTATCGGTAATGAATCTAGGATCTCCATAAATAGAATCAAGATATTCAAACGCAGCATCGTAATCACAACCGATTCCCTTAATTAAATCAAAGGGTTTGCTGATCAGACAAGAGCGTAATAAAGTTATTGCATCTCGTTTACTGCATCTCGAACCGATCATGTGCAAAAAATCGGACTTGAATGTAAAATATTCTCGTACATCTCCACTGAATTTCGGCATTTTCGGTTTCTCCATTTTAAACCTACATGTATCAGTGTGTTGGACAGGTATATTGGCAGAACGTCCATTTCTCAGTCCACTGTAAACGGGAATATCTTTTGGAATATTCTCATAATCACTCGGAATAACAGCAGGATTTTCATTACTCAGAATAACAGCTGCAGTTTCATTTGTCAGGTTAGCAACATTATCAGGACTATTATTCGGGTCACCAGAAACATCGACAACCAGGTTAGCGGAGGAAGGCACATTTTGTAAAACAGGATCAGAAACATTAATATTAACCGAATCAGGTTGATTACTAGCAGGCGTTGTGTGTGGCGAAGCAGGTAATTGATCGGGACTATGAACGTTCTGTACAGAATCAGTACTTTTATCAGATTTAGTAGGAACCGTATTCGCTGTCTTTAATTCTAATGTCTTTAAGTAATCTTTGGCATATATTTTGAGTGTTGTGACGTAGGTTTGCACTTCATCTAACCATGCTTCGGCGACATCAAATTCATTATCATCATCTAACATTTGCGTGTAATCAGTATGTTTTTCTACAAGATTATCAAAAGCTGTGTCAATTTTCAAAACAGTTTCATTAATTTCTTCTTTGTCTCGATGTTCATTAATTAATCTATCAAGCACGTTTCCTAATCTAGTAATACCAGCTTTACAATTTCGTCTCTTCTTCTTTGCTTCGGAGACTAAATCTCTTATTCCCTCCGATTCAGACATTTTATTTACGGTTCAGTTCAAAAATACAGATCATAAAAGTTTTACTCACAGGTTAGCAGAATTGATCAGACTGGTTTACAGGTCTTGTCCACACAGTATTAGGGGTTAGCAGATTCACAGACTGTAGAAAACTTACGTAGCAGGATTCATTTATAACAGGTTAGCAGACAGAGTTCATACGTGTTACCAGGTATTTCCAGTCTTTTTCGGTCCCAGGTTAGCAGCAAAAGTAGTAACTGGCTTCATTCGTCAGAAAGAAATCAAATTTTTGTGGACCGTTGAAGAAGACGGAAATGGGGGTGAGCTTGCAGAGTCCCGACTAATCGTATAACCGGATTAGTTTTTTGTTGAAAACACTGTTCTGATGCTTTTATATATTTAATGGCAGTTGTTGTACAGCATTGCATGGTTACATGGTTATATTGGTTTTATTGGTTGGTTATTTGATCTAAAATAGAACAAAATATCTAGCTTACAAACTGACACATATATAAAGTTACACTATAACCAGATATACATATGCAACTATTAACTTCAATTAAGTTTAAATCCGATATATTAAATGTCAAATAAAAAAGAATTAAGTAAATTATACAGTTACTTCTATGGCGGGACTGCTCGCTCCTGCTAAGAGAACGGTTTTACACAAAATGATAAGTGACACGCAGGCCGCTTTCTTAACAGCAGAAAAAGCACGTGCAACAACAAAAAGAGAAACAGTTTGGAATCAGACCACTGATGATTTGTAACAGTAAACAGAACAGGGGGGGGGGGGGTATATAGGCTACCATTATAATAGGTAAACGAAATGACCGATGGGGCTAATGAAGACGGACACACGTCATACAATGTCTGTAAGTCAAATTTTGCTCTGACACAGGCGCTACGGCAAAACTACAAGCCAATACGTGGATGGGACCTCGCTTTTTAATCCCTAATAACTATTCGTTTTTTCTTGCCAGGCAATCTGATAAGGGGGAACCACGTCGAATGTACTTTCTCGGTCAACACTGGGATCGAACACGGGACCTCCATATTAGCGAGCCAGCGTCTTACTCAATGGGCCTCCACGGCTCCGATCCCATCCGCACTTTATACAAGATCCAAACCATCTATTAGCTTTGTTTAAAGACAGAGTGGTGAAATTTGGTTTCTAATTTCATTGCATCCATCACATAAATAATACTGAGCATTGTGGTAGTAACAATGAGCAATTTAATTGAGGTAGAATTTTGAAACTCCGTGTAGATGTTGATTAGATGGGTTGGATTATGAAAAGACATTTTCCATTAAGGAGAGGTAAATTAAACATAGGCCTACATTATGCAAGAGCTAAATCTGGTTATTACAAGTCTTTATTTCGGCTTCAGATGTCATAGAAATTATAAATTAGATCTTTATTTACACAACAAGCACAAAATCAACTCTGTAGACCCACGGGTGGCTTGGATTCGGCTTGGATTTAAACAGGATTTCATTGATTGATTAAATTTTTAAATGGCGTCGTAAGCGGAGATTAACCGTTACGTTGACGTCATACTCCCGGAAATTTTAGATCGAGGCTAAATGATAGAGTATACGAAGCAAGGCCGCTGTTGAGCGAGGCAGGCCGCATGTCAGTCAATTTGATTGAAAGTTCGATATACGGCCTTGATATTATGTTTAATTGTGGTTAAAATGAGAGTTTCGATGTCGCTATTATACGCTCTTTTGTCACTTGCGTTTACAGAAGAATTATGGAAATTGATAAACATCGCAGCTAACATCACCCCAGTTGAATTGATTGCAGCCCCATTGGATTAGTGTTCAATTTGTCTGCTTCGGGAGTTACGAAGGCCTACCAGTTACGGTACAAAAGTACACGCAGGCTAACAGTAAGTCGACTATAATTATGCCTCATTGATTTGGTCCATTCATTTCAAACCTTTTTTTTAATTTGTAGTAAAAATAAATGTGATACGAATTGAATTGCAACCCCGTCTCAAACCGAATAGGCTAATGGTACCACAGCCATTGAAAACGTTACTTGATAATCGAGATTATGTAGGTGGGGTTAACGCCTGTCAATCAAACGATCGGCCATTCTCGGAGACGGTGAAGAGAGTTGACTCCTATTTCTAGTCAAAAATTATAATGGTGATAACTTTGTTCAGAATAAAGTAATTTGACTAAAATATTCAATATATTCTTCTTTCATCATCTTTTTTGGACTGTTATAGCAAGAAAGGCCAAATCTCTATTAACATCTCCCATAGTGCATCTTTAAATGAGCCATAGGCGGACAAAGGGCGGGCTGAATTGGTCAGATGGGATAACAAGATCTGCATTAGATTGGCATTTGTATTTATTTTCAAAGTGAAGCCAATTCCAATCTGGTTAAAATACAGATCTATATTTCGTTTCGTTTTTCATACTTTCGAGGGCCTCTACTACATGAAGATCTGGCAAGTTATAGGGGGGGGGGGGTCATGTCAGGGGTCATGCGAGCGACTTTTGACCCTATGGCGTTAGACATTGATTAATCAATCAGCGTTGACGTTTACTCACAGTTCCGTTTAGAGCACGCCAAGAACTCGCCGTAACAGACCGTTTCATAGGCTAATTCCTTACATCAACTAGAACGTCCAGATCTATCCTTGTGTAGTCAAGACAAGTAAAACGAAATTTTAAACTATAAAAAACGGAACGAAATAGGATCTGTGTTTTAATCAGATTGAGCCAATTTTGTTATCTTTTCAATTAGTTCACTGGGGGGGAATTTAAAAACTGTTGTACAAAATAAAAAGTATGACAAGAATACAGGATGTATCAAAATAATTAAACATCCCATACTAGTAGTTCTACCTTCCTTCCATGGGTGTGGCTATAGTAGCATTGGGTAAATAAGCAGTTTTAAAAACAATAATTTTCGTTCAGTTTTCTTTAATAATCTTTTAGAGGTATTTAGTAACAGGGTAGTATAATAAACTATAACACACGAAAACAGCTACTAATATAATTGGGCGACGTTTCGAATGGTATTCTCTCACTGACTTGATAACGTTGAGAGAATATTCTACGTTCATTAAGATTTTTTAAGTTAATATTGAAACACTATAAGCACTGTGCCTTTGCACAATGGTGGAATTTACTATACAACACAACACTGATTGCTAAAGATAATAGTCGTTGATAAGAATCACAGCCTTTGTTCACTGGCTCAAAATGGTCGGTCACGTGAATAATCATTATGTTAATCATTATGAAAAATGATCTCACAGCTGTTCCCTCGATTCAGTCCATGAAAACAATAGAAAATACTATTAATTTAATTGGTAGCCGACGACACCAAGCGATTAATAGTTCATGTATTCCCTTAGACTGGAGGTCAGACTGGGCACACACATCCTATACTACATGATAACTTCAAACGTCGGTCTAAAGTTCACGAGCATCGAATTAAAGAGAAAAGAGTTGTCTGTCAACAGAAACCATAGCAATGGTAACCAGTATCTTAACCCGTTCTTGAGAATCTAAGAACCCTTTCGCCTCTTTTCTTATATGTTCACTATCTATGACATCTCTCCAAACATAACTGTCAAAAATTAACTGCTGTGGCGGATAAAATACTTTCATATCCCTTACACCAATAGACTCATTATCACGTTTGTAATTAACTAATGTTAAAGTGAATTTTGCTGTTACAGATTTAATATTGGGATCCTTTAGTTCCCCTAAAAATAGGCTGATCCATAACTTGCCTTTACTTATGACTATACTTATGTACCAACTGGTAAATGCTAGATGAAAATCTTTACTATAGGTCGGGTAACCATCTAAAATATCGGCATATTTAAACAGACACGGATATTGAGCAGGGATTTGTGTCTTAACATCTATTTCGTCAAAGGATGAATTGACTTTTTCTGCCAGGACCAGAAATTTAATCGACGAAGTAGGCGAATCTTGCTTTCGACTGTTGGCATTATCTCCACCATTTAAACCCTGTGCCTCTAACTGAACTCCCAACCATCGATACATTGTTTCCAGGGTTATCTTTTCTTGCATGCCCGTTGTTGTCACTTCCGGTTTTATCAATTTTATTTGTCGGTTCTCCTTCATTTGCGCCCTGGCCTTCGGTAACAAATCGATTAGTTCAACATTACACCTGTCCATTAGACTATATGATATCTTATCCAGTTTTGATTTTAACTCGAATTTTATATTCTCAGTTTTCAAATCCGCTTCATCAATTCGTTTTAAATCGTCTTCGCTCATTTTTTGAAGTTCATCTTTAACACTACCACTTACTGTTGTAGCAGCACGGTTGATCTGTTCAACATATTCATCAATTTTCGCAAAGATTCCTTGAAGGGATTCTTTTACTTCCTTTGTCTTACTCTTGACGATGTCAGAATGTTTCTCAAGTTTATTGGTGTGTTTTTCCAGTTCCTTTTGTAGATCTAATAGGCCCGTCCTGGCCTCGTCTACAACTTCGTCTATGTCCACAAACGAATGCTCCTTATGTTTCTTCAATAAACATTTACAACAGAGAGGAAACGAACAGTCCTTGCAGTAAAATTCTATCTCTTTCTTGTGCTCTGAACACCTTTTCTCCACTTGCTTTGTTTCATCCCTTGTTACGTCACTATCTTTGGCAGCTTCGGCAACTTTTTCTAAATTCTTCTCACTGTGTACTGAATTTCGCAGATTCTCTTTACCTTCTGACTTAGACTGTTCAAGGTAAAAATTTGAGGAAAATCCTGCAACACCGTGTTCTGGAAGGGGAATATTACAGCGACATAAAGGACAATCAAACGTCCCATATTTACTAAATCTATCAACATAACCTATCAGACAAGATTTACAGAAAGAATGGAAACAGTTGATTATTTTTGGTTCCCGAAATTCGTTTAAACATATGCTACAAATCAAAGGATTAGCGTCACCCATTGTTAGGAGTTTTTCGAGCACTTCTTCTGTTTGGTTGGGGGATAAAGTCAGCTTGAGTCAGTTTCCACCAATGGGTGATATCGTCTAAAAATGGAGGCGTACGCCAGGCTACTTAATTACTTTCGTTCTGCGACTTATTGACTTACAATGTCTATTTTAAATTCCAAAGCTTCTTTATTATAATATACAAATTGCATAATTTCAAAGTTTATCTGATATGAAAAGATAAGCAAGTTAATAGGTATATATGTATGTTTACAAAACCTTTAATAGGTGACGGTTGAAACAGTACGCACTGAATCCGAGAATCAAAATTGCAGTTATTTCCCTTTTCGTTGTTTACATGCACTAGATTTCCACCAAAACCAACCACTAGCGGCACTAACAAAGACTTTCATAAACTGTGTGACGAATTAACACAACCAAATGTTGTATTTCTGGCTCTCTAACATGCACTATTTCATTCAATTTGCTAGATTTAATTGTACAAATATCTGTTGAAACAGTATTTTATTCACTGAACCGAATAGTAAAAAAATTTCTACGAATCAAAAATGGAGTTAGTTCCCCTTTCACTGATTAACCCGAGAGAGAGAGAAAAATGGGGTTTAACGTCCACTCAACCGATAAAAGAATCCGTTCTTTTCATTGTTATGCACCCATAACAAGCAACACAGACTTGTATAAAGTGTCACGGGTTAACAGCACCACATCATGTGCCGCTTCCATTTACATAATTTCGTTAAATTCGTTAGTCTTTCATGTCAGTAGGCCCTACTTAAGGTGAACGGGGTCTTTGGACGCGATATACCTAAACATTCAAACAAATGAGTTGATCAGGAAATGTGTCACCGAGTAGTGAACAACTTGTCTCTTCATTCACGACCGGTTTAAACTTGATAGAAATGATTTTAACTTGCTTGTTGAGTCATTGTCAGTTACCGGTAGTGAACGTTTTACACCAAGTAACAAGTAGTTTCTCTTTCGCTTCTATTACACCAGCGTATCAAACAGGAAACCTTATTTATAAACAAAACACAGCGCCCCCTTAACCACATTTAATTTATCCATGTCAAAGGCAATCCAGACTGCAAAATGTGTGTAATTTCTGCTATAAAGCAAATGAGGCCAGTTTTTTGCATATTTATTTTTATGTGATTTAACGTTCATAAGTGTAGTAAAGTTCATCTTAGTCTGAACGAAATGAAATGAAATGCGTTTTTAACACCCTACTGTTTTGCTCCGACTCGGCTAATGAAGACCACGGGCGGGCCCAGAGACCATGGATGGGTGGGGGAGGGCGGGGGGAGTGGGGGGATGCACGGAAGGAAAAGTGCTCAACAGGGGATGAAGGTGGCCTCCCGCGGAACATTTCGAAAATTAGAAGCCCGGAAATGACATTTCAAGTGATATGAGACAGATGGGGTGTGGGGCGGGGAGGGGTGTGGCTACGCCGCGTTCGCCCCCCCCCCCCCCCAAATCCGCCCTTGAAGGCGGGCATATGCCATACAGTGTGCTATGTGGAAAACTTTGCCCGGACAGCGGCGCTACGGCCTACTCTTATATCGAATGTGTAGGCTACACGCACGTATACAGGACCTCGGTTTTTCGTCCCATCCGACGGGCCCTTCGTCCTGCACCACTGTTAAACCACGCCGGAAAATCCCCATGAACTTTCTCGGCCAACACCGGAAGCGAGTCAGCTCCCTATATTAATCTGAACGGTGTTATTGTTAGTTTAAAGGAATAGAAGGTTTTTGTATAGGGTTTTTGACATGATAATAAACATTTGATTATAAACAGAAACTTAATTTATAAAATTACACCTAAAATAACCTATCCCTAGCGAAGATATGCAACTTTTTCAAAAACCTTTCTCGGGCTCTTTTATCTATAATATTGCAAAAATAATTATGCATTACAATAATCAAAGTGTACATTTTCTAAAAATACACAATTTATAAATAACTATAACACATTTTTCAAAAGTGTAATTCTTAATATAACTAATATACATTTTGAAAAAATACAAATCTTAAAATATGTTTACATTTTGTTAATATAACTATAACACATCTTGCAAAAATACAAATCCTAAAATAACTATTATATATTTTGTAAAAATACAAATCTTACGAAAATAATACTCATGATATAGAACCATTCTCAAGAATTGAACTGAAATGGAGTTAAACGCCCCAATTTTCTGCTCCCCGGGATAATGAAAACGGGCATACCTGCCATGCAGTGTGCTATAAGGGAAATTTTGCTACAACTTGTCAAGGGTTCTTGAACTCGTTACCTCGGTTTTGCATCCCATCCGCGCGACTAGATGTTGTTTCTTGCCAGCCCCCAATTGAATTCAAACTGTTAAAGGTTCTTTGAGCATTGTGATTTTGGTTGGCTCCTGCACTTCGTATTTGGAGATTTAATGGGCGCCATTTTGAATTTCAAAAATTGTGAGAGTAAATTGAACTTCCATACGACACAAGCTAGATCATTTCTAGACAAACATCTGGTTTAATTATATTTCAATACTTAATCAGTTCCTCCAGCACCTATGCAAAACCCAAGATGTTAAACAGGTTATCCTACTCCTTGTCACAGATAAGCTGGGAATCGAAACCAAGCCACTTGGCACAATGTCAGACCGTCTAGAGCCTATGTTTTTGAATCAAGCGAATCGTGTGATTCCAAGCGCAGAACCTTTTTATGGGTTGTTCAATAACTAACTATGCATAAATATGATTTCTTGTAAGATAACATTGCATAAGTCTAAATGTAAACTTTGCCTGTGACATGGTTAACGAGGACTAATTGTTGGATCCTCCCTGATATATCCTGTTGGTAAAAACATATCCCATTGATTCATCAGGCTGTGGCCAATCTGCAACTATCATATCTGAGTTCGAAGGTATTGGAATAGTTATAGCAGCTGAAAATAATATAAACAATATACATAGACCTGTTTAAAAAAAAACTCGTATCAGCGTTGAATATATTGTGGGACATAATCTAATAAAACACTATTTTATGAATAACGGCAATAAACTATAGCAATTGATAGTCATAAATGGTTTCTTTTTTTTAATTTGAGCGTTATTTAAAGGGCTTTAACTCGATATTATTATTAAAAATCTTCGACATTACAAACAAGAATTTTGGTCCATATCATTCAATACTGATTTTGTTATCTTGTCGTGAAAATATGGGTGCCAGATATCCAATAATTTTAAGATACATTATGGGAGATAAGATAAAGAGATGGCAGTTCTCGCTATAATAGTTAAAAACTAGATAGTGTAAAGGTAATTTGCTGAAAATTTTTGTCAAATTGATCCACTATGAGCCGAGAAAGAAGCGGGTGAAAATCTTGCATAGTCTCGGTCATCATTACTAAAATCATTAATATAAACAGCATAGTCTCGATTATCCGCTTTTATTGATTTAATTATCAATAGCCGTTAGCGGCATATAGGAATCTAATCCAGCCAACATCGAAGGCTAGCCTTGACATCGAGAGTTGATTATGGTCTGGATAAGTTAATTAATGTCTAATTGATAATTTAGATAACATTTCAGGCCTAAAGAAAGACTTCTAATAAGCAGATTTTGCTCTTGCATAATGCATAATTAAGACACAGTGAACAATTTTAAAACCAGAAACCGCCGGCGTGTACCCTATTTAAAATCTCTAGCACCGTTTGTAATGAGCGACATTAATGAATGGGGCTATACGTCAGTGCGAAAGTGAAACGTAAAATGGTACTTCCGAGGTAGACTAGACTAACAAACTCGACCACTTAAGGTTCCAAAGATTAGCGATTTAGCTCTTTTAAAGGAGAACTTTAGGGTTGGCGCATTCGGGATTGATGAAAAATGTACGCCTAGTCCGTCATAAAGCCGCCAAAATATGACTTTCACGCGTGAACACAGTGGCATTATACTAACAGTTTCCAACGAGTTTTGTACAAACGTCGCGTAAAATGAATGATACTTTGAATCTCTTGAAAACTACAATATTGTAACATATGAAACGTTATAAGGAATATTAGTCCAAAACTAGCTCATTCCGTTCAGTATTTACAAAGATATGGCGAACATTCCATCGATCTATATTGTTCCCGTCGACATCTTTCTTCGTTGTGAACCAAATTGACGGATCTGTTTTAATCCCATTGAATCCAAGCCGGGAGAATTTTTAGCGTTGGAATTTTAAATAATCAATCCGAGTACGATTAAGAAGTGAGAAATTTCGATATTTTCAAAACAAAATAAAAATAACGCATCGTTACTTTAAGAAGTGTCAGTGAGACATTAAATGGGATTTTATGTCCTACTTTTCTGCACAGACTGGGCTAATAAAGACGAACTTACGCCATGCACTGTGCTATGAGGAGCATATTGCACGGATAGTGGTGCTTCGACCTACTCTGATTTCGAATTCCAATTGTCAAGACGTGCTTGCCAATGTATACATAGGACCACGGTTTTTCGTCTCATACGAACGACTGGACACTGTCTCGTCCAGGGGAGACCGTGTCGGAAAATCCCGAGAAACTTTCTCGGGCGACACCGGGAGCAAACCTCGGGTTTCTTAAGTAAAGTGAGGAAAATGGTAGATGGGTAATCATTAGGATTAAATGGGTAATCAGGGGAGTAGATGGGTAATCAGGGAAGTAGATGGGTTGTCAGAGGGGGGTAGATCGGTAATCAGGGGAGTGGGGAGTAGATGGGTAATCATGGAGTATTATTGTATAACTTACCTTTGCGTTTCTTATTATAGGCAAATAATGTAGTCACTATAACAATGATCATAGTTATAATAAACACAGGTAAGCCAATATATAAAAACCATATAATATTATCATCATTGGATGGTTCACTTGGTAGTTTATTCAGTGGTTCACTTGGTTGTTTATTAGGTGGTTCATTTGAGGGTCCTTCTGGAATAGAACATTCATCTATTCATCAGATATTTGTCAAATTCGAAAATAAAAATCCCAATCTAGAAGTAATTTAAGTACTTGTAAATTTAATGTAATTTTAAAACGGTCTGTTTGGATCTTAGACTTGCCATTATAACATTAGATTTTATATCAAAGAACACCACCCGATCATAACAGAATAATAAATAAAATCAAAAAATAAAACGAAAAGTACTTTTAACCTGATTGATTTTAATTAAATTGCATTCGGCATATGATTATTTACCTTTTCGCTCAAACTTCACGTTAAATGACATATTTCTATTGCCATATGTATTGTCTACTATGCACATATATAGGCCATCATCATCCTCTTGTGGGTCTGGTATATTTATATGTTTATTATTACTCAATACATCTCCATCTTTATACCATTTGATATCACATGGTGGATTACAATCACTGGTACAGTTAACTGATAAATCACTACCAACAATTGGTTTAATATGACCCCGGTCTGGTTGTAATTTTATACTGTATGGTCCATCTTTAATAAAATAAAATATATATTATATCACATGATGGTGGATTATTGTCACCCATATATTATACTAACATGACAAATGTCTGGGTTTACTATTGTACCATATAAAATAGCTTTAATAAAATAAAAAAATATATATTATATCACATTAAACTAATAATACACTATTAACATTATTATGACATGGATCATCACTATCATACATTATCATAAATCATATCACACCGTGGACTGTGTGTAATCACCCATACATATCATGGCCATCACTCATACACACATTCAACCAATTATAGTTTTATACCTTCTATTAAAATATAATCCACTATATGATTAACCCATACACACATTCAACTAATTGTAACTATCTTCTCAAATTCAATCATTCATAAATTCATACCTTCTACTGAAAAACAGTCACCCATACACTCAACTGGACTACAATCACATACAGTCCACCCATACAGCCAACTGGGATACAATCACCCATACAGTCAACTGGACTGCAATCACCAATATAGTCAACGGGGCTCCAATAACCCATGAAGTCAACTGGACTACAATCACCCATACAGTCCACCCACACAATCAACTAGACTATAACCACCCATACAGTCAACTCGACTACAATCCCCCATACAGTTAACTCGACTACAATCACCTATACAGTCCACTAAATTATTTATATACATACCCAATTGTTGATATATTATATACTAAAGAAATGAATGTTAATATATTAAAAGAAATAGCTAACCAAATACAAATTTGATGGTATTCCCGACTCACGTACTCGTGGATGTTTATAGTGATACAGGTATCCCAAGTGAGATAAATAACTTTCGCAGTGGTTGTACAGTGAATGGTTTAGAAACACTAAGAACACTTGCGAGAAAAACAACTTACACAATGGTTGTACATTGAATGGTTTAGAAACACCAAGAACATTTGTACATCTTCTATCTTCTGTAACTAATAAAATAATAATAGTAAAACAACAATAAATATATTTGTACAAAATGCACGGTAAATATATATGGACAATAAGAATTCCAAAAGATAATTGCGTCACAGCCCTGATCGAATTAAAAATAAACAATGTACATAAAATCTATATCTGCTGTATACATGTATTATGTTGTTTTTTTCTTAATACAAAAATATTTATTCTCAGAATGGTTTATTGTTTCTGTTCAAATTATTCAGTTCGTTCCAATCTTTGATTTTAAAACAAATATGACAATATGCCAGATGAAAAGGCTATTATAGGATTTCAGACCATATGCATTGAAAAAGACAATGGTCTAAAACTTATTCAAATCGAACGGAAGTTATGGCCATCCAGTTATAAGTCTCCATTATAAATTACTTTCTATTGATTGAATGCAGCAATCACTTTTCATTTTTCTTTTATGTCGCTAATTGGCACCTGGGCGATAACTTATACTATCCACGTACATCGAGACCAAGATAATATATGAACGATGTTTCTTTGTTTTAATCGTCTAGATTACCATATAAATAACACTTTTATTAGGGGGAACATGATTATTGTCTTTCTGACGAATGGAGGCTAGCATAACATTCCAAAATAGACCTTACATCAAACACAAAATACACTCTTCAAAAACAACCAGCCCTTTGTTATTTTCATTGATGATTATATTTCCGTTTTAAAATGTATGTTATTCATTTATCATACATCACCATGTTACACCTCAGATATTTAAATCGTGATTTTAAAGTGAGTTGTGGAGACTTAAAACAAATGACTGTATGGACAAACGATCGGCAAACAGTCTCACAGCCCATCATTTCGTGACTATTGGATTCGAATCACCCAAGGGAAACGGTATTTTTCACTGACAAACGGGTTCCACTATATCTGACAAACCATGTATAATGCTGCTACTATATCTGGCAACCCTTGCATGCCTTAATACTGGGGATATTTAACCAAACTTCTTAGCAAAATATATAAAACCAATGTGTACTTGAATCCAATATAATAAAACGAAATGGGATTTAAAGTCCTACTTGAATCCAGTATATAGAAAAGCATTGAAATCGGAAATATGACCATAAATAAAGCAGGTGTTTAGTATTATTGATATCTCAATTTGTTCTCAACGAAGACTACATATTACTTGAATCGCGAAAAAAATGAGAACTGTCCGATTTTTAAAACTTGGTCATGGGATAAATCTGATTATTATCGTTATTAATGATGGTGGTGATAAGGTCGATAACTCCTCACATAGTAGTGTTGAGGACTAAGACAGGGGGAGAGGATGACGGTGACGACAACTTAATGATATAAGTCAACAACTCCAATTATCCTCTGTATGGTGACTTACCGACATTTATTGTTGAGGCAGCAGTTAAATCTATAAGAACTGTTTTACAGTCTGGATCATCAGTAGCTACACAAACTATTAAAGCTGCTTTGTAAGTTATATCAACTTCATTGTCGTATAGTCTTTTACCATTACCATAAAATACATCATTTTTGAACCAGGTATATCCCATAGTTAAATTGTGATTATCAGGTTTCGTTGTTGATACAGCTTCACAGGTTATTGACATTTTGTTCTTTCTCTTACTCTCGAATCTTAATACTGGATGACCTGGTGGTGGGTGAAGACTTACTATGGGCATATCTGTCAAGGAAATAAGAAAACAAGCAACCAGCCTGATACGATCGTTCAGATTGTATGGAGTTTGTTGGTTGCTTATATTATTAACAAACCGTCGGCAGTATGCAAATCGTTAAGACTCGACTGGGTTTCATCATGGTGTTGGTCGCTAAAATTCTCCGGTTTTTCCAGCATGGTCCGAGGTTCCGTGCATGTCGTCTTTGTTGTGTATGTATCTATATACATTCTCCACATCAACAGCCATGCGATATCCCTGTGAGAGAGTGAGAGAGAGAGAGAGAGAGAGGGAGATGGGTTTAACGTCCACTCGACACAAACTACGTCATTTCGGGACTAACATATGGTTCAATTTTACTTCAATAATTCGCCTGCACACAGGGGTCTTTAGCAGTCATTAATTTAGACTTACCTGTTATAAACAGTTGAATACAACATGGCGACGTCCCTTTCTTGGTTATATCATCTACGCAATATTTGCCGAGATGGTTTTTACTCACGTTCTTGAACTTAAAACTAAGTTCTTCAATGGAATTCACTAAAATTTCAAGACTATTTGGTGTCGCACCGTTTAATAAACTCACATTTCCTTTTTTGCCAACCAATATCTGACGTTCGTCAGCATTTCCTTTGTGGGTGACTTGTATTAAGTTAGCTGGGGCATTGAGAAGTTTAAATGTTAGGGTAACCGAACTCCCATGTTGTACTACCTGGTCGGTTACACACTGACATACGGCTAAAATGAATTATAAATATGAATATCAGTCAAAGACATTTGCATTTCAATGCAATAACAATAACAATGGCAATAACAACAATAACAATCAGGGTCGGATGAAGGGGGGGGGGTAACTGGTAGCGCTGTAATATGGTGTATGTATGTGTGTGTGCTAAATAAATCTATGACTACATGTACCATACTGACAAACAAAATTTAACTGTTGATGCAAGAACCTAAGTGATAGTTTCATCCAGTAGCCCCATGCAAGATTAATTCGGTCCTGATAGTAATAGGAAAACAATAGGGAAAGGAGCATAGGAAAAGAAAAGCAGGTAAAGGTCATACTGCTCGCAGTGTTTCGTTTGATTAGACCTAATCCTTAGTCCATTGCATTTAGGAATATTATGGGTAAAGGTATACATGTACATGAAAGGTGCCCAGTTTGAGAGGCACCAGCGAACTTAACTTCGAAATACCCCATTTGGAGTATGTCCTTTATGAGAAACATAGTCCGAAATAATCAAAGAACAGTCCTATGTCGTATGGAATTAAACATATGATTGATATGAACTTTTTACATAATTTTCAAATCACAATTGTCGGAGTTATAGTCTTTTGAAAATTGTTTCACTTTGCTCTTTCGGGGGCTTTGGCTGTCCTTATTTAGCGAGTGAATTCATGAAACATATACGCCTTGGTTTTCTCTTTGTAAACCAGTCATGTTTTCAGTTAGTGTCCATATCAGTGTGAATTGCGCGGTCTCCTTAAAATGTCTCCCTGAGAATGTGTTTCTAATTGTACGGTCTCTCTGGGAATATGTATCTCATTGCATGGTCTCTCTGGGAATGTGTATCTAATTGTACGATCACTCTGGGAATATGTATCTAATTGTACTCTCTCTCTCTCTCTCTGGGAAGGGAATATGTTTCTAATTGTACGATCTCTTTGGGAATATTTATCCAATTGCATGGTCTCTCTGGGAATGTGTTTCTAATTGTACTTTATGGGAATATATATCTAATTGTACGATCTCACTGTGAATATGTATCTAATTGTACGATCCCTCTGGAAATATGTTTCTAATTGTATGGTCTCTCTGGGAATATGTTTCTAATTGTACGGTCTCTCTGGGAATGTATCTAATTGTGCGGTCTCTTTGGGAATATGTATCTATTTGTACGGTCTCTCTGAGAATATGTATCTAATTGTACGGTCTCTCTGGGAATATGTATCTAATTGTACGGTCTCTCTGGGAATATGTTTCTAATTGTACGATCTCTCTAGGAATCTGTATCTATTTGTATAGTCTCTCTGTGAGTGCAGTGTATATAAATGTGGAGCGTAAAAGGTTTGCCATCCCAATCTAACTTATTCAGCACAAAGCGCATTTTCTTTATATTTCTCATGCAACAAGGAACACCGTCTAGTCGTTCGGATAAGACAAAAAACCGAGGCGCGTGTACATCTTGGCATCCACGTCTTCATTGCCCGTCTTCATTAACTCAGATGAAGCAGAAATGTAAGACCTTAAACCTCATTCACCCAATCATTCATTCATTCATCCAATCATACACATTTTCATTATATAAATATGTAAAGAATTACCTGACTTTGGTAGAATTACAACCAAACAAAATAATGAAACCAAATCAAGAAACATGTCCGATGTTAACAACAAATCAATCTGGTATGATACATATTTTTGTAGGTTGTATGGTTTCCGTGTTTTTTTCACGTCCTTAACGAAAGTCTAACAATTAGTCATAGGGGGTCAACTTTGATTTTTTTTTTTTTTTTATAGTGACAAAAGCTCAAATACGACCTCGTGTAAGAAGTTATACTTAGACGACAAAAATGGAAGTAGAACATATTGGTAGTATATGAAATGAAATCGGGTTTAACGTCCTACTTTTCTACACCGACTTCGCTAATATGAAGACGGGCATGCGCCATACCATACAGTGTGCGGTGAGTGAAATTTATTGCAAGGCTAGCGGCTCTATAACTTACTCTTATTTCATTATTTCAAATTCCAACTGTCAAAGTTTCTTTTACGTGCACCCCAAGGTGTACACAGGACTTCGGTGTTTCGTCCCATCCCAACGACTAGATACTGTCCTTGCTATGCTCTCTATACCAACAAATGTTTTTTAAAACATTAATCAGCATACCTCCGGGACCCTCTGGGCTCCGGGACCCCTGAACAAGTGTCCCAGCTGCCCCCCCCCCCCCCCCCTCTCCTACCGGCTTAACCTGGGGTTTGACTACCGGACTAGTACCATTGCCTTGCTCATCAGGATTAATTCAGCCCAACAGACTTTCAACTAGAGCCAGTGGCAAAACGTAAAAAATCGGGTAGACCAATTTTCATCTTTTTGAACCCTGTGGTATTGACTTCCTGTCTGTCCACATGAACGGGGACCCCAAAACGTAACGCTTAAGTAATGCTTTTAGGAAAACTACCAGGGAGCGTTGTTCGCATTACAGCCAAAACTGTTTTTTGTAACACATCTAGAGTACACCTGTGTCAAAATATAAATCCTTCTGACGATTTTGGGGATTAACCTACTTCTGAGTGGGCCAAATGTCAAAATTGGTCAGCCCCGCCCAATCAACCTTTAATGCATTGGTCCAGGAAAAGAACCCTCGGTAGTTGGAATTCGATATATAAGAGTACCGTTGCGCCACTGCGGGGCAAAATTCCCTTCATAGCACACCGATGGAACCCAGTCGGAGCAGAACAGTAGGACGTACATGATAACCCCATTTAATTTCATTTCTTTTTATTGACGTAGACTATTTTTGTCAACAATGGAAATGAACCCGTGTTCCTACGGCCACTGTAATAGTATCACCTTACGATAATGCCGCAATATTTATATATACTTTAAGCCCCCTTCTACCTTATTATAACACTGAAAAGTCATTTATTTTGCACACTGAAGGAACCATAATATTCAACTGATGACATACTTATTATTTTTAAATTGCAACTGCCTTTTATTTTATTTTGTGTGTAATTATAGTGTTCTTTCTATATTCTACTTGTATAATGTATATGTTTTGTAGTTTGGGAGTTTGGGAGTGACTTATCAAACTTCCCACTTTAAACTGCTATTGCATTTCTAATGATTTTAAATTTATCCTGATATTACATGTAGGCCTAATATGTCTTTGTAGCTTAGGAGGGACCTATGGAAGATTAGTTTTTTTGCAAACTAAATACGTTACCTCATTAAATAAAGTTTTTATTATTATTATTATGAACCCATAATGGGGATACCCTCTTCTCTACATCAGCATTCGTTTCTACTGTTAACGTGCATAAATGGACTAATTTTGGAAGAAATGCGACGTCTGATATGCCGCTGTGACGTCACAGTAATATTTATATTAAAAAAGGGTGGCTGAACGGGCACGTGAGAAAAGAATATTGTTGAAAAATTAAGAAAGAAATCCACCGCCCCCCCCCCCCCCCATAAAAAATAAAAAAATAAACAAGCCAAAAAATTAAGAAAACAAAAAAAACTCCGGTTATAATTTTTCCAGAGAATAAGTTATCCCAAAATACAATATGTTCATTTTTTGCGTTCTGTAATGAATGTCCTTTAAATTTCCCGCATCGTTCTTCAGGAAAGGAAGGAAGTAAAACTATACTGTCACGTGATAATAAAACTATCAACAGAAAAGTCGTCCGGATTATGTAGTTTGGAAGAAGGTTTTTTAGCTTTTTTAAAAGGTAGATCTATAGTATATATATTTTTTTTGAATTCAGACACATTCTAACAATATTATCCAAAATTAAAGCTAAATGTATTTCGTAGGAGGCATATCAATCGGTTATAAATGCTGTCCGTTCTTGACTTCAAAATCAAAGTTCAAAAAAGAAACGTCAAGAAACAACGATCTAAACGAACGGAGACTTTTTTGAATCCATTCAACTATTCTGATCCGAGTTCGAATTTCAATCGATTGAGTATTTACTACAAATATGTTGAGTAAACACTGAGTGCTTGTTTGTTGTAATGTTATGGATCCTTTTTCTTGGAATGGGTGTTAACTTACAGGCTACCGGTAAGCCAATCGGTCAGACAAAATGAAAGTGAAAGTAAAATTTCAAATACTACATTTCCAAATGCAATGAGACATTAATGTACAGTAGCAAACATATTAAAGGAGCTAAATCGCTAATATTGGGACCTAGAAATTGACAATAATAAATTAAACTGATTTACATTGAATCGTTTCTGTTTTACTCTAATTTCAAATCAGTGACAGTAAATGTGATGTTTGGGGGAATACGCCAGAAGTCTCAATCAAATGGCAATCTGTAGCATCTGGTTATTCCAGTCTACCCTGATAGTACTATTTATTGTGCATGCTCTCCAGATAAGAATATAGCATCATCGTTCAACACCACCTGTGGAATATGTCTAGTCTCATTGTTACAATTGACACAAATGGGTCGCAACGCATATGATAATGTAATATGAATGTATTATATATAATCTGATTTACATTCAATTTTTTCCATTTTTACTCTAATTTCAAATCAGTTATGTTCTGCAAAATCAAATGGCAATCTCTATAGCGTCTTGTTATTCCAGTCTACACCGATAGTATTTATTACGCCTGTTCTCCAGATCTATCAGAATATCTGACATACCGTTTGGCATGACTTGTGGAATATATAGCCTGGTTCTTAGAGTCCCTTGTTACAAATGGCACTGAAACACATTATGGTATGCGATTCGTGTACTATTAGTGTATATTTAAAAGACAAAATAAACATTTTACCATTAGTACTACTATATTGTATATCAGAAACCCATCTTTTCCTGGTACGATTACAACATCAATGTTGATTTAAATTGACAAATAATTCGTGTTTTCAATGTCCAAGACTTTGGATGACACTGAGTTACCTACTTTAAGTATAATGTGAAATTTCATCTACACAATCGTATGATAACTGAATGAGAAACAGTCTAGTGATTCTGGGATGTGGGATTGTAATTGATGGCTATCGGTGGTCAAAAATGTTGTAGGGCCTACTGAATGCTGCTTATGATAAAAAATTTTATGTACACCCGCTTTGAAATGTAGTCATATATTGTCGTCACCCCGGTCAGTTAGTCTGGTGTCCACAATTACTTGTGTACAATAAAAAATTACTGGTATCAAAAAAACCCCATCGTTTTATCAAACGTTTCCACAGGAATAATACTGACTTCTTCAGCGATGTTTGTATCGGATTCTTCATCCCTGAGAAAAGTAAATAAAATGATGTTCTTTTGCATATTTTATTCTATTAATTATTGTATATCAATTTATATTAATATCAGATGCATCATTTTGACTTGATTGATCCCATCAAACCACCTGTAATTGGTTTGGCAGGGTTGGATGGCTGAATGGTTAGCACGTGCGCGCTGTATCATAAAGTCTGCCATTGAGTCAACTGGCGTGGTTTCGATTCCCTGGTTGTACGTGGCAAGGAGTAGGGTCGCCTATCCAACCTCGTGGGTTTTCTCTGAGTCCTCCGGTTGCCTCCCACTGCTAAAGACACCTACACACAAGCGAATTATGGAAATAAAATTGAACCATATGTTAGTCCCGAATTGATCTAGTTTGTGTCGAGTGGATATTAAACCCCATTTCTCTCTCTCTGTATGTAATTGGTTTGTGTTACCTGTTTCTATTGATTGGAAGTTTTTCACAATTGCTTGTGGACGTTCTAGAGGCCAAAGTTATAATAATCTGATTGCCTTTAAATTCAAACACAGAGTTAAAATTCATGAGACGAAGAAACTTATTGATTTCTGATAATTACTGCCAGAGTTATGGTCTTTATCACTTAATCTAAAATCTTGTGGATATCCGATTGACTTTAAATTGAAATGTTCAGGGTTGTCCGGTTGACTTGAAATTTATACACAGTGTTCAAGGTCATGCAACAAAGAAACTTATTGATTGTCAACAATTTCTGATACTTACTGCCGTCAGAGGTATGGCCCTTGATCACTTTAAAAAATCTTGATGCCCTAGAGACTAAAGGGGCAAAACTAGTCGCTAAACAAATCCTAATTAATTACTTAACGAGCTGTTTTTAGTGTCTTTCATTACCAACAAAAGAAAGAATATGTGAAAACCTTGTGGACTGGTCAGATGACTTACCTGCAGTGGGCATATGTTTTGTTGTCTGGCAACCTATCTTAACCATATTTATTTCAAATTTAGTATAAAGCGTTACGGTCTTGAGAGGACATATATTCAGATTTCCATTCCTAAGTAATCCCCTTTTCTGATATTCTTTTCAAATTTGGTGTGAAGCCTTGGGGTCTTATATATTCAGCATTCTATGACCTTCGCTTTCAGAGTTACCTAGCCCTTTTCCAAAAACCTTGTGAATCTAGTACCAAGGGCTTATAGTCAAACAAAAAGACTTTAAAGATGGGTTCCCAGAAAGTATTTATCGGGTGGTTATTTCCAATAAAAGTATGTCAATTTTGGTATATATGGAAAGTAGATATATCCAATCTTAAATCTTACTAGAAAAATACTGGATTCCCCGAAAACCACTCATGGAGCGTATACAGCCCGACGATTAGGAATTTCTGCATGCGTGATGTCAAAGGTCACACGCGAACATTGAGCGCTTGATGTACAAGTTGATAAACTTCATGAAGAGTTAGACGTACAACACTTTCTGAGATAAAAATGACAGGAAAAGAAGCAGGTAGTGGATAATCCAATAATTTAATTAGGATTCAATATTTGTAATAAATAGTAAGCGATTAAAGACAACATCGTCTTACATGTACATGTATGTACGCAATGAATTCTCCTCTGACTTCCAAGAGAGGTAAGTCACGTGACGTAAACATGACCGGGTTTGATCAAATTTTTATAGCAGGGCATTCCTTCGCAATTACAATGTTTGAGAAGGATTTGAAGCAAAATTATGACAAATTAATTAGTTTGAATATGTTTTTAGTCCATATATACCATTAAATCACCCAGTTTGTACACGGGAATGTATCTTTAAATGTGCTAAATGTTTGTAATTAGAAAAACAAATTAGAATTCAATATTTCAATCAATATTGATGTTGTTATCTTACCCCAATATCCAATATTTAAAACACAATGAAGGTTTTAAAATCTGTACACAATGTTGTGTACTCTCACTCTCCACACAAGTCTCGCTATCCAGCATTCGATACTTTGGACTGCAAAGGAAGACAACTCTGTTTGGGAGATTGGTGTACTCTGTGACATAATAGTTTTGAGTGCCATTTGTAATAAACAAAGAAGACCGTAGGAAGTTATTATAAATGGCTGATTCACAAATATGTCAAAATAATAATAAAAAAAAAATCATGCAAAATGAACTAAGCAGTTGCTAATAATTGGCACTGAATTTGGACTGTTAGTGTAAACCGATTTCACCGAACACAATCTAAAAAAACTGAATGTAAATCACTATATACACTCATATTATGTGTGTGTTTAGACCAATGGTCGACTAAAGGTTCCAAAGAATAGAGCAATACACCCTTTAAATGACATATATGAGAAATACAAAAAAGGCTAATTGATATATTATCTTCAAAAACTGAATGTAAATCACTTATATATGGACTCATATTTTAGACCCATGTTTGACTATTTTAAGGTTCCTAAGATTACAGCTATATGCCCTTTAAATAGCATATAAAAATAATGAGAAATACAAAAAGGCTAAATAATGAAATTAATATGAAAACTCCAATCATTATTGTTACATATGGATTTTCTCATTAAGAGTTTGTTCAAGCTGTCAAGATCCCAATGGGGAAGTGGTATCAGTGGTTAGTGTTCAAAAAACAGTTGTGCAGAAAAGTAGGATGTTAAACCCGATTTTATTTCCTTTCCAAACTTACATTGTACTTGACCAACTTGTAAAATATAGTTAGGAGTTGCACATAAATCTCTGTTGTTTAAATGGTTATTTAATTCTTTTTCAGGGTCATCTTTTAAAATCTGCAACAGTGCTTATGGTACATGTATGTGTACTTTATAGAACAATTATTAAAGGGTCTGTAACCCTAACTGAAAATTTAATTCAACAAAATGGCAGAGAGAAAGGAAGAGAAAATAAATTGCAGCATTTGCTTGAACCATTTCACGAAACCAAAGATTATTGATTGTTTCCACACTTTCTGCGAGTCGTGTCTATATGATTATGTCATTCGCCGTGCACAGTATAATAGATTTCCCTGTCCATTGTGTCGGAAGAGTATACGGGTGCCGAATGGTGGAGTCAAAGAATTTTCAACCAACTTCTATATTGAGGAGAAACCTGTGGAAGACGTAAGCAAGACTGCTGTTTGTAGCCACCATAAATTGGAAATTGAGTATTATTGTCGGGACTGTTACTTGGCAGTTTGTTTTAAATGTTTCGTAGTTGATCATAAGGGTCATACAGGAGAATATATCGAAGATGTGGCAGTCGACGCAAAAACAGAGTTGGAAGAAATTAAAGACAATCTGAGTAAAAGAATCTCGAAGGCTGAAAAATTGTCAAATTTCTTGTTTTCTGAGAGACAACGTGTGACATTTTCCACGGATTTGGAGTGTGATAAGGTAGATAGACATGTCAAAAGTGTTTGTGCAGCTGCTGAACTTCATGGCCTAAAATTAAAAGAGAACATCCGCAATTCTTCTTCTGCCTGGCATAAACATGTGGGTCAAATGCTGAAAGACATGAACAATTCAGTCAAGGTCTTGAAACAGATTGCAGAAAAAGTAGCAGATATTTTAGATAAGGGACGTGTGGTTGAAATGTTAGATGTGACCCCTTTGGTTAAATTACAATCAATGGTTGAAAGTTACCATTGTGACAGAAAAACTAATTGGTCTGAAAAAATCCCCCAGTTTAAGAAAGGACGATTCAGTGAGGAGAGACTGACTCAGATAGTAGGCAAAATAACAAAGGAATCTACTTTTGTCCAACCTCAAGAGATAATAGAAGATGATCATGATGATGTTTCTTTATCCACACAACTTGGATCATTGGCTGTGAAAGAAACTTGCTCAAAAGTTGATATAGGTCAAGTTGGTACTGTTGATGTCTGTGTCCAAAGAGATTTAAATTCATTGAAACTTTCACAAGAAGTGCCAGCTGATCATGATACCGCATACAGTTTTAAAGAACTTTATAGAACTTTGTCTGTATCGCAAGGTCGAAGATTACGTTCGAGGAGAAAGCAGAGTGATTTCCGTTTCAAGAATAAGGATAATTTACAGCCGGTCGAACAAAATGGAGCACTCTCCATACAATCATCTGATAGGGAGGCAGCAACTGATTCAACTGTAAGTGTACCATCTGATGAAGCTCAGGTAAGGGTCATTTCAGCTACTGATCCTAAAAATAAAACCCAACTTACAAGCAAAAATGTACCCCTTGAAGTTAGTTGCCATCCATCAGCAAGATCAGCATCTATACAAGGGCAGACAACTTCTAATGGACCCACCTCTGATCTAAGTTCTAATGTTGAGTTCTCAGCAGGAGGAGATAAAGAATCTGGTGACAAAGCAACGGATGACAAGAAAAACATGGCAAAGTCGTGGGAATCAGAGGAGAAAACAAAGAACTCAAATTTGAAAGACTCGATTTACGGTGAACCTTTACCAAAACTTCTAGGAATTGGAACAGAGGATGTTTTACCCACAAAACTTGGAGAAATAATCTTAAATGAAAATGAGAGAAGCTTGAAATTTGAATTTGATTTGCAAGACGTGGAAAAGAAATGTGCCAGAAAGGTACAAAAGGTAAATGATCTTGGTTTGATGGTAGAGGTAGGGAGAGACAGTAATTCATCACTGTTTATTGATGTTGGATTAAAATCTCTCGGTTTATATAAAATGTCTTTCATGTTGTCGTTAGCAACAGATTCCGATCGTCCAGCCGTGAATCAGTTTGTAGAAGCAGCTATATATGGGTACTGGGGACCAAGTTATAGATGGAATAAAGTTGTGAGGAAAGAAACTTTGCTGGATTTTTGTCAAGATAAGTTCACTGTTGAGATTACTCTGTCCAATATCAAGAGAATTAAATAAAACTCGACATAAAAGATGCATTATGTAGGATTTAGATAAAGAGCTGGCCATTCTTGCTTACAATAGTTAAAAAATAGATAATGAAAAATGAATATAGTGAAAATTTCATTCAAGTTGCTTTATTCTGAGTGTTAGAAGACATAGCCTAGATTGTTCATTATCGTAACATTATCAATAAATTTTAAAATCTAGCGGGTGTTCAAATCCATTTAAATCTCTGCCATCCAATGGTGTAGTGAGTTGATTATGGGCTTGTCATGTAAAGTAAATGCCTAAATAATAGTTTATATAAAATTTAGTGAAAATAAAGACCTGCAAGATTTAGCTCTTACATAATGCATCTTTAAATTATTTAATGTGTGGATTGAAATATCTGTGGTCATACGCTTTACTAACTCGAGCACCAATCCTAGAGTCTCATTTTGCTCAAAGATGTTCACAGGCCTTAATGTTTGCAAAATTTCCACAGCCACATTTTGACAATTAGTGATGTAAAACAGGAATATACAATAAGTAAGAGTGTGATAAATGTAAGTAAATGTGTATTGAAATGAATGTGAGCTGAATGTGATAGATAAGTCGTAGAAATGTGTATTGAAATAAATGTGAGCTGAATGTGATTGATATCAATGTGTATTGAAATGAATGTAAGCTAAATGTGATTGATATACAAATGTGTATTGAAATGAATGTGATTGATATAAATGAATGCAACCCATTATTTATTAGGCTACTCAAGACACTGTTCCAAAATTATATGTACATAAAATATTATGTTATCAACAACACTGATTAGCTTTATCATCTAATTTAAGTTTTATTGTTCTGAGAAGTTGTGTAAGTGTGGCAGTACTACTGATTTATATGATAACTACTCAAAAATGTGTATTAAAATTATGTCACAGGCGACAAATAGTCAAAACCATATTCTTTAATTTCTTACTTGGTTGGATTAAGTCCTTGTTTTATTGATAGTCTAAAATATTTTCACTCCCACCTTTTTGCTCCATATTATTGTTTACCTTTTATTTAATGATGACACAAGAATACTTGTTGAAACACTACACTATTATTAAGTTGCTAGTTATCCATGAAGCTGTGTTTATTGTTTTAGACATATTAGTGTTGTTTGTTTAGTTTTCTTTTTTTTTTACACCCACATTGAAATGTGGTCGTATATTGTTGTCATCCCCGTCCGTCGGTCTGGCGTCCACAATTGCTTGAGGCTGAAGTTAAATTTGTACACATAGTAATTTGTTTAAGGTCATGAGATGAAGAAGCTTACTAAATTTCAACGATTTCTGATAATTATTGCCAGAGTTATGGCCCTTAAGGACTTTGAAATATCTTGTGGGTGCCCTAGAAAGTTAATATTCGGTTGGCTTTACAGGTTTAAAGGTCACAAGACGAAGAATCCTATTGATTTTCAACGATTTCCGATAATTTCTGCCAAAGTTACATGTATGACTTGGAATCACTTTGAAATATCGTGTGGATGCTCTAGACGCAAAAGTTAAGATCCGATTGACTTTAAATTTATACACAGTGTCAAAGGTCACAAGGTGAAGAATCTTATTGATTTTCAACAGTTTAAGGTCTTGATATGAAGAAATATATTGATTTTCAATGATTTTTGATCACTTATATTAAATGTTTTGTATACTAAATGTTAGCATGAGTCAGAACTTATATAAAATATAAGCCAAACAAATTCTAATGATTTTCTGATAATTAGTTAATGAGCTGTTACTCTTCTTAATAAGATTTTACTGTATTATAAATGTCTCATTACTGACAAAAGAAAAAATATGCGACAACTCTTGTTGACTGCCCGGACAACTGAGTGGCTGTGGGCGTATATGTTTCATTGCCTGGCAACCTATCTTTTAATATACTCAGCATCATTATTAAAAGATATGATAATGATGTAGGGAAATTTATTTTGTTTACTAAAATTTCATCTGTACATACATGTATATTTGTAAGTTGATATCTCGGTCACCATAGAATTTATTTATTCCTTAATAAAACATATTTTTAATACTATAATAGTGCTTCTGACAAAATAAAATATATTTCTTTAAATACAGTTGTTTTCCATCCATTTATTCAGATGAGTGGCTCTATCTGTGCTTTCTTCCTCTTTAAGGCCATCAGGTCAACAACCCAAAGTGCTTATGCATTTCCTTTTGTCTGGACTGGTAATCAATTTATATTTTTTTACTGCTTCATATATAGGTAGTATAGATGGTGGGAATTTAGATTTGCTTATGTGAAGAATTTCTTTACTGGAGGGACAGAGCAAGCTCACTTAATACTATAGGGGGAAGTTAAAAGAAAAGATTCTTCTATTGAACCACTGAATAATATTTTAATTTGTTATGGTACATTGTAATTGAGATTTGTTAATAAAAAAGGGTGGTAGCTTGATTTCATGTCGCTTGATTACAATTTCATCATTTCGAGAGTCGAGCATACCCATAATGTAACTTGTCTAAAAGTTCATATTAAAGCTGAACTCTGGTTACAAAAATACCAAAATAATTAAATAAAAAAAAGTTAACGCCCCCAAGCCGCCATACTCTCTACACACGCTTCACTGATTGATCTATTGAAGATTGCAAAATGTCTGATCAGGTAAGCCTGTAAATAATTATATGAACTGCGTCTACTACTATATAGCCTACGCTTTACTCTAAAACAAAAGATGCAAAAAGATGGCTTACCCCAACCTGAAATTTTCAACCAAAACAAATCACCTACACAAACTATAGAGCAATAAGTGAAGCGTGTGTAGAGAATAACACCGGATGTGTACAGCTGGCTGACAAAAAACAAACTGGAAGTGAGATCAGCTAACCTATACAGGTCATAAGCCTCCATGTCTGCCATATTTATTTCACAGATTGGAAACAATATGGCGGCTTGGGGGCGTTAATTTTTTTTATTTAATTATTTCGGTATTTTTGTAACTGGAGTTCAGCTTTAAACATACATTATGCAAGAGCTAAATCTGTCTATTGCAGGTCTTTCTTTAGGCCTGAAATATTATCTAAATTATTAATTAGACATTAATTAACCTATCCAGATCATAATCAACTGTAGATGGCATCGCTAGCCTGCAATCTTTACTGGATTATGAGCCGATTTATTGCATAACTTTTCTACACGATTAAATGGATGATCGAGACTATGCTGTTTATCGTACTGACTTTAGTAATGATGATTAAGGCTAGCCAGAAATATCATTCGCTTAGTTCTCGGTTAATAGTGGATCAATTTGAATGAAATTTTCAGCAAATTGCCTTTACATTATCTAGTTTTTAACTATTATAGTGAGAACTGTTAACTCGTTATCGAATCTCCCATAATGTATCTTTAATTTAATTTGCAACAGGTTATCAATAAAAAAAACTCTTTCACTTGTGCTTGCAAATTTATTAAATTTTACACTTGAAGTTTGTTCTTAGTCAAAACCCCATTTTCATATAAATACGGGGGTACTAGTGACCTTTAAGTCCCACCCACAGTTCTGACTATTTTAGAGTACCAAGAAATGTTTAGGTCTTGTACATAGACATCTTTAGCAATTGGAGGAAATCCGATGAGCCGGAGAAAACCTACGATGTTCGGCAGGGAACCCTAATCCTTCTCTTGTACAGACTTGGGATCGAAACCGTGACTCAGTGGCCCAACTCCCCTCTAGAAAAAATGCCTTCTGAAAAGTAGTCTTGACATAAAATTATTTATTATGTACAATTTACATTTATTTGTTTCTTACAACAAAGCTTGTTCTCGAAAAATACATTCATGACAATATTTGTTCAGATCCACGGTTCATATGGAATCGGTAGAATCTAGATGATCTCTGGCCATCTGACTGTGATGTATCTGACTTTATCAACAGATAATTGTAAGAGCAATCAGGATTTTATGGCAGGGGTTCCAGTTTTGCCGAGTCCCAAAGAACCATGGTAAATGAGATTATCTCCCTTTAGTTATCAAAGATGACAGATTAGGATCAGCCGACTTCATTGTCAGACCAAAATACCAGCAATATTTCTACATTCTAGCTTAAATTAAATTGAGGTATTTTATTTTCATTACCTTCATTTGAACATAGGTCATCTAATTGTTCCATGACAGATTAGGATCAGCCGACTTCATTGTCAGACCAAAATACCAGCAATATTTCTACATTCTAGCTTAAATTAAATTGAGGTATTTTATTTTCATTACCTTCATTTGAACATAGGTCATCTAATTGTTCCATGGCAGAAGGGACCCCCCACCCAAAAAGCCATGCTAAAATCTATTCAAATATCATTTAATTAACAATCATTTTCTGGCTTGGATTAAATTGGATTAGAAAGGGGGCCCATCCAAAGATTTTAACCAATACTTATAGGTGGTGCTGTCTTCTTAATATCGTCCACAGAAGATGCTGAATTTCGGGAAATTTTCACTTATCATATATTTGTAAATACCGAATTAAATTTTACAATTTTTGGACTGATATTCCTTTTATAGTTTCACTTTCACATTATGACAGTTTTAACAGCATTTTAAATCCGTCAAAAGACGATCAAAACACAATAACATAATAATCTATATAGCTAAAGCCTGGGTAGTCATATTTCATACTGTACTAACTACATAAACAAAATAATGACCATTTCTACAGTCTATAATTTAAACGTCCATAATTTATAAATGTGATTCTATTAATTTGATAAACACATAAAACGTTTACATTCATTTCTTGATGTATGCTTATACATCAACTAATCAACTTCAAGATCTCCTTTTAACAGCAGTTAAAAATGAAAAAAAACTTTCTCTACGATGACGATGTTTTCAATTGATTATCATAGGCCGGATATTCTGATTATTTTTGTTTTTCTTCTTAACAGGCAGGAAACATTCTGAAAATCAAATAGAAAGTTAAAATAATGAAATGGGGTTTAATAATCTACTATTCTGCTCTGACTGGGCTAATGAAGACGGGCACACGCTATACAGTGTGCTATGAGGGAAAATTTGCCCAGACAATGACAATACGACCTATTTTAAAATCCAATTCATACTGCCAAGTTTCTTTTACGTGCATGCCAATGTGTACATGGGACCTCAGTTTTTCGTTCCATCCAGATGACTATATGTTGTCCCTTGCAAGGCCCTGTGTCCTGCACTACTGACAAGGGCGAATCTCAATAAACTTTCTTGGCCAAACCAGGATAGAACACGACACCTCCAGGTTAGCAAGTCAACGCCTTTCTTACTGAGCCACTGCTACTCCTCAGAAAGTTAAAGAGAAAAGTAAACAAATAGAATGGGGCTTAATGTCCAATTTTTCTAGTAGTAGTAAATAAGGGTTAACAGCTACTCTTATATCGAATTCCAACTGCCACAACTATACATTGCCCCTTGCCAGGTCTTCGGTCCTGCACCACTGACATGGAGGAACCACCCCCCGGAAAATCCTGATGAACTTTCTCGGCAAACGCAGGGATCAAACACGAAACCTCCTGGTTAGTGAGCCTACTTCTTATACCCATTGAGCCAACATGGCTCCCAATAAAAATAAAAAGATTCCTCTAATACAGTATCTGTGGAGTATACCTGAATTATTCAACAGTTCTCAAGTACTTTAAACCGGACAATTTCTCAAAATAGTAACATCAAAATACCTACGGCTGGAAATTAGCAGTTGGTTCGGCAACTTTTTGACGAATCATAAATGTGGCTAATACTTCAGCTACCTAGAAATAAAAAACATTTTTCCATTTAAAAATTTCTTTAAAGAGGAATTATTAGTTTCTACTATCCTCACTGGTTAGTAAAAATTCTTCAGCCATTTGATGTGATTTCACTATACAGTTGCAACCAGGGATCTGCAAATATTATTGTTTGCAAAGTTTGAGATAAATTTGCGTAGCTATCGCTCAGATATTTTAACTTTCAGTTTTAGTGTCATTTAAGAAGTTTAATAAGTCTAAGTCGAATTATGCTAAAATTGTTGATATTTTTTTGCGTCTGTGACTAAGATCATTTGTAACCATGTTGGAAAAATATGTACTCAAATTAGTCAAATTGAATATTTAGAGATACTTTCCCAGAAAAGTATTTATCGGGCGGTTATTTCCAATAAAAGTATGATGATTTTGGTATATATGGGAAGTAGAAATATCCAATTTTACTAGAAAAATACTGGATTCCCTTAAAATCAACCATGGAGCGCATACAGGACAAAAATGTAAGGGTTTCCTAATCGGCAGCCCGACGATTAGGAATGTCTGCTCGCATCACGTCGAAGGTAGCACGCGGAGATTGAGCGCTTGATGTATATGTTGATAAACTTGATAAAAGCTAAACCTACAACACATTCTAAGATAAAAACCAGGGAAGAAGAAGTGGGCAGTGGGTAATCTGATAATTTAATTAGGCTTCGATATTTATGATTTATGGATAGTGATTAAAGACAATATCGTCTTGTGTATGCAATGAATTCTCCTCTGGCTTCGCACCTGTTGCTAGGTAATATGTCAGCTAAGTCACGTGACACAAACATGACTTCTTATAATAGATTTCTTATAGTAGGGGTATTCCCTTGCAAAAAAAGTGTTTTGAGAAGGATCTGAAGCAAAATTTTGATAGATTAATTAGTTTGAATATGTTTTTAGTCCAAATACATCATCAAATCACTTAGTTTGTACATGGGAATGTATCTTTAAACTTGGTATATAATATCCCAGCTAAGATTCAGTTGGATAACAAAAAGGCCCATCAAAAGATTTAACTCGACACTTGTTTATATCATCTGCAGAGAATGGCAGAAGTAAAGTTGTAAAATTTTCAATACATCATATTTTGTGAATTTTTAAATCCACTGTATTTATGTAAATATTATTTAGAATTGAACCATTTTTGAACTGATATTCATTTTAGCTATTCAACTTTCATAATATTGTTGTTTGCAAAGGATTCAATATTAAGTTTACTCACCTTATCAGGGTTATCTTCATGTACAGCATGACCACATTGTGGTAAAACTTGCATCTGGAATTTACCTGAAAATAATCATACAATACTAAGTCATGAAAGTATATGCGCTATAAAAAATGTACCTGTAATAATAATACATTTTAAAACTATCGATTTCAGAGTAGGGGTTGAGGTCATGAATTTTTATTGAAGACCCTGGATAATAATGGGTGACCCTTGATTTTAACAGAGACAGAGGATGCTTGGGCATGGTAATAGGAGTATAAAAAGAATTAATATAAATAATAAGTAAATTGCATCTTTTCCCTTTGTGACATAAAGAATCAATAATCAAAATTACAAATTTCTAGATTCATCCCATCCCCCCACCAAAGAAATGGCATGCAGTGGAAAATGGATATAGCTGCCTTTTCACCTGAGTTCTGCTGCCAACTCTAGACTTCCTCAATTATAAACCACAAATTATATACAGTGTACTATACCTTGCATCTGACCTATAGTTAAATCTTTATCTAATCTATCTACACCTGTAATTGAAGCAATATTTATAAGCATCTTTATGCTTGTTTTTGTATCCTATCTCATACTGTAATTCAGCTATAAAAACTGTAAACATTGCAAATAAAAATTGTTTAAACCAATTTTAAGTTAAATGAAATTCATGCATTGCATTGCTTCTACTTCTGAATTTTGACACAATCTTAAATTCATTGCTGCTTTACCCAAATTCCCATCAATTACATTTAAGGTTGTAAAAAGGATTATCATGGACAAGAAATTGTTTTTCTTTTTTTTTTAGGTACAAATAGATACATGTATGTCATCTAATTAAGGTGGATTTTACTGAATCAACCAGTCAGAGAGAATCTTAAATGATTTTTTTTATAAGTATTGTACTTGTGGGGATGAATATATACGATTATGATTCTTATCAACTTTGCCAATATATTACCTGCTAATATTAACATCTTTGGTACTTCACACGATAAAAATTTCTGTGACAGACCTTGAAACCAATCTAAAAATAGACAAGATTCACATGGTTAGTATCTGATATACAATGTCAGTTAAAATTAATGGAATTTTATCTGTTTTTTGTCTCGGATGAAATATGACTAATATTTATTTAATAATATTCACTAATGTTAAAAATAAACAAAAAGATCAAAGATAGAATTTTGATAGATTTACATTATCTAGAAATCTTAAAATGCATAAAAACAGTCCAAAAATATATCATTTTAGTTGAATTGTATATTCGAATAGCATGACTTGGAACATTTGAATAATAAAATCATAATTTTAGAAGAGAACCCTTGCTGTTGACCATGAATCAAATTGCCATACCTTTCCAATACATATCTGTATTAGCTAAATCTATTCTCCATGTGTACTGATTTTTACAATTCTGGAAATAACATTATAATCAGAGGATAACATCATGAAATGAGTTACTTATTTGTGCAGCCTAGACTAACACCATCAATGAGCCCTAGAATTTTTTGTACAGGGGCCATATGGTTTTGAAATCTAAAATTTGAAAACAATTGCTTTTAAATTTTAAAGTGAAAGCTGTATATATTGAACGTCACGGAATTGAATTTCCCCAATCCCAAAATTGTGAAAATGGGGATTTTGTGCTACAACACATGCATAAAAAAATATCTCATGTAACCATGATAGCTGAAACATATTTGTTGTGTTTAGTTACATCACGATTCTACTCACACCACTACTGTTATCGGGACTGACTGAACTGTGACAGGACTCAATTCTGCACCACTCAATTGCAATTCTGTCAATTTGGGACGTCCGGATTGACTCTCAAGTTTCCTCATAGTGTTAAAAAAAATTGTCGGACCGATTCTGTTTTTGAAGCCAACAAGAAGGAAAAATGACCAACTTACTGATGAAGTAGGTATTTTAAAATCTGGGTTGTTTCCCTTAGAGGAAGTTGATTGGCTGCTGGGTGTAGCTATCTCATCTGGCTCTTCTTCTATGGTATCTGTAGGTAATGATGGCGTCTGAAGATCATGATCATGTTCATGTTCATGTTCTAATTCTGCCGAGGCGGTTTCATCATTGTCTACCCTAATAAAATAATAATTTAGTGTTAAATTTACAATCTATACGGCAATAAGTGGAACTGTTTGTCAAGACATATTTGCAACAGTTTACTCTTATTTTGATTTCCAACATAAAAACCTTGCACCACAAAAAAGGGGAAATGCGACTGGAAACACCAGTATCGAACCAGAGCCACAGTAGCTCCCTGTTAGAGTGTATATTCAACAAGACAGTATATCCCATGCCGGTTATATACAAATTTTACAGAACCACTGAAGGAAAGTGAGGATATTACGAAGAATTTATGTTTTTTTGAACAACCTAAAATTCAGGTTGTTTAAAGGCCTTAATAATTGCTTTGAATTCTGAAATTCAAAACATTTTCAATTTAAGTACACACAGACAACAGATGGAGATCATATCATTTTTCTCATGAATTATTTAATATTTTTCTCACCTTTTAACCTGTCCCACCATTGATACTCTGGCAGAATCAACATTACGGATCTGTCCGCTTCTTACTCTAGGAAATTAAAAACATAGCAAAATCTTCATTAATCGCTTGTCTATCACACTGTAAATGGTTAAATACAATGCAGCAACTATTTGCTAAATTATCTTTACCATTCTAAGTCGTTAATAACAGAGCTCACCCTTCTGTCTGCAGCAACCGAGCTCATGCTGTGTGCTATGCTGGGAAACTTTGACACTGGACAGCAGCATTTCGGCCCACTCTTCATCAAACTCCAACTATCACAAACTTTTTTGTATTTATGCCAATAAGTATACAGGTGTACCTTGGTTTTTCGTCCCATCCAAACTACTAGACATTGTAACACTTGGAAACCAGACTAAAACATCCAGAGGAACCTTTCTGACAAAAGGAGTGATTGCTTCTGGAAACTCATGGTTAGTGAGCTACTGCTAGTTATATACACACTGAGTCAGTATGGCTTACTCAGCTAACATTAACAAAGACAATTATATAAAATTATTCTATTTACTTACGCCCATTCAATAACATTGTCTAATGATTGAAACATTTTTGGTCGACCACGTAAAAAACTCTGCATGCCCGATAAAGCATCCATTGCTGAACCTGAAAATATAATTTAACATTATCCAAAAGCATCCATTGCTGAACCTAAAAATATAATTATAATTAAACATTATCCATGAGCATTTAGTCACAATTATTTCATGCAATAATTTTGGTAACCAATTAATTCCATCAAGGTATTTTTAATGTACAATGAGCAAAGTGACATATTTTTATAACCGTGCCCCCCTATAACAGTGAAAACTGAAAGGATGTTCAATGCAGTGTTACAGAATATAATTTTTACAATCCAAAATGGTGTCAAGCAAACACAAAAATACGTACACCAATGGAATATGATAATATCTTGTTCAATCATCATAGCTGAAACGTTCGATCCATCACGGTTCTGTTCAAACTGCATCCGTTTTTGTGAATGGCAGAACTGTGCCCTCGCTATGACATTGAAATTTCAAAACAAATAAGAAACGCAGAATGGAACAAACCTTCAACAACGTCTATAACACATAAACCAATTAAAGATGGGATTAGATGTTTATCAGCTACATTTACAGCTATAGATCCTCCCATACTGTTTAATATAAAACATACATTAAATACAATATTAAACAGCTATATATCCTGCCATAGTGTTTAATATATAAACATACATCATATACAATATCAAACAGCTATAGATGCTCCCATAGTGTTTAATATAAAACATATATAAAATACAATATCAAACAGCTATAGATCCTTCCATAGTGTTTAATATAAAACATACATTATTATATACAATATCCAACAGCTATAGATCCTTCCATATAGTGTTTAATAAAAAACATACGGTACATCATATACAATATCAAACAGCTATAGATCCTGCCATAGTGTTTAATAAAAAACATACATTAAATACAATATCCAACAGCTATAGACCTTCCATATAGTGTTTAATAAAAAACATACGGTACATCATATACAATATCAAACAGCTATAGATCCTGCCATAGTGTTTAATAAAAAACATACGGTACATCATATACAATATCAAACAGCTATAGATCCTGCCATACTGTTTAATATAAAACATACGGTATATCAAACAGCTATAGATCCTGCCATAGTGTTTAATAAAAAAACATACATCATATACAATGTCAAACAGCTATAGATGCTCCCATATAGTGTTTAATATAAAACATATCTAAAATACAATATCCGAAATGAAATGAAAGACATGAGGTTTAATGTCTTACTTTTATGTACCAAGGCAAATGAACCCATGCAGTATGCTATGAAGGATATTTTGCCAGGACTGTAATAATCAGACCTACTATAATTTGGATTTCAAATTGTTAAGAGGTTTTTAATGTGCTGCCAATGGTAAACATAGGATCTCTACTATCTGAACAACAAAACACTTTTCCTTGCTAGGCCCACCATCCTGTACCATCCTGCACTGACAAGGAAAAACTAGGCTGGAAAATCCTGAGGAACTTTCTTGTGACATCATTCAAGATGGCTGACACCAAAAAGTATAATAGAAAGGGCTGCTGTTTGTTATTCTCCATTTACAAAGAGTTCTAATTAAAAATAAAGTTGGTATATTTGACTGACCTGTGACCTATTAAAATGATTGGAGGAAGATCTTCACCATATAAACTTTTAACAACATCACCAACATCACTGTAAGATAACAACATGTATCTGTTAAAATATTTACTTTTTTCTTTATCTGCATAATATAATTCTGATTGCTTGTGAATTTAATGTTGAAACAACATTTAGTCATTGAACACATTAACATCATCACGAGAAGACAATTATTGAATTTCATTGGTTTCTACAACGATTCTCTTGTAATTTTCAAGCAATTTAATTCTTACTTAGCCATTGTATCTGCACTTAAGTCACTGTCATTGGATGTCGAACTGTCACCTGTTCAAAAAGAAGAAGAAACGTTAATTATAATTTTTTTATACCGTTGAAAGTAATTTTTTTTTTTTATAATCATTAAATCGCATTTGGGGTAATGTGTCTAAATTTCTTATTTTCGAAATTACCATGCTGATTAAAAATTGTAACAGACAATGGAGAGCGGCCAACTGTAGGAATAGGACCACAACATATTTGATGTTTGATTATTAAAAGTTGAGAACTTACCATGACCACGTAAATCTATAGCGGCACATCTACAGGTAACCAGATCAGATACTACCGACTAAAATATATAACATCAGATCAGATACTACTGACTACAAATAAATATAACATCAGGTCAGATACTACTGATTATGAATATATAACATCAGTTCAGATTTACTGACTATAAATTTATAACATCAGATCAGATAATACTGACTGCAAATATATAACATCAGATCAGATACTACAGATATATAACATCAGTTCAGTTTTTTTAAATAAAAATTCAAATGTACAATAGACAGTAACACATAGAGGTATGTGAAGACAGAATGTCAGTCAAATAAGGGACATAGTTCTTCGTCCATCACAACGACCAAATACACCCAACCAAGTACAGGAATAAACCAAATTTCAAGATGACAGCCAACTACATGAATATGCAATATTTTATCATCTCTTTTACAGATGAGTACAGTTCAGTACAGTGACACATGGTGTCAAAATGCTCTTGGAAGAGTAAGCCTACCCTACAAGATTACAACATAGAACAAATATCTATAAATCCAAACAATAACATTTATATTAAAAAGATTAATAAAAACAAAGAAAGAAGACAAATCTGTAATGAATAATATGACAGGCACCAGATCAATTGTACATGTCAAAGCCAGTATTTGCTTAGGACATTGTCAGTGACCGGTGACTTATTTCCTGGCTTACTTGACGATAAAGTTTGTTTCAGATTTTGAGACATTATAGTCTCACCATAACACATGATTCAACTGCTTCATAAGCTGTGCCTTTTTCAAATGTAGGCCTTCTTTGTGTAAGGAAGGAATACAATCTATTCATCTCTAAAACAGAATGATTACTTACTGATAAAAGTGCCCATGATAATCCTGAAAATCCTCCACCATGTAGAAACACAAGAACGGGTCCTGTCGTACCACATTCATAAACTCTAAATATCTACCATATATTTAGGAATATACAAATGTGCATTTACACATATAAATTCCACAAAAGAAATTCTGTAAACAAAGAAATACTTTGGCAACAGGGCAAGGCACAATTTGATTTCTCATCACAAAGGTTATTCTCCAAATATAAGGCCACACCACTTTTAATTTCAGTTCTCTGAAATCACCTATTAAAATTTTGCTTCAAATTTCTTTGGGGGTAAAAAATATAATTTTAAAAATTAAAATATCAGATTGGTTTGCCCTAACTAAATGTGACTTTCAAGGCATACTGCAAGGTGTATTGTATGCTCATTGGTAAATTCATTGAAACTAATGGATAGGTAAACTTGTCAGCAGGACCAGGGTTCGCAATCCATTTTGAAACGAACCTGTCACAATTGGGTCAAAAGAGGTCCTGGTAGGAAATAGGGTAATTATAAGCTCTAATTCCCTTCAACATAACCAGACTTCAACAAATAAAATTCTTGGTAATTTGTTATGTCGAATGTATTCTGAATTGGCTGATATATATATATGATTACCACAAAATATAACGATAAATAGGTACACCTGCCGAAAATTTTCAATTTAATTCATGTACCGGCTTCAAGTTCACACCTGGATAGAACAGTTAAGAATTTTGATAAAAGGATACATCATTTTTATCTGTTTTAACATCATGCTTAGATTCAAAATATTTATCCCAATAAACAGGTGTATAATCTCTTTTCTTTATCTGAGTTCTCCTACTTTGATTTGCACTGAAAGGAAAAAGAGTTAAATATTAATTCAATATTTGCCATCATCAAGATAAGATTCAGAAGAGGACCTGTAATTCAATTCTTTTAATCATACAAATAGTGACAATCAAATATCATGTGGTATATAAAATCGCAATGTACATAATATATACTGAGCGCCATGGAAAACGCATCACTTTTTTTCCCAAATATTTTATTACTAGGTGGTGTTGTATGTATAATATTATGCAATACTATGAACTATTGTTTCACACAATGCTCCCAAACCCAAAAAATATCGGCCTGTGTGCACAAAAAAAATTGCAGGAGATGCACATGAAAAACCCAATATTCATGTGCAGCATTGTGTGTGGGCCCTTTAAAAGCATGTTTTCAACTTAATGTGCAGTACATGAACTGTGAAACGTCAATCTGTCGTAATTTGTTGTTGGACATGTGAAGGAATCGAGCTAGAGATGCTGAGACTTACTGAAAATCAACGGAATGAAGCCATGGGAATGTCCAGGGCTGGCATGTCTACACGTGCTACTGCCAGACACTTCAATTGTCATCAGTCCACTATTGTGAGGTTGGTGGAACGTGTTCGAGTTACTGGATCAACACGTGACCGTCAACGTCCTGGTCCACAACGCGTTACAACCCAGGCTCAAGGCCGCTACATCCAGGTCACTCATCTGCGTGACAGATTCCGCCCAGCAACTCGAACAGGTGCAGCAGTCGTCGGAAGACAAGGACCAGTGTGTGCCAACACCGTAAGACGTTGTCTAAGAGAAGTAGGACTCCGTGCACGACGACCTTATGTTGGAGCTATCCTCAGGGATCATCACCGTCAGCGGCGTTTGATATGGGCTCAAGGACACCAGACATGGACATAAGTAGACTGGCAAAGTGTGCTCTTCAGTGATGAGAGTCGCTTTCATCTTTATCACTCTGATGGCCGTCAACATGTGTGGAGATGTCTTAGGGAACGTCTTGCAGACCGCTGCGTCTTCGAAACAAATCGATGGGGTGGGGGAAATGTAATGATGTGGGGAGGCTTCACATTTCATCACCGGACCGCCCTACACATTTGCAGGGGTCGCGTTAATGCTGTAGCCTACCGTGATGATGTCTTGCAACCAATTGTTGTTCCGATGTTTCAAGCGCACCCACACCTTCAGCACTTCCAACAGGATAATGCACGTCCGCATACCGCCCGTTTTAGTATGGACTACCTGGCTGCTAACAACATCAATGTCTTGGACTGGCCAGCCATGTCTCCGGACATGGCACCGATAGAACATGTCTGGGTTGGACGCCGTCTGTATCAGAGCCCACAGATGCACACCATTGCTGCTTTAGAAGCTGCTCTTGTCCAACAATTTGCCCCAGGCCTTCTTTTAAACATTGATAAATTCCATGCGACGTCGCTGCACAGCATGCATAAGAGCCCGTGGAGGACGCACGTGCTACTGATATCTGTGTCGTACTTTTGGTTTTGACCCCTCTGACTTTGTACCGTTGATTACAGATTAAACATCCATAAGTGTACAAATGTGTTGTTATTGATGTGTTCCCATTTGAATATTGTTCACAATAAGAAGCAAAATAAATAAAATATGTTTACAGGATCATTTTGTTATACAAAAAACTAAGTGATGTGTTTTCCATGTTTATCGTGTTTGATTATGGAACAAATCTTGTCTACTCACATCACATCACTCATTGGGATTGACATGACACATATCTACAAAAAAAAGATTTGTGCGAGAACTTTTAATTAATCACATTTAAATTAGAAGCCTTAGAACTTTTACAAAGAAATTAAATGTGATTAATTTTATATAACATTATATTCAAAGTAAAATATACAAGAGATGATGAGCTATTGCATTACTATATATATATACTACTACTAGTGTCTGCTATACATGTAGGCTGGCTATAACATGTCTTTTATCTTAAAATATCTCTATCTCAGCAATGGATTGGCAAATTTGCTAAATTCGAACATCCCCAATAATTGGGCCAAACTGGTTTAAAGTAATCATGACACTTATATTTTTACTGAATGGCAAAGATCTACAAAGTCTGTGATGTATCAATTTATCTAAGGATCAACACAAGGTACAATTTTATGGATACACAATTACTGAGTTTAATACTAAGCAACATTTCGACGAGGATAGTCTCGTCTTTTAAGCCTTGAAGAGTTTCTGCAGTGTTGGTTTAGTTGTAATTGGCCCCTTAATCAAAGGTGTTAAGTTCTAATTGTAATTGATTGTTATTTTTGCTGCATATTCTGTATATATTTGTCTACTATTCACATATGTCTCTATCATTTGCTTGATAAAGACGAGAGTATCCTCGTCAAATTGTCGCTTAGTATTAAACTCAGTAATTTTGTATCCATAAAATTGTACCTTGTGTTAATATGTTCAATTACTAAATGCCAATCAAAGAAGATACCTAAGGATCAACTGAGCTTTAAAGTGTGTATGGCTCTATTTTTTAAAACCTTAAAATAGACAAAAATGGTTCTAAAAGCACATATTAATGCAGAGGTGTCAACTAACCTGTTTTTTCCGTGAGACTCACAGATTTACGACCTTTCTCCCGATCTCCAGCACGGGAGGAAATTTCTCACGGAAATGGTCATATGTCAATGCTATTTTAACTTTCACAAAGGGATGTCACTCCCTTACTTCCGTTTCAAAAATCGACCTCATGATTGGCTGAATTTGACCGGAAACTTTTAATTCTGGTAATGTGCTTGACATTCCAACGTATGTTTGTGATTATTATTGTTTGGAGTAAAAATGGCTATTTCACAGTACTGATAAAATAGAGACCTGTACACCATATAATACGGCTTGGGACATCGATTAATGTAACATGCGTAAAGTGATTTATATTCAATTTTTGAAAAACATATTGTAATTTCTAATCAATTATGTTCGGTGAAACAATTATGTTCGGTGAAATACGTGAACAGTTCAAACTGAACAGCAGTCGTTTACGCCAGCTTAGTGCATTCTACATGTTTTTTAATTTATTACTTCTTCATTGTGTTGTAGGATATGTTTATATTTGTTCATTACAAAATGGCACCCAAAACCATAGGGTACACGACTCTTGTACTGATTATAAAATGTTAATTGTGTCGTATATATTGGATATTTGGATCCTATAGTTTCATGGCAAGATTACAACATTAATATTGATTGGAATTGATCAATATTGAATTCTAATTCGTGTTTTTAATTTCGAATATTATGGAAAATATTGAGTTAGAACTAATAGAAGAGACTTAGCTCCTTTAACTTTAAGATCACAGTTCAGTTGATTCGCTTCCTTTATTAAACCTTTTCAAATTGGATATAAATCTGTCAAAAATATACATCTAGGTATCTATCTGTATGATATGTGCTGAATGGCACACTGGAACTGTCACAAACAAATGATTCAACTCAAGACAAAAGAAATGGACTAGGCCTAGAACTTAATAAAAGAAGGTCTTCGAGACAATAATAATAAACCGGGGTGTTATTCTATCAGTTGGCTCCCTGTAAAGCGTTGCTTTATCATTTTACGTTGTGGTCAATGCTATATCAAAAATGTTAAAAAATTAGGGCATAAAATCACTACCTTGGCCCAACAGGGGGTTTAGAAGGTAAACCAAATTTTTTCTTCAACAAATCTTTCTCAAAAGCAGACATCTTGTTCCTGTCACGTGACAGGTGAATTGTCACGTGATTAATATAAATTTCTAACAAATATTTGTTTTTTTAACATAATAAGCTCAATGTATATTATAAATCACTGTAATTTGAACAAAAACGTACATGTTCATATAGAATATCCGGAATTTATCATTTTTTAAATAATCTCAATGAAACGAGACATCAGAAAATGGCGGACAAGTTTGGACGAATGTTTGGATGGTAACACAGTATTTTCAATGAAATGTGTAAAATACAAACTTAATTTAATTGATTTAAAAGTGTAAAAATGTTGGATTTGTTATAAACATGCCCAAGAAAAAAGGAAAAGTTGCCAAGACCTCAAATAAGCGTGGTATGTACCCTCTCTATTTGGAAAAGTGCCGAAAACCATGTTTGTGCATGTCAACAATGTTACAATGTTGAATCCCCATTGACATTCGGCCATAAAATGACATTCAGATTTTATTAGATCTAGCCTAATAGAATTTTCGATGAAATATTGCAACACAGACATTTGAACAATATTATTGTTTAAAATTCCTTTAATAAAGATATAAGTTTACCCAAAATGATGGAATTAACAAAAATAACAATCTGAATAGGCTATGACTAGACCTATAATAAGTATTAGGCCTAATTAGACTAAGTGACATCGCATATGATTGATTGATGGCGAACTTGTTCGAATAGATCTATAACCATATAATAAGCATAAGAATTCTGCAAATAAAGTATGCACCAAATGAATTAGAAAATATATGCAACAATAAGTGCAGCTTATTGTTGATTCTGTGGAATCTATATAACAAGAAACCATAACCATCAGATTAGTCGTATAGAATGTACATGTACAGTGAACAATTGGGTTGATTCCTCGATCAAAATTACTGATGGTAGCCCAGCTGGCGTGTTTGGCACATTCTGGTAGCTAATCTATGCTGTTCTTGTAATTTCAAATGGTCATCTCTCTTTTTTGCACTATTCACAAATAATTGTCATTCTTTTGAATTTTTACTGTACCGTTATCAAGAATGTTAATCAAACAAAGATCTGTAACAAGCCCTGAAGGTTCCTCTGTCACCATCTTTAAAGTGGCTTGAAGAATTAACCATTCCTATCAAAACAGTCATAAGATTTCGGTATCATCTTCAGATATGATGCTGGTCTGTCACCAATACTGCTGTGATGAATTTTGTATTTTTTATTGTCTGCACATAAAACACAGTGAACTTTAGTTGCATCATACATACATACATATATATATGACACATGAATATTTCAGGAGAGTCTTGGTCAGCTGAAGATGTCAAAGTTCATACTAGTCTGCCACCACAAGTTGATGGCCAGCTTCGATGTTTCTGTAAAGTTTCTGTTGAAGAAGTTATCTGGAACCGTAATATACTCCAACCCCCTGAAATTACTCAAGTCCGTATAAAATGGTGGGGTGAGTCAGGGGAAGGAGCTGTATTTAAGTAAGTTTATGGCCTTCATGAAAATTTCAAAACTTAAACAGGAGCCACGGTGGCTAAGTGGATAAGATGCTGGCTCGCTAGCCTGGAGGTCGGGTGTTCGATTCTGGCATTGGCCGAGAAGGTTCATCGGGATTTTCCGACGTGGTTTCCCCTTGTTAGTGGTGCAGGACAAAGGGCCTGACAAGGACAACTGTCTAGTCATTCAGATGGGATGAAAAACCGAGGTCCCATGCACGTAAAAGATCCCTTTGGCAGTTGGAATTCGATATGAGAGTAGGCGCCATAGTGCCACTACCTGGGCAAACTTTCCCTCATGGGACACTGTATGGCGTATGCCTGTCTTCATTAGCTCAGTCGGAGCAGAACAGTAGGACGTTAAACCCCATTTCATTTCATTTCCAAAACTTAAAATTCACGGCTTTTGGAAATTAGTTGCAACGTTATTGGATTTATTATGTTTTAAATGTAATTTTCAGATTCATTAGGTCATATTAGCAAGTTATTGAATTGTGGTTGGCTTTCATTCTGGATAAAGCTTGGGCTGTATCAGTTCTGGCACTTGAATATGAAGCTAATGAATTACTGAATACTGTGTAAATTTACATATATGTCTTATCTAATCTTATTTTTCAAATTATTTTGTCACCATTTATAGGGACCTTATACCTGTCAAACTCAGTGATGAATCTGAAAATTTGACTGAGAAAGTAGCTTAATTACTGATATTCAATTCTATCTTTTAGGCCTGTGGATGTTTTTCAAAATGGTCGAGGTAATTACTGTACAACAGCCAGATATCCTGTGAGATCAGGGTTAAAGCAGTTTACATCATACCTCAATGATATGGGATGTATGACACTAGAGGTGCTGACCAGTCCTATGGCCGTACCAGTAGGAGTAGCTGAAATATCTGAGATAGGATTGTTATCAAATCTGAGATCGATACATGGGTCAGTACAAGTTATCTTCAGTGTCAGTTGTCAGTGTTAGATATGGTATTGTCAAATACATGTATACAAGTACCTGTACCAAGTAATTTACGATCTGGTTAAAATGAACTCTTTACTTATCTTTTACATGAAAAGAATTGAGGAATACTTTAGCATCATACAGAATGTCTTTACAAAGAATATATACCAGAAGTTTTTGGAGTTCATTTGTTTAATTTCAGTTTTGGAAAACTTAAAATTTAGTGATTTCCAACTGGTGGACCCCTTGGGACATTGTTACAAATCTCTGAGGCCCGTAACGTCTGCATGTCAGCTTTTGAAATTCATTGTCCGTATACCAATAGTTTCACACTAAATTGTATTCAGTATCTGGTTGTCACAGACCCCCCTCCCCACATCCATTGACTTCACTAACCACCTAAATGTTTTTGCTGACCACTACATTTGTAAGTGGTCCATGGATCTCAGGAAGGGAAACACTACTCTATTATATAATAATTTATTATTTGTTCTGTTTTCAGTATTTATCCTGTTTTCTCACCAAATGATGATCAAATAGCAGAGTTAAAAGTATCAATAATGTTAGAGCCATTAATGGGTAAGTTCCTAGCCTTATTCAAATCATTTTATAAAATTTAAGAAATACATGTAACTATTAGGTCTGATATTTCTTTCTATTAAAGTTGTCAAAGTTTTTCCGATTTTTTTGGGTGATTTATAATTGAAAACAAACTCTGAGGAGACAAAACTATAGAAAACCCCGAGATTAGCTTACGTTGAAGTATTGAACAATAGATGTGTGGTAAGAGCAAAAATACAACTACTAGAGTGACTTGGGGGGGGGGGGGGAATAGTCAAATGGTTAGTGGGTACGCATTGTATCATAAGTTCTTTAATTGAGTCGGCTGGCGTGGTTTCGATTCTCCTGCTTGTACATGATAAGGAGTAGGGTCGTCTGGTCCAACGGTTTCCTCCCACAAATAAAGATCCCTACGCATAAGAGAATTAATGAAATAAAATTGAACCATATTTTAGTCCCGAAATGACCTGGTTCATGTCGAATGGACGTTAAACCAGGAAATAAGAAACATCAGAATTTTTCAGACCTGGACCTGGTTCCAATTTATCAGGATAACAACTGATGGAACTGATAATGATGTGGATGTGACTCTAGTCTCCATGATAACAGGATAAAATGCTCAAAATAGAAGAAAGTAATCTGAGTTTAAACATTGCTACATATGAATTTACTTGTTATCAATAGAATTACATGTCTTGTTTAATGATTTGTATATATTTTATAGAATCGTATGACAGTATGATATTATATTGCTACATGTACATAGTTTATAAAATCATATGACAGTATGATATTATATTGCTATGTGTACATAGTTTATAAAATCATATGGTATTATATTGCAATATATATTTAGTTTATAAAATCGTATGACAGTATGATTTTATATTGTTACATAGTTTATAAAATTGTATGACTGTATGATATTATATTGCTATATAGTCTATAGAATCGTATTATACATGTATTATGTATATTTGACAGAATCGTATGACAGTATGGGATCAATACCAACAACAGATATTAGTATGGAAACTTACGCAACCCAGGAATCAGCGTTACCCCATCGTGTTTTACCCGAACCATACTCACATCTGCCACCACAACCTGATGACGATCTCTTTATATCTCCAGCTTCACATATTGTAAGTTCTCAGATACTTTGGTGGTGGTACGGGTGTCGGGGAGATCGCTTTAATTACACAGTGTGTCATTTAGTTCTGCATGTAACATATCATTCTGTTTGTTCTAAATGTTTTAAAGTGGCATGGTTTCAGTTAAAATTTTGTATGTTTGAAGGAGAAGGATCAATGGGGGGATTGGTTGACCTACTGGTCTTAACATGTCTGCTTTAAATCATACAGAGTGTCATTTAGACAAAGTAGCATGGAATATGTATAGAATGTTAATAGAATCTGGTTTGGAGATTTAAAATTGGTATAGTTGATACCGTTCTAACATTCTATACTTACAGAATAATGATTCTAGAAGAGGAGAAACTAGTTCATCATTAAGATATGCGGATGACCTTCGCCAAACCTTGAACTATGACCTACCAGAGGTTAAAACAAAAGACATGCCAGCTGTATCTAGTGGTAGTACAGTATCTATAACAGCTAATGGAGAGGTTGTCACAACTAGAACTTCTACATTCTCTCCTCCATCTAAACACATTGTACAAAGTGTTGATTCAGGATTTAATTCCGTCAGAGGTATGTTCTCAGTTTTTGTTCTATATAGACCGATGTGAAATGTGGACATATATAGACGTTGGTTGATCCTTTGTCACAATGTCTTGTGAACACTCTAATTTTCACATTAATGGGGAAGCCATGCTGGCTCAGTGAGTAGACGTTAGCTCGCTAACCTGGAGGTTTTGGGTTCGATTCCTGTGTTATCTGGATTTTCCAATGTGATTTCCCCTTATCGGTGGGGAAGGACAGAGGGCCCTACAAGGAACAGTGTATAGTCGTTTGGATGGGATTAAAAAAAAAACAGGTCCTGTATACACATTGTCGTGCACATAAAAGATCCCTTGGCTGTTGGAATTCGATAATGCCGCTGTCCGGGAAAAATTTACCTCATAGCATACAGTATGGCATATGCCCATCTTATTAGCCCAGTCTATGCCGAACAGTTAGGTGTTAATCCCCATTTCATTTCATTTTACACTATTGAGACACAAAAAACCTTGAATATGAACAAATTTCTGTCTATTTCTTCTAGAGTTATGGCCCTTGTTTGGATGGGTTTGAATACCAATGTTGGATGGAATTCAATGAAGTGTAGGCAGAAACTCCACTTGCATTGTACATATGGCCATTGATAAGAATTTAAACCCCATTCATTTCCATATAAAGTAGGTTTGAGCTTGGCTCCTTAACAGTTTTACATAGTCTGTGTATAATATATGACATAAGGAAGCCATATTGTAATGTTATAATAATTAAAATGGTTGTATAATTATAGATACAGGACATCAAGGTGAATCAGATGTTTTATCTGTGTTATTAAATCGTGGTAATAAATTACGTGAAGCTATGATTGTATCAACTTTACCCAACTCCACATCTACAGATAATAATACCAAAGATATACAAATAAGGTGAGTTTTCTGTAATCACTCGGTTGTATGTTCGATAAGGCACTTTGATTTTGTGTAATTTTAGTAACATCGTGAAATTCGCGGGAACCACAGTGGCTCGGTTATTAAGATGCTGTCTCGCAAGCCAGGAGTTCTCGGGTTCGCTGTTGGTGTTAGCGGAGAAAGTTCCATGAGATTTTCCGACTTGGTTACCCCTTATCAGTACTCTAGGATGGAGGGCCTGACATTGACATTGTCGTTCATATGGGATAAAAAACAAAAAAACGAGGTCCCATGTACATATTGGCGTGCACAGAGTAGAGCCCTTGACTGTTAGAATTCGATATATAAGTAGACCTTAGCATCACTGTGTGGGTCAAATTTCCTCATAGCATACTGTATATATGGCGTATATATGGACCATAAATTTTATTCATTCATTCTTTAAATTTGCTGAACTCCATTATGTATTTGTCAGTCAATATAAAAAATTTCACAACTTAATCACAATGTAATCAAATTGATTATTTAACATTTAATCAAAAAATATCAATGGATTCAATTAGATTAAAAAGCGACTCATCCAAATATTTTACCCATTACTTAATATATTGTCTGAAAAATATACCGCATGTTGTGAGGATTGAAGATATTTTTTGGCCTATGTTCCTTTTAGAGATTCTACTTTCACAACATTGTAGTGTGCAAACCATTAAGAATACCTTAAATTACAATGAGAGGTTTAAAGAGAATTTATTACATTTTGTATTTAAGACAATCTTCCTCCAATGACCTGTTTAAAGATATATTGCCCAGTAAAAATATACTCCCTGTAGCTTCAACATCATCAGCTACTGACATTGATGGGGTCAATACTGTTGACCTTGTTGTTGGATCACATGTAGGAAGTCAAGAATTCCAGGTAAATAAATAATAATAGATATTTAAATTCTTTTAACATATATTTCCAAGACTGCGGCAAATTAACTCCTTTACTCAAAGTGTTTGTAATGGTCAGAAGAATCTGTGGAATAGCTATTTATTTATTAAACATACATCAGGCAAGAGCTAAATCTGCCTATTGCAGGTCTTTCTTTAGGCCTGAAATGTTATCTAAATTATTAATTAGACATTAATTAACTTATCCAGATTATAATCAGCTCTCGATGGCATCAGATTTCTCCGATTATAAATAGATTAAAAAGGTTCAGCCATATCTTGATTTAATTTAAAAATGGAGGAGCGAGACTTAGCTTCGAACAACCAGTACGGTGGTTGAAATTATTGCACACATCTTGTCAAACCTTCAAAGGCTAATATCTTTGCTCGCAATAGAGTAATTTGAATGAATTTTCCAAATTATTCATTTTGCATTATCTATTTTTGACCTATTATAGCAAGAATGGCTAACTCTTTATCTAAATCTTACATAATGTATCTTAAATATCCTAAAGAACTAAAAATCAAATTGGTGTGGCCATCTACTTGTCCAAATATTGTAAAAAGCATCCTTTGTTTTGTATGGGTTTAGATATTTCTATTTATTTTTAATTATAGAAGTTACAACAGATGGTAAATGGTAGAAGTCCAGGGTCAAGTTTCTCCAGTGACCCGGAAGTACTTAGTGATCCCTGTGACCCCCTACAGGAACAAGATATTATAAATGAACTCTTTTATAAATATTCTGTAAGTTGGTATATGGATTCAGTGTATTTGTGGAATGTTGAATAACGATCTTTAAGAATGTTAATTAATCAAGAGTATTATCCCATAACAAGTTTTGAGGTGTTTTTTTGTTGAAAGTCCAAAGTGTTAGTCTGGGTATTACTTTAAAAATTTTTTTATCAATTTTGTAGGAAAGTGATGGAAGTGCCTTAAGTGATTTTAGTCCAGATGAAGAAATCAGAGCCACAAGATCGCGATCTCGGACAAAGTCAGGAACTCGGTCAAGATCAAGATCTAGATCAAAATCAGGATCTAGAACACGGTCCAGGTCTAACTCTGTATCTTCATTAAAAGATGCTGGTAATGCAGTAAGTTTTTTGTGAATTAATTTTAAAAATTGGTTTAACAATGAAATAAAGGTCAGGAAATCACAGAGAGAGAAATGTGGTTTAACAAATGGTACAGTTTTAGTTCAATGATTCTGGGTATAGGGGTATTTAGCAGTAGAAGGGAACCGAAGAAAATCCATGAGGTCAATCAGACATCCTAGTCCTTGTCACATACAAATGCTGGATCGAAACCACGCCACTTGATTCATTGACAGACCTTATGATCTAACACCACCCTTAGTAAATCGGCAGCACAATGCAATAAAATTGACAAGACATAATTTTGCACCTTTCTATTTTAAAAACTAATTTCTTTCCATGGAAACACAAAAGATATTAAACTTAAAAATTTCTTCTTATTAGCAAAATATGCTATTTAAGTTGATATGTGTACAAAATTTCATAAAGATATCTTCACAGGGTTTATTCTCTGGATGGATTGACTTTGCCCATTTCAATATCCATCCCTTACCTTCGTTCATCGTGTGATGGTAATTCTATTTTCAGGACTGTTTGGCTTTAGTTTGGTTGGTTTAGCCAGTCACAGTAGCTTATTATTTTTCCCCACTGGTTTCTTCCATGTTTTCTATGGTGGCATAAAATTATAAAACATTCCTGCAAGAACTGAAAACTATTTTTTGTTAATTTTATTTTTGTAGAGACCAGCGTCAAGGAGGTCATCAGTATCTACAATATCAACAGCTCCTGTTTCAGAACCAGCAAAGAAAAAGACAACTACAACACGTTCAAAATCTAAAACAGGGACGACGAAAAAATTAAAAAGAAGAGGAAGTAAGAAAAGACTGGTTTCTAAATCGAGAAGTCGTGGAAGTAGTGTCAGTGATTTTAGTGATAGTGATATGTTAAGTACACCGAGATCAGAAACATCGCGGGTATCATTTGATATGATGGATTCTGATCTAGAAGATGCAACTCAAGGTTTGTTCACTTGTAAACTATATATTTATCCTGTATGTGTTTTCAATTTAATGGAAGGCTGTGTGCCTCAGTTAGTATGGTGCTATAGTTTGCCCATGTCAGTAATACAGGTTGGAAAGTCTGGCAAGTGAAATTATGTACTCATTTGGATTGGACAAAACAGAGATTTCATATTTACCATTTTTGTCATGTGAAAGATCATCTGAAAGTTGGATATTGCTACCTGGGCAAAACTTTCCTCATAGCACAATTTAGGATATTTGATATATACCAAAGTCCAGCCGTGTGCATGTCGGTGTGCACATAAAAGAACCCTTGACAGTTCGACTTCAGTAACGAATAGGGCAAAATTTACATTGTATCATGTGTGTGGTGGGGGGGTCTAGTGGTTTAATGTGTGCGTGACAAGGATTAGGGTCGCCTGTCCAACCTTGTGGGTTTTCTCCTGGTCCTCTGGTTTCCTCCCACTGCTAAAGACCCCTACGCGCCAGCGAATTATTGAAATAAAATTGAACCATGTGTTAGTCCTGAAATGACCTAGTTTGTGTCGAGTGAACGTTAAACCCCATTTCTTTCTCTCTCTGATTTCCTCCCGCTGCTAAAAGACCCCTGCGGTGCAAGCAAATTTTTGAAATAAAATTAAACCCATGTGTTAGTCCCGAAATGACCTAGTTTGTGTCAAGTGGATGTTACACCATTTCTCCCTATCTCACTCTTTACCTTGTATCACAATGTCGTGTATACACTTCTTCATTGGACTGGTTGATGTAGAAAAGTAGGATGGTAAACAACATTTCATTTCTAATAATATTATTGTCGAGTTAAATATTTAAATTGTATTTAATGTTGATATTTTTACAGATGGACCAGTGGTGAAGAAAACTATTGATGGGTTGAGTGTTGAACGTTTGACCTTATTAGGACGTGTACATGTTGCCAGGGTTACTATTGATAGTATAGATTTAAATGAATTAAATAGTTCTATAGTTAGTCGGAAGAGTAGTAAATCTGTGAAATCAGGGAAGCCACCAAGACCAGCATCAAAAACTAGAAAACATAGGTAACAATTTACCATTCTTTTTTGTCACACGGAGAAAGCAGGGGACTTTTGAAATGGTTTATCTGTCTGTCTGTCAAATTTTTTGGAACGCAGTAACTATGCTTCTAATTGAGATAGAATGGTTAAACTTGGTGTAGAAGCTCATTTGGTGAATTTCTTGACACAAGTTTGATGAGCATTTTGTAGTTGGGCAAAGCAGAGATAATCAATTTAATTTCTTGCACCCTGGTGTACTTTAACTTTGATTATAGTTTAGTGAGATTGATAAAACTTAGTGTATTGTTTGGTCAATGCTTTATTAAAAGAAAAATTTCTGATGAAGGTGGAGGACACAAGTTTCACTGTTGGCCTATTCTTTATACACTAGAACCCTTATGTCTTGTAGACCAGGGATGCTATTTCGCCGTATATTCCGGACATAAACTACACTTTTTTTACAACTTTGACTATTAATATGCCCAATCGGACATCAAGATATGGTGAATAATATTCAATTTTCCAAAATTATTTAACAATACTCAGTATACTCAGTATATTACTCATCTCGATTATCGTTGATAATAGGCTGGATTAATTAGGTAATTAAGTGATCAACGTATTTATCGTGTTATACTGTCTATACACACCTACCTTAATTAACTACTTAATCTGCCTTGATTGACTGACTTAATCCTTTGTAGAGAAATGCTAGTACTGTTCGTTGTAATGCTGGAACCAGCCTAATATGGAATCCAACACTAAACCAAACTGTGCTATTTTGAGGTTTTAGTATCTTTGCTTTATTTTTCTCATGTTCTGCTTAAATGTCATTTGTTTATATTTTTCAGTACATATTTTATTGAATATCAGTTTCCTGTTGTAGCTACATCTAGAGATAAATATTCTCCTAATACCATGGCAACGGAGGTCATGAGAGTTGCTTCAAAGAATATTAAAGATGGAGGTAGGAATATGGGGGTTTATTGATTTCGTTGTTAGGGATGAAGGCCAAGATCTATATGGGGATACTTGATTGAATTTTCTGGACTTAACTTCTCTCGATTCCTAGAAAGCTGTCAATTGAGTATTCACAAGAATTTCGGTGGACATGACATATTATCTTGACCAATCCATATAACTAGAACATTTGATTCTGTTATGATTCTACTCTCACCACATCTGTGTTCGGGCCTAGCAGAATTCTAAATGGCATCAGTATTTTTATTTTGTCACTCAAAATGTGTAAAATATATTAAATTCTTGACTATGATTGAGTGACAAATCTGAGTAATTCTTTAAGTAATTTTGTATCAACCGGGACCATATTTCTAAAAAAAAAAACCAAAAACCCAAGGGAATCATAATTTCATGAAATGTATATTGATAGATGAATTTTGTTTTATTTGAAAGCTATATATAATATTTGACATTATGTTTTGTAGTTGTATCTTTCAATCATCGGTCTGTGTTTCCTATCATGTTTGATGGAGCTTCCGTTGATAAATGGTGGAAATCAGCTCTAGTCTTTAAAATATTTGCTCGAGAACCAGGACAAAAAACAGTAAGTAATTCTTTGCAGACTTTTATCTTCTCACATTTTTTAATGTCCACAATTTTTACTGCCCATAAACCATTTTTTTTTTCAAAATGATACTGCCACTTACATGTTTATTTTTAAAACAATATTTTATTTAGATTTGCATCTGAATAAGAAATGAAATGGGGTTTAACGTACTACTGTTTTGCTCCAAACTGGGCTAATGAAGATGGGCATACCCCATACAGTGTGCTATGAGGGAAATTTTGCCAGGACAGCGGCACTACGACCTACTCTTTTATCAAATTCCAACTGTCAAGGGATCTTTTACGTGCATGCCAATGTGTACACTGGAAATTGGTTTTTCATCTCATCTGTATGACTAGACAGTATCTGAATAGGGAATAGGCATTAAGCTATAAATGTATTAGGTTACACTCTCCTTATTTATACAGTTTATGTACAAAAGACTTATTTTCATCTTGGACAGATCCATTTCCTGATCTTGAAAAGGAAATCTGGTGTTATTTTATTTTAGAAATAGTCATATTACCAAAAATACCATTTACACTTTTTGAGTAATATTTTATTACTCAGTTCTTAAGAAATAGACACTGAAAACAAATCAGTTATTATTTTAAAAATGTTGATAATGTAGAGAGGATTAAAAGCAAATTACACATATTGATGAATTATCTTTATTTTAATCGACACCTATTATTATTTTATAAATTTGATTAGGACTGACGGTCAAAATCTTTATTTTAGCCAACACCTATTGGAAGTTGTGGTCTACCTTTGAAAAGCATTCTCCGATCGGATGGATTGTTCCTGAATAAAAGTCTGGAAGTCCGAGAGACAGGGAAGACAGGATCACAGATTAACGGATCCTTCCGAGGATCTGGGACAGTATTAGGTTATCTAAAGGTAACAAGATATTTTCACTAAGTTGGCTTATTAAAAACGACATACTGATGTATCCATTATTGGTTGTGAGTTTTATTGCCTGGCAAACTATCTTTGATACTGATGTAGCTATTTGTGTGTATAATTGGTTGTCATGTGACTTGATTTTGTGTTGGATATTATTCTTGTCAAGGTTTCTTCTTTTTTTTTTTTGATAACTTTTTGATGACTTAATCCACTGAAATTGATTATTTATCATTTTAATTAAGAAAACAAATCTAAAATATCGATGATAGATTATGGTTAATGGTTAACATGTACGCCTTGGATCAGAAGACATGTCATCGAAACAAGTGGCGTGGTTTCGATTCACCTCTTGTACATGACAAGGAGTGGGGTCGCCTGTATAACCTCGTGGGTTTTCCCTGTGTCCTCCGGTTTCCTCCCACTGGTAAAATATTTATTGAAATAAAATTTAACCATATGTTAGTACCGAAATGACACAGTTTGTGTCAGATTAAACTTTCACAATATTGTACTTTGCAGTGGATAGAAAATCCCTTTAATGAAAGTCAACGATTAGAATTGTTTGGTAATATTTTCTAATATTGTATATTTCAGGCAGGCGTAGAACTGGCTTCTGATCATAAAGATTTTGCCACAGCCTTGGCGAGAACAAAGATTGCCGAAATATCTGGCAAATCAAAGATAATCCCCCTTCCACAACCCACTCCTCCTCCCCTTCCTCCAGTCCCATCAGACAATATTATATCAGATTTAGCGAATCATATCAAACAACGAGAATTAGGTACGTTAAATATTAATATGTTCTATTATTCTTATATACATACATGTATACAATTCTATGAAATACCATTACTGTTTATTACAGGGCGATGTTGTGATTATTATTCTCAGGCAAACGAGGAGAATCCTAATCAAAATTCGCTATTAATAAACATTCCATCAATCTGATTAAAATACAGATATATATTTCATTTTGTTTTTTTTTATACTTTTGATAGCCTACATGACATGACGATTTGACAAGTTGTACTCGAAGGTCATGTCAGGGGTCGTACGAGCTGCTTTTGACCCTATGACGTCAGACATTGATTAATCAATCAGCGTTGACGTTTCTAGTGGTTTACCCACTGTTCTGTGCATGGCATGGCAAGAAGTCGCCATAACAGACTGTTTCATTGGCTAATCCCTCAGTTCAACCAAACGTCAGTAATGTAACAACTCTTCCAGATCCTGGTGTAGTAAATACCAGTAAAACAAAATTTTGAACTATAAAAAACAAAACGAAATAGGATCTGGGATTTCAGTATACGGTGATATTTGATATAGTAACATTAACAATGATAACCCGGATAAAGACATAATTCATTCAATATTTTACATTAATTACATTTAAGAAGAACGCAACAAAGAAACCATAGTAACCTCCCAACCGTCCAACCAAATGCAACAAGACATTCCAGAAAATATTCCATCGACCAATCAAAATATCCCACCAGCTGTTAATCAGTATAGAGATGAGAAAAAGATAACCAATCAGAGTGAGCCTCAGAACCATACAAATCAAGCAGTGTATCAACTTCCATTGAGAAATCCAAACATTCCATTAGGTGAATGTGAGGTAATGATATGGTTACAAGTCTAATATTAATCACATTTCATAACAATTAAAGATGTTGTGTCATTAAATTTTAGGAATGAAAATGCAGTGAGGATTTAATTGCTTAGCTTTTAAATTGTGAAAAGATAGGCTTCTGGTATCCAATATTTAAGACAAAATGAAAATTTTAAAATTGATACACAAATTGTGTGCCAGAATGCTTTCAAGCACCATTTGTAATGAAGCAACCCAATGAACAAGGCTAAACATATCCCACAGGAGAATAATACTGGTGTAGACTGGAATAACCAGATGCCAAAGACTGCCATTCGGTTTGGACTCTATGCCGAAGATAATTGATTAGAAATTACAGTAAAAACAGAAACGATTGAATGTAAATCAGTTTATATACAAAATCATAGTACATTATTATATGCGTTGCGACCAATTTGTGTACATTTCTAGGTGTCAAAGATAACAGATTTAGCTCCTTTAAAAAAGATCAATCAAAAGTATCTGGATTGGCAGTTCTCCTATAAGTGGCTTGGAGCAGAAAGGCACCGATTGAAATGTTTTCTGATGTTACAATATTTCAATTGGTGCTCATGGGAGAACTGCCAATCCAGATACTATTGAATTCAAAATTAATTCAAGATAAGAAATGTTTCAGAAATTGCAATTAGTTTGAAAATTAAAAAAAATGAAAAGATGTAAAAACATTATAAATGTGCTTCTTATAAATAAGTTAACTAAAATAAGTGTTTTTATTTGCAGACGTTAACATTGAATATGATGTTATATATACCAGACGGACGTAATATGACATCACAGGGAATTCCCCCTCTACATGTAGTCAATAAACGACCAGTTATATTACACCAACAGCAGACAGGTGAGATATTTATTGTTTAAAACACGGTCAATAGAATGGAGTCAAAATAATCATTTCCATTGGGCTAAGTAGATGTATCATGGAATTAAAACGAGCCAGTATAACAAGGCATGGAATGTATAACTGGGCATCTAGGGTTGGGTGGCCGATTGTTTTAATTCCTTTGGATGCAGTTGATTGGGAGGCTGTAAGGTCTAATGCATGGACTTTAGATCATAAGGTATGTCATTGAATCAAATGGCAGGATTTCAACTCATGTGACAAGGAGTATATGGTCGCCTGCCAAACCACATGGGTTTTCACCAGATCATCTTGTTTCCTTCCACTGTTAAACCCGTATGAGGTACCAAATTATTGAAATAGAATTGTATCATTGGTTACTACCAAATTGAGCCAATTTCTGTTGAGTGGACGTGAAACCCCAATTCTCTCTCCCTTGGCCTACATTGATCAGTGCATGAACACATGAATAGGATGCCATATTTTCCAGCTGTATTGGTAACATCATATGATTATTATATTTTCAGGTAATCGTGATTTAAGTACGCGAAATACGTATTTAGTTTGTCGTATGTTTTGGTGTGATGATGCCGTTACATCTAATGTTTGTTGGGGTACAACTCAACCCAACTATAATTTTCTACAGGTAAGATATTTTATCACCTTATGGTGTCTTGAAGACTAACGGGAGACAATCAATATATAAAATACTGCCTTGATTATTTCTGAAAATACATTGCTGAAGAGGCTATGTGTGGAGCTTACAAATTCCCTAAATTTATTTGGGGGTGGGAGGGTGACCTGTATACCCGTGATGATGCAGGGTATGGAATGTAAGGATTTTACGAATTCCCAAAATTGATTGGGGAGGCATCTAAACACTTTGTAGACTCAACGTCCAGCTTTGGAGAGACAATTTGCTGAATGTATTTGTAGCCATAATTCTGATAATACATAGAACAATAACACTGATTTCCTGGTCATATAAAAATGTATTTAAGAAATATTGAAAGACATTTATATGATTATAGGTGGCGCCAGTGTTAATTACTCCATCTTTACTGGAGAGAATGAGAAATAATTTTATGGTAATTGAAGTTTGGGATAAAAAGACAACAGCAGAAAATGACAAGGTTGGCATGACATCTCTTATTGATTTTATAATTTGAGTTAATTTGGAAAAAAAATTTGTATTTGTAACTGTGTAATGGAATTTATAAAACAAAATTCATTAAAAACCAAATATTTTGAAACATGGCAATTTATGATATTCTGATTGTTTCACTATTGTTGTTCAGACTAGAAGGTACAAAGTAGCATGTCGGATGTTTTAGTCACTGTGTCTCATATAACTTGATGATTGTAATATTGATACTCTAATAGTCTCTTACTCGTTCGAAAGGAACGGAAAACCGAAGTCCCATTTGTACCACCGGAAGCACATTAATGATTCCCTATAGTTGGAAATGAAAAGTGTGGGCTATAGTATATGCCGGTCTTCATTAGTCTGGTTGATGCAAACCATATTTCATTTCATATTTAGTTGTATTGGTATATCAGGTAATATTTACACTTTTTTTTATGTTACAGCTTATTGGAATAATTAAACTAAGTTTACATCAGTTTTTTATGTCGTTCAGAGAAAGAAGAATAGCTAATGCATTAATTAAATCACAGGTTTGTTTTGTTTTTATCTTTAAGTAGCAGTTTGCTCATTGTTTAATTTAGAAGCCACGGTTAGTACACTTTATTCCTAGGAGAAAAATAATGATTCATTCCAAAAATATTATGAAGATATTAAACTCACTCTCTCTGTCAGATTGGGATACCCCTTTATTGTATTCTACCTCATAACACTCTTGGGGAATAAATTACTTATATTTGTAAGATTGACTAATTGTGTATTTTAGTATCCAGTTGTAGCTGTTGATAATTATTTACCAGTATTAGATCTATTTACTGGTTATCAGTTCGGACAGATTCATGTTCTATTAGCAATGGGTACAGCAGAACAAGTAGCATTGTTACAGAGGCAGAAGATGAATGACAATGATCTAATGAGTGTACCTGAACGACCAAACCATCATCTAGAAAGGTAATCATAATACCCTTATCTTTTGACGGAACCATTTAATTACCTGTGTCAACATTCAGGTTAGCCGAATGCAGCCTTCCTAGAATTACTTCCATTATAATCAGACAACTTTCTTTGGTTTGTTTACTTTCTGTTTGACATTTTGACAGTTAAGAATCGTACTGATTCTTCTTGAACAATTAATGTGATATGTTTGTTTTAAGCACAAGTTTTGGAATTTATGGAAGGATCTAATAGCATCCCTTTCAAGAACTATAGAAAAAATAATGGCCCGGTTGTTCTCAAAATTATTTGGGTGTAGAGTTTTGTTGTTTATCCAAAGATATATTTTTTTTTTTGTACTTTTAGGGAAGATATATTTAGTAAAGAAGCCATTATGAAGTCAGATCAAGTCAATACAGGTAACTAGCATTTATTTTATCAAAATTTAGTAACAGAAATGAGGCAGATTTCTCCTCAGAAACGTTAAGGATATTTTATTATTAAAAAAGCAAGTTGGAGAGTGGAATTGTAAATAGAATTTGACAAAAGTTTTTTGTGCAGTTGTACTATTTTACTATTTCAGTTAAACATTGTTTTGAATTATCTATCTGGTTTATATTTTCAGTTAAATATTAAACATTGTTTTGAATTATCTATCTGGTTTATATTGTTTTGAATTATCTATCTGGTTTACATTTCAGTTGAACATTGTTTTGAATTATCTATCTAGTTTATATTTTCAGTTGAATATTGTTTTGAATTATCTATCTGGTTTATAATTTCAGTTGAACATTGTTTTGCATTATCTATCTAGTTTATATTTTCAGTTGAACATTGTTTTGAGTTATATATCTGGTTTATATTTCAGTTGAACATTGTTTTGAATTATCTATCGAGGGTATAAAAGATTTAAAGTTATTTGAAAATATGATATGGGGTGAAGCTGATTGTTTCATCCAGTATCATTTTCCTACACAACTAGAAACAGATGGTGTTAAATATCGTAAGTTGATCAAAATTTACTTTTTTGATAACCGCATTTCTCAACCCTGGAGACTAAAGGGAGACAATTTGTTAGGAAATATTCCAGTGCCAATCCATCTATGAGAAGTGGTCTGACACCTGTCACATAATTTCTTGGTTGTCGGAAATTAAAGATGTTTTTATCAGAAAAGAACAACAAACTAGATTGCGTTTCGTCAAATATTTCCGGACTACAAATTGACTGTCAATGAGACATTCCGGGGCTAAAATGGTGTTGTTTCTCCATAGTTAGGCGTGAAGCCTTAATCGGAGTCAGTCTGAATCGCTACAGCAAAATGGACGTTTACAGTCCACCGGCAATTTCATATACAGTAGAATTTGTATGAGCAGCCACTCCTATTCAGCGACATCTCCTTGTAAGCGGTCACGATAAATTCCCCCCGTAGAAATTTCCTCATTGCATACTGTGTGGCATATGCACATCTTCATTAGCCCAGTTGGAGCAGAACAGTAGAAAGTTAAACCCCATTTCATTTCATTTATTACTTACAATGTCTATGTTTGGGTTTGTCTTTTACGTTTCTGTTGATTATTTATGCTTGATATAAATGTTATATTTTAGCCACGCCTACTCTACGATCATATAGAACCGGTACGACGTTATGTATACCTGATCCTGTATTTAATGATGGTAACAGACATCGTATATCATTACAACAAGGTACACCAGTACAGAGAGAACTACTCACAGGTATTCTATTATTAATATATTTTACTCTCATAGTTAGCTCTTACTATTTTATCAATAAATCAGTTTATAATCTTTAAACCAAGAATTTGTTTTCTTGTTGTGACACGCTTAAAAAAAAAACTCCACCAATTCAAGTACAAATGACATCAAGCTTGGCATGCTGATTTTTGGGCCAACTGCACATCAATTGACTGATTTCAATTTGTGATATAATGGCGATAACGTCATGGTCAGTTTGTTTGTTATTCATATGTTACGCTCGCCACTTTCTAAAAAATATTTAAGATGTTTTTACACATAAAACTGTAAATATAACTGTATTTATTGTGTTTTAATTTTAAGTTTGTTCAAATTCTTATTTTATGACATGTAAATTGACTGACAGGTAAATACTCCAGTCGGTCAATTTCATGGCCTGTCAGTCAAATAAGGATGACACTGTCTTGGTCTTCTTGCCAAACTAATGTCATTGCTTACCTTTTGGTTTGATGCTATATTCCTATATTTGTGTTTATTCAATAGCTACATGTATTTGTATTTTAAGCATGTGCTAATTCTGGTGGGGGTAGCGGTGGTTTACCGTTTGAAGTTTGGTGTCGATATTATCATCCTAATGTACGAGATCAAGTCATAGCTAAGGTCAGTATTATAATGTATTATATATTTCTAGTTGTCATTTAGTCTTGATCTACATATATAAGCTTTATCGTTCAGTAATGTTTCAAATGTAAGGAATTGTGTTATTGTGTAATACAGTGATTCTCAACCATTGTGATCTTCCTAAGTGTGCCGCCAAATTTTGAATGGAACACTATGAAAATTGTAAAACCATATGATTCCCATTGAGTATTCACTGGTGTCTACTGTAAAGTTCTTTAATTAGTTTTAGTCATTTTATGTGTCTATGACTAGTCGCTGTCTATGTTCTATGCCGTCTATGACTTGCCATGTTTTTATTTTGCAAAATTCAGATATTTTCCATATAAATTTAGCCAGGTGTGCCGCTATTTTTTCATGTGTTCCAAGGTGTGCTGTTGGCACAAAAAGGTTGAGAACCACTGGTGTAATAAATGTATCTCAAGTCTAACATTATATATTTCAGGCTACTTTACCATTAGCTAAGCTGTGTGCTATGGTAACAATGCAGAAACGAGGAGAACCCTCTGTACAAACATTTTCACTTCCTCTTTCACAAGTTGCCATGGGAAAAGATCCAGATTCAGAAGCTAAAGCCACTGTAAGTAATTCTATTGGTCACTTTTAGTCTGTATCCGTAATAATATTTAATAGAACAAGTTCTCACAGTTGAGATCTTTACCATATTCTAGTAAACCTACTTGTTTTCTGTCTAGCTCCCAGATATTTCTTAATTGAACACTTACAATGTCAAGTGAGCAAGAAATCGGATCTAGCAAGTCATTTAACTAAGATTGATTGAGAGTTAAAGGTAGTCCCACCGCACCTTTCCACATACAGTCAAGCACCTCCACCCCTATTCCTCCTACCTCTCACATACAAAGTTGGTTCAGAAAATTGGCACCTCTACCCCTATCCCCCCACCTCTCACATACGAAGTTGGTGCAGAAAATTGGGACGTTAAACCCAGTCAAGCACCTTCACTATTATCACCCACCTCTCACATACGGAATTGGTGCAGAAAATTGGGATGTTAAACCCAGTCAAGCACCTTCACTATTATCACCCACCTCTCACATACGGAATTGGTGCAGAAAATTGGGATGTTAACCCCATTTTCCAACATACAGTCAAACCCCATTTCATTTCCCCATATACAGTCATGCCTTTTATTTTAAACATCTATAATCCAGATAAAATTCATGATAAAATAATGTAAAGAAAAATGAACTATTAGTTTAAGTTTCCTGTGCAGTAATTGGGACAATGGTGAGTCATATCTATTTGTATATATTATATATATATATATATTTCAGTATGTAGAGTCTGGTATGTTAGATATAACACTACATTATAAATCACAGGTTATCAAGGTAAATATAATATCTTATTATTTTATACAAACATTTTGATACTATGTCATAACAACTAGAATCATCATTTCCTAGTAGCTAGATTAGTCTCCATCACTCCAGCCCAAAATATTCATTGGACTCAAGAAATCAAGGCTATTACTAAATGTGACAAAAATGTAATGTTTGTATATTACAGAAAGATGTTAATATAAATACAACTAATACCAGTATTAATACATCTAATGTTTGTATAGCTGTTGGTGTTATTAAAGCTACTGGCTTAAAGGTGAGTAACAGTTTCTGATGCATTACCAGGGAACTAGGTTAGCTGAGCCCATTTTGTTTCCTAAATAAGGGAAAACCAATTCCTTGGCCATATGACACGGATGGGAAGATTTCAAAATTATATTTCTTATAACAGGAAGTTTACTTCCTGTCTGTGACATCACTACTGTGAAAGTAAGTGTTAAACCAACAGCAACTACTACTCTGATAATTACTGATGTAAATCTTAATACTCCAGCCATCTTTATTAGTCCGTATGAAGCAGAAAAGTAGGATGTTAAACCCGTATTCACCTAATCATTTCATTTAATACTTCAGGAGACAGCAGGATAGTGATAGATCATGGACACATTCATGCCATCTGTTTTGATTTTAAAAGTATCATAGCCCAGATGAAGACGATCAATTTCAAATTTGCAAAATCATATTCATAACGTCTTGTATTAAAGTGATTCCTGTCTTCATTGGCTTGGTTTGAGTTCAAATATTGCGACTTTACTCCCCATTTCTTTTCATTAAAGTGAATGATTATAATTTTGTGATATTTTACAGGCTGCAGCAGATCATGTTGCTAGATTAGATGAATCTATGAAATATCCAGCAGAAGTTGGTGTTAATACTTATATCAGAATTAAACTATCATTCTTACAACAGGTATATAACTTCATTTATCTATGATGTGATAATCTTGATTTCTCTATGATGTGATAATCTTGATTTCTCTATGCTGTGATAATCTTGATTTCTATATGATGTGATAATCTTGATTTCTCTATGACAATCTTGATTTCTCTATGACAATCTTGATTTCTCTATGACAATCTTGATTTGTCTATGCCAGTCCTGATTTATCTATGCTAATCTTGATGCTTTTGTATTTAAAACCTTGGTCTTTTTTGCTTAATACTTATCAAAATGTCATGCTTGTGCATTTTACATACCAGTGATTGTTGTACCATTTAATTGTTCTAGTTTTGATAGTTGATACTCCATATGATAATAGTTTACAAAGAAAAATAGAAAATATATTTTTGTTCTTGAGAGAAAATGGCAGCAATAACGCCTGTTTCAGATTTTCTTGTTTAATTACTTAAACCATTATTGTTATGTTAATGTATTAAATTTCAGGGAGAGAGATTAACAAAGACCATAGCCAGAACATTTGCTCCAGAATTTTCCCACTATCTGGATTTCCCCTGTCCACTTCTGTTCACCCAGCCACTAGCAGATGCCAAGAGTTTAGCAGAAATATTGGAATCAGCAGAAGCTGTGTTTGAAGTTTGGCATCAAGTTCCGGGTTCTTCTTGTAAGATATAATTTCGCTTTTCATACAGATAATATTTGTTTGAGTACTAGGAATTGTAAAGTGTATGTATTGTTACTAGCTGTATCTCACGACAGCTTTCAATGGCACAGCTTTCTTGATAATCACCTTCATTATTGTGGGGTTGGATAGCCGAATGGTTAGTGTATGCGCGCTGCATCATAAGATCTGTCATTGAGTCAACTGGCGTGGTTTTGATTCCCCGGTTGTACATGAAAAGGAGTAGGGCCATCTATCAACTTCTAAAGACCCCTACGCACAAGCGAATAATTGAAATAAAATTGAACCATGTGTTAGTCCCAAAATGATCTAGTTTGTGTCGAGTGGATTAAAAGTGCATTAAAGCGAACTTCTTCTTTCCTATTGTAGTAATGACATGTTAAATAAAAGATGATAATGCCTAGCTAGTGTTAATGATATTGCTCAGAGTGTATCCAACAGTGCTCACTATGTGTGTTGTTCAAAATTAATTTGGCTGTTTTGAGATGGTGAAATGTGATTAAGATGAAATGAACAAATTTAAATATATACCCAAGGATAATTAACTTTCTTACCTCCCCTTTATTATAGATGGCCAAAATCCAGTTGACCAATCAGATGAAGTATCAGGAAAGGTTATGTCTAGTCGACAGACGTGTGATACTCTATTAGGAACCACAACAGTTGCTTTATATCCTCTTCTAGCTCGTAAAACAGGTTGGTCATTTTTAAAAAATTTCATCGATATTAAAATTTATATTTGATATCTGAATAGAATTTGATAATAAAATGTAAAATATTTCACTGTAACACTATGCTGATCCATGCTGGCACCGGACTTGCGATGAATTCTACCTTATTATACTGCCTTATATTGAGATATGTAGAGAGCCACAGTAGATCAGTGAGTAAGGAGCGGGCTCGCTAACTGGAAGGTCCCATGGTCTTAATTTAGGCTTTGGTTTCCCCTTGCCTGTGGTATGGATCAAAACGCCAGGCAAGAAGCAGTGTCTAGTTGTTTGGACGGAATGAAAAACCTAGGTACTGTGTAGACGTTAGCAGGCATGTAAAAAAAAAACCCAAAAAACTGTGATATTTGGAATTTAATGAAGAATGCTGCTTCCTGGGAAAAATTTACCTTATAGCACACTGCTTGGCAATTGCTTGTCTTCATTAGCCCAGTTGTTGCAGAAAAGTAGGATGTTAAACTCTTTTCAGTATTGTGCACGTGCTAAAATATATCAAAATGTATCTATATTCATGTTAAACTAATTCACTTCCTTGTTTACTCAGGTTTGATTGGTTGGTTTCCTATTAACCGTCCTACCATTGGTTGGAATAAATCAACAAAGGAAGATGTAGATGAAGAATTAGTCCAATCAGAGTCTAGCGAGTGTGTGGGATTAAAGCGTGTTGTTGGTGGATTAGAGTTATCTATACAATTTGCCCAGCGTGATGATAGAGAGCGAGTTATATCAGCTGGACGGAGTGTTGGGTGGTCACCAATTGATAATACTCTAGAACAAGTTGACTGGGATCTAGATGGTAAATATTTCATTCCTTTCATTTATTTATTTATTCATGCCCTTTTCCCATTCATTCATTCATCTATCCATTGCATAATTTTATTCATTTATTCCTTTTAAATATTTCATTCATTCATTTATTCCAGTCTTTCATTTATTCCTTTTAATCATTTGTTGTTTGTCATTTATTCCATTTGTTCATTTATTCCATTTGTTCATTTATTCCATTTGTTCATTTACTCCGTTCATTTTACTCCGTTCATAAATTCAGTTAATTATTTCAATTATTTCATTCATTCATTTATACCATTTGACCAATTATTCTATTCTTTCTTTCATTTTTGTTTTCATTCATTCATATATTAGAAATATTCTATCCAATTAAACTATGGTGATCATTCTTCACTTGACATAAAGAAAAAAAAAGAAAAAAAGAAAATTTACATGATCCTTTTCTTCATTTGAATTTATTATTTCATGAAAGTTATAAGACTAATGGTATTTTAACTTATGTCTTCAGATTTCTCAGGAAATCTTTAGGTGTGTTTTATGATTATGTGCATATTCCGGGTTATTTTTCTAGGTGAATTACGAAAGGAGTTTGAGAGGGTGAAGATCAACGTTGAGAGGATTTATTTCCCGTTACAGAATGCCCTAGTAACAGGACAGACAACATTAGATCATAATGCTAGATGTTATATCAGATATAAATTCTATGATAAAGGTATGTGTTCTATACTTGGGGGTTGGATATGGCCGAATGGTTAGCATGTGCGCGCTATATCATAAGGTCTGTCATTGAGTCAACTGGCGTAGTTTCGATTCCCCGGTTGTACATGACAAGGAGTAGGGTCGTCTGTCCAACCTCATGGGTTTTATATGGATCATTCGGTTTCCTCCTACTACTAAAGAACCTAGTTTGTGTCGAGTGGACGTTGAACCCCATTTCTCTCTCTCTCTCCATCTCTCTGTTCTATACTTCTTAATAAGTACTGTGTTATTAACATCCAATTCATTTTTTACGACGCATGTCGAATTCAGGTTTGAAGGCACAGATCTAAAATTTAGATTCTATATAATAAAATCCAAAAGTTCTTGAGGATTTTCGAACCTCGTTTCAACTTAGCATTTGTGCAGGATGGAGAGCTGGGCAAGTGCCTAGTCAGTCAGATAAGAAAAAAAATGACATCCATCTGTGTAATAATTTCGATGGACAGTGCTATTAATGTTGCCATGTCAATTTTCTAGAAATTTGTATTGAAAAATATATAATTGTATTTTATAGGTGCTGTGATATCTAAAAATGTTCCCTTGACAACCAATGATGCTTGTTACCTAGTAACCAATGTTAAACATCAACATAATTATATTTTGCCCAAATCTTCTACATATCAATGGTAAATATGTTTCTAATGGCTGCAATATGAATCTAATCTAATACATCTCCCAAAACAAAATGTCAAATCTTATCTAAAGGGTAAAATGTTCTCTTAAAACAATACAGGCATCTGATATCTTGGACAAAATGTTATAGTAGACTCGATCTAGCACAACCCTATAGTTTCCAGCTAGATTCATCAAGTTGCTATCATGAACTGCTGATTCTGGTCATGAAGAGCTGAGAAAAAGTTTTTAATAGCTGAAAGGCCCATATGTGTCGTCTAGCCCTTATTGAATGGCGCAGAGATGTAACAAATATGTTGGTCGTGAAATGACCTAGTTTGTAAGGAGTGTCTGTTAAACCACATTTCTCTATCTTTCGTATCACCAGGTATCTACAAGAAGAGAAACTAGAAATACAAGTGTGGGTTACTTACTCTCGTAAAAACAGCATGGAAAAACGACCAACACAGAGAGATAAGCTGATTGGTTCAGCCTATGTTGAACTCAGTGAACTATGTAAACATAATCGTACTCATCACAGAATCAGGTAAATAATAAATGTTGTAAAAGCACAATATTCTTAACTAAAAGCACAAAATTACAAACTAAAAGCACATTATTCCAAACTAAAAGCACATTATTCCAAACTAAAAGCACAACAATATTCTTAACTCAAAGCACAATATTCTTAACTAAACGCACAATATTCTTAACTAGAAGCACAATATTCTAACTAAAAGCACATTATTCCAAACTAAAAGCACAATATTCTAGACTAAAACCACAATATTCTAGACTAAAACCACAATAGTCCAAACTAAAAGCACAATATTCTTAAATAAAAGCACAACAATATTCCTTACTCACAAAGCACAATATTTCAGACTAAAAGCACAATATTCCGAACTAAAAGCACAAATTTCTTAACTAAAAGCACGTTATTCAAAACTAAAAGTACAATATTACAGACTAAAAGCACAATATTCCAAACTAAATGTCATCTTTTCTTTCTTAAAATGTTAATCGGTTACTGAAGAATAAGTCATTTCAATACCTGTTTTGTTTTAATGATCTAATTTCTATCTTAAGAGTATTTTATGTTAATTATTAATAAGAAAAATGATTATTGACAGCTTTCTAGGGATTGAGAGAATTTAATTAGCATTATGTGTATATTTTTGTAGCGGTATTTATCCACTATATAAACCTGGATCCAACAATATGGGAGGTAGCTGTATACAAGTACAGATTAAAGTTCAACCACATAAGTCTAATCAGGTATGTAGCTGCATCAAACACAACCTGTCGATTTAACTAAATATGATTTGCTTTACATTCATAATTTAGATTTTCATAAAAATGAAAGTTAAAATATAACTGAATTTATGGGCGTAAATTGTTTATTTTGTTACTCTTGCTAATTTTTAAAAAAAATATTTGTAAATCATGTGCTCTGCAACACTAAACTTACATTTGTTCTTAACAGCAAAACGGGTCAGATGAAGAAGATATGAATGCACAAATATTGGACACGGATCAGGACTATGATTCTCAAGATAGTTTCCATCAATTAATGTCAGGTGTTGGATCAAGTCCAGATAAAAGAGTAAACCAGGATGGTCTAACGGATGAGAACAGTTTTATTGTCCATATTAGTATTGAACGTGCCATGCATTTACCTACTGTAACTCTTAAAGACAGGTAAAATAATTAGATTGAATATGAGCACATTTATTGTACTTTAAGACAATTTGAATACCAAATTCGATACATGATTTACTGTACAAGAGTACATTACAAGGCCAAAATAATGATAATTAATAAACCATCTCAATTTAACTACAGTAATAGATCTCTTTGACCTACTTTATTGCTGTCTTAAGAAAGGTGGGTCTTAAACTATATGTGCTATAGATTATAAGGTCTGCCATTGAGTCAAGTGGCATGGTTTTGATCCCACATTTGTACGTGACAAGGAGTAGTGTTGCATGCCTAATCTTTTGGCTAAAAACCCCTATGTGCAAGCAATTTGTTGAAATAAACTTTACCATATGTTAGTCCCGAAATACCTACTTTGTGTTGAGTGGACATTAAACATGAGATCTTACCTGCATCTTAGGCATTCATGCCACCTTTTCATTGTCATATACTCAGAGAAGATGTAAACATTTGTGCTCCAGGAACTAATGTGGTATTGGGGTGTATAGACCACAAGATGGCTTGGATTAATTATGACAATCAGAAAGGCTAATTAAAAACAGCCATCTTACATTTCACTCCATCCCAGAATTCCATCTAGGATCAAAGCCTTTTATTGATCAAGGGAAGTAACTCAGTTAACACAAAGAACTCAAGAAGGCTTTAGACCACTATTCCTTAATAATATGAATAAGTTGGTTTAGTAATGGAGTATATGACACTAAGGTTATGTATTTGTTTTATTTTAAACAGATCTGGAGAGATAGCACCATCAACATATGTATCATATCAGACATGTGAAGGTAGTCGACCTATCTGTACAGATATTGTTCCTACTTCTGTTAATCCTGTCTGGGATCACAATAAACAATCACGTCTACCAAATACATTCTTCCAGAAAAACACTAGTGTAAGTTATTTACATTCTACACCTATTCTTCACAGTAAATTTGTGTTTAATTTTTGGGGTTGTGTGGTGCGCTGAATCAGAAGGTCTGTCATTGAGTCAAGTGGCATGGTTTCAATTTCCCGCTTGTATGTGACAAGAAGTTGGGTTGCCTGTCCAACCTCGTGGTTTTTCTCCTGGTCCTCCAGTTTCCTTCACTGCTAAAGATGCCTACGAGCAAGTGAATTATTGAAATAAAATGGAACCATATGTAAGTCCCGAAATGACCTAGTTTGTGTCGAGTGGATGTTAAACCCCATTTCTCTCTCTCTTTGTCTGTGATATCGACGAGTGTCAGCTGATGTTAAATAAAACTATTCACTTCATCTGGACACTGGATTCTAAATTAAAACGTCCCAGGTTTGAATCTTAGCATTGACCAAAAAGCACTTTCAGGATTTCGAAAGCTTGGCTTCGAGGGTGGTGACTGCAGGGTTGACAAGAAAAGTTTGTCTAGTTCTTCAGAAATCTGTGAAGATGAGTCTGAAACCATATTACAGATGCAGAGTTCAGGTATATTGTATAGTTGTCAGGAAAAACTTGGTGGACAAATTCTGAATTCATTCCAAAATTTTCAGTCTTATTAATTATCTTTCTAAATAATGAATATTTTCCATTATTTTTTTTTTTATATAGAATTTGGTTTTCAAAGTTTGGCATAAGCCACAAGAAGCAGCTCGAAGTCCAGGTAAACAGTCTAATTTGGTTTAGTATCAGTGTAATTGTATTCATATTTTTGGTATAGTAGACAAAGTATAATAAGGTGTAATTATGTCTCTTATGTTTATAAGGGATCACGGTGGCTAAGTGGGTAAGACGCTGGCTCGTTAGCCTGGAGGTCGGGTGTTCGATCCCCGCATTGGTTGAGAAAGTTCATCCAGATTTTCCGGCATGGTTCTCCCTTGTCAGTGATGCAGGACGGAGGGCCTGACAAGGACAGCTTTCTAGTCGTTCGGAGCGGACGAAAAACCGAGGTCCCGTGTACACATTGGCGTGCACGTAAAAGAACCCTTGACAGTTGGAATTCGATATAAGAGTAGGCCGTAGTGCCGCTGTCCGGGCAAAATTTCCCTCATTAGCCAGGTTCGGAGCAGAACAGTAGGATGTTAAACCCCATTTCATTTCATTTCCTTATTAGAAATTCTCTCTCCATTGTAAACATAAGGTATCCCTACAAAATTAAAATTAATCATTAATTTATCTAGGTATTGTGTCCGTGAAACGTTCCATTTCACTTCATTCTAATATTTATTCTCTGTTTTAATTACAGATAAATCTAGTGATCGTGTTTTAGGGTTTGTATCAGTTGATTTATCTCCCCTGTCGTCAGGGTTACTACAGATCTGTGGCTGGTATAACATCCTGGACTTTAATGGTCAATGTCAAGGTCAGATGAAGGTTAGTTGATAGTTTCCCTGTGCATAAAAGAAAATGTGCTACACATTCACTGAATAATTTTTTGATAATAAATCTTTGGTTAATAAATTGAAATTGTGAGTAAAAAAAAATGTCCAGCTGAAAAAATTTTGAATTAAGAAACGTCGCTGCCAAATGACAGTGTGACCTCATTCTGTTAATTTAATTTTTTATTTAAGGTCAATATAACTCCAGAGACATCAGTTTCACCTCAACGAATAGCAGATGCTTCTTTCTACTCCTCACAGGTATGTACAATAAAATTATAGAGATCCATGCATAAACATCGGAATGTTTTAATCTCGGTTAACACTTATCAGGGTACAGCTTAGTCATTTGGATGGGGATATAAAATGAAAAACAAGGTCCAACCATTCACAGGTTGTTAGTTATAGAAAGACCTTGATAATTTTCAATGAAGTGTAGGCAGAAATGTAGCTATCTGAGCAAAATTCTCCTCCATCGTCCATCGTATAGACTCGACTAAACATTTTGCTGCTTGCAGCTTTTTTATGTGATAAATACTCCATAAACATTTTCGGGGGTATGATGGCCGAATGGTTAATATGTGCGCACTGTATCATAAGGTCTGTCATTAGTGTGGTTTCAATTCTCCGGTTGTGTGTTTTCTCCGGGTCCTCCAGTTTCCTCCCACTGCTAAAGACCCCTACGCACAAGCGAATTGTTGAAATAAAATTGAACCATGTATTAGTCCCAAAATGACCTAGTGTGTGTCGAGTGGACGTTAAACCCCATCTCTCTCTCTCTCTCTCTCTCTCTCGACTGAGTTCAATATTGAGATTAGCCGGTTGATTTGTTGGATATAAACCTTTGAATAATAGCGCCTAACAGGCAGCTGTGTTTAATTATGTTCTCCTGATTTTGATTGTTTTCTGTGTGTTTGAAGTATATGTTTGTGATATGCGCTTAGAAACACTTCACATGTAATGAAGCGCTATATAAATCGAACAATAATAATAATAATAATAAACATTTTCAGCATTGTAAATAAAGGGGAGATAATTTACCTTAGAAACAACCCTAAAAACATTTACTTGGTAAAGTAGATCTTAAGAAAGTATAGTTAACAGAAAATATTATGTTAAGTCTGTTTTTTGGGTGGGTTTTTTTTTTGCACAAATCTGACACGTTTCATGTTCTAATGATCCAAGCGTGGTTAAATGGACAATAAACCTCTCTAAATTTGAAACAGGAAGTGTTTATCTCCTAAATAAATCTGTTTTGTTTTATTTCAGATTAATTCTTCAGTGCCTTCAATCCCAACATTTACTGCATGGACGTCAACCTATAACAGTGCTACGCCAGATACGTCTTCCATTATTTCACAGCGCCACCTAGAGGGAATCCGTCGACATCATCAACAAATCAACGAACAATTACATCATCGCATAGCAACTAAAATGGACCAATCAGTGATGAGCCAGCAGAGAACAAACACAACTCAGCATTGGAATCCAAACTTCTCTTTAAAACTTGACGAAAATTCTTCAAAATCCTTTCTCTTCTCTTCTCTTAGGTAAGTCTTGGCAATTAATCTCTGATGGGTTTTGGTTGATATGGAAGAAAATTGATAATCATCCTATTTAAACATACATTATGCAAGAGCTAAATTTGCCTATTGCAGGTCTTTCTTTAGGCCTTAAATGTTTTCTAAACTATTAATTAGACATTAATTAACTTATCCAGGCCATAATCAACTCTCGTTGGCATCAGATTTCTCCGATATTAAATAGATTAGAAAAGTTCAGCCATATTTTGATTTAAGCTAAAAATCGAGGAGCTTACCGTGATTGAAATTATTGCACACGTCTTGTCAAACCTTCAAAGGCTAATATTTTCGCTTGCAATAGAGTAATGGAATCATGTTATGTAAAAACATCAAAATAGTACAAATCAGAAAATAATAAATTTAACCATAACTTTTTCTGAGAAATAAAAATTTAAATGTTGTTAATTGCCAATTAATTAATCCTCGATACAGTATGCGAAGATAAATTTAATAATAATTATATAATCTTTTCCCTTGTACAGACAACAACTGGAAGATCTTGACACTATTACAGAAAACTTCAAACATCGACTTAATCATCAGGACAGTCAGAGTTTACCTCTGGAAACAGAGACTCGCGTCACTTCACGGAATACAAAGTCTGGCTCCTCATTGGTTGATAGTCGAGAACATTATGATGTAACAAATACTGTGATTGATTCAAATAACGAATCTTCGCAAAGTGCTGTTGATTCGGGTGCATTTTCTGGTGATAATCTATGTCGTAAAAGTGAAGACGCAAATCAAACAAGAACTTCAAACCTTGTCACGTTCACAACGTCTGTGCCACAAAATACCTCAAATAACTTTAATGATGACATGGCTTCATGTGCTTCGATCAGGAATAATTTTAATAATTTAATTAATGCTCATCCAGTCTTAAACCAAAACGAGGCTGTGTTTGGTCTTCCTCCGCTTGCTTCTCGATATCAAGACACAACTTTCGATGCCGAGAACAGTACAGGTTTTATTCCAAAGACACATATCCCATCGGAAATGGATAATATTCATTCCAGTTCACTCACAGAGTCAAATAATGAAACGTGGAAAGGTACTTCTCATCGGGAAGATAGCAACTTTGTTGAGAAGAAGGCCGGAGATCGCTGGGAGAGTGGTGATGAGGAATCGGAGGAGGAGAAGTTTGGTAGTTATCATCGGTATCGTGAGATGCTGGATGACGAAGATGGTGCCGGATTTGAAGAAGATGATGGAGAGGAGGTCATCACTCCTAGAGCACCAAATGATTTCTCTGGGTTTTATGCCAAGAACCGAGAATCTGCTAATAACCAAGCAGAAGAAGATCTGAATCCAGCTGATATCTTAGCAGCTCAGTCATGGCCAATCAGATCGGCTCCATTAACCAGTCGAAACTCTGATACCTTTGGTCAAACAAGTGATGAAACTGGCCAATCAAATACTGTGATAGATATGAGAAAAAGTGATATTAGCCAATCGCATGAACAATATTTGCGAGAAGAAAGAGACGCGGAAGAAACTCCACAAAATTCTGTTTCTCGTGTGCCGTATTCTGGTGCTTATACTATCGATAGCTGGTTGTCGGATGATGGTAATGAGATCAACGAACACACAGATCAACACGAACACGATTTATTGGAAACCATCCAATCAGTGTCAGACACGGATCAACCAATCAATCATCTTCTCTCCAATGTGGAATTAATCGACACGTTAACATCAACGGCTGAGAAACCTCTCAATTTGGGATCAAGCACAGAAAAAAGGGTCTTCTCTAGAAACATGTTGTCGAGAGTGGAACTTGAATCAGTGGATTCCGGAACAACACACCATCCAGATTCCAGCAGCTCTAAAGCCTCAAGACAGTCATCTGCACAAAGTCGAGAGTCACGCAAAGTGGATCACATGACAGACCATCAGCCAATGAACCGTCAAACACATACCGATCCACATAAAGACGAGAGACCTCAATCAGAGAGCACACCACGGTCGAACCTAGAGTCACATGATATGTCACATGATGAAGGTGTCGTGACCTCTAGAACAGAGGACCTTGATTCATATTTTAATCAAGGTCAGAATCGACAGTTGATTTATTCCATGTCATCAGATGATTCTCATCCGTTCCAGTTCAGTGAAAGCTTAAAATTGGCAGGAAATTTATCTCCACTTAACAGCCATAGACTGGGTGATATGTCTACAGCAAGAAATATCGACGGATTTATCCAGACTGAAGTTCACAGTGATCGCACAACAGACAGCGGATTGGAATCTGCAACAAAATCGTCTCAAGATGAGAAAGAGACATTTTCTATGCTTGACTCAACGCTAGTGGAAAAATCAAACCTACCCAACTTTTTCCCGGGTATGGGAGAACTACAGGCGTCGATGAAAGCTTTACAGATGGCAACATCGGCTGCCACCTATGTTACAAAATCGGATAAAGTAAGTAATTATTGATTATTTGACTTAAATATGCATTATGTAAGAGTTAAATATGCCTATTGCAGGTATTTCTTTGGGCCTTAAATATTATATAAAATATTAATTAGACATTAATTAACTTATCCAGACCATAATCAACTTTCGATGGCATTGGATACTCAAGATTTTAAGTAGATTAGAAAGGTTCGTCATTTAAAAATTTAATTTAAAAATGGGAAAGTGAGGCTAAGTCTTAAATATACCAGTGCCCTGGTTACCACAATGCATACATCTTGTCAAAACTACAAACAGTGAAAACTTGGCTCAGGATAGAGTAGTTTGAATGAAATTTTCAATATTTTCATTTTGCATTATCTATTTATAGCTAGAATGATTAGCTCTTTATCTAAACCTTACATAATGCATCTTTAAAGGCTCAATACCACTGTTGTTGTAACTGAATAATATGTCCCAATCTTTATTCTGGTCAACAAATTGTACTATTTTACAATATTTCAATTAATTGATGATACTAATTTAAAAAGTTGGAAAAATTCAACTAGATGATTTGAAAAGCCTGACGTAAAGCTTTTCAAATGTGACTTGGATTTAAAAATACTTTTGAACCCTCTGGACAAGTAAAATAGGATTTAATGGATAATTTACACAACAGGTAAGACACTAACACATCTAGTACTTAGAATAAGGCTATTTTTTATTTTCTGGAGCTGTCAAGCCAGCAAGAGTGTTATTGTCCCTTTAATGGAGCCACAGTTGTTCAGTGGCTATGCCACTGGCTTACTACCGTTGTTGATCGTCAGTGGTGCAGGAAAGGAGCTGGGAAAGGAATTAGCATCTAGTTGTCTTCATTTGGTCATAATTAATCATGAAAATCACTGATATTGAGTTCAATTACTAAATGCCATTGAAACAGTTTAGAAACCCCTACTCTGTGACTGTCTTTCATAAAGATGGCTGGTTATATATATATACATATATTTTTTCTATCAGTTTCGAAATGAATGAATTAATGTTTATTTCAGTTGACACCAAGATCAGCTAATAAAGCTCAGGCTGCATCAGAATTAGCTGCCAGATTAGCTACAAAAAACAAATCAAAGACAATTAGTGCCAAAGGGAGACAATTACCAACAGCAGATGAGGCCAAACGGATTGCAAAAATATTTTCAGCAAAATTGAGCTAAATCCAAATCAACAATTAGAGTGATTGTGTTGTCTTAGGACAGTATTTTTGTTCATTGTTTTCACCTATAGAATGTTGGAGTTAATGTGAATTCTAATAATTTAAAAGTTAGATTTTCATTTCAATAAACTCACCTCTGTTTAGAAGTTTAATATTTCTGTAGAGTCGTAACATCCCAAGTAGATTAAATCACTAGAACTATATTCACAAATACTAATATAATATTAACATAATCTTTAAGTGGCATTTAGTGATTGGGGTACACAATAACAGAACACAATTTTTATGGGAAACAATGTGCTTGATAACGATAAGAGGATACTTGTCGAAACGTTGTGCCATTAGAATAAAACCAGTGATTGTTTCCCATAAAAATTGTGTTCTGTTAATATTAACATGGTCCTGTTGCTCTCAACTCTGAAAGACGTTCTGTAATAAAATGTCACTTTGACAATCTAAAATGTTACTGGTAGGGTTGGGCAAAATACTGGTCTTTCGGTATACATGTATCTTGATAAAATCGTCGGCGATTTTAGTATATTGGACTAATTTAAAAATATCTAAAAATCTGTATATCGTGATGCCCCAAATTATCGCGATATGATAATTATCGTGTCCCAATATTGATGATAATACATATGCTATATCATCTCCTATGATATTCTATTGATAGAATTAAATTCATCAGTAAAAATAGCTGGTCTAGGGTAAATCTCCATCATGGATCTAGCGACGTTAACAACAATAATTTGACATCAAGCCAACAATTTTCGGCCCAAGTATTCAAAATTTAACTATCACAATATTATTTTTTTCATTATTGCCCAACCCTAGTTAATGGGTAGAATTTGTGAATATGAATTTACACAGTGTAATTTTTCTTTGTGATGGGTTCCATGTGTAGAATGTAAAAACACAAAGACCTGTTAAATGGAATACAATAATTGGCGTGATGCTTCAACAAGTGTTTTCTTAACGTTTTCAACAACCACCCCCAACAATAACAGAACTTTTGCTGAAATGTTGCCCCATACACAGTATGTTTGATTAATCAGTGATTGTATTCCATATAAATGGTTTGTTTTTATAATGTGATAAAATTTCACTCATGGACTATATGGAATATGCAATACATGATATGAAATAGGGCGTAATGCACTGTACATAGATATACACTAAAGCAAAATACACATTATACATTTTTTATTATCACAGAATTTTGTATATTATTTGAATACAGAATTCTAAATGTAACAAACCAGCGGCTTTATGTATTTAAAGGATGGGGCCTTTTCATTGGTTAAAAGTTCAAATCCTAGTACAAATTTTAGCTCCTGACCAATGGAAATGCTACATTCTTTAATATTTTGGGTAAAGTTTTTGTGAATAAGACTCCTGTATTTATATGTATTTTGTAGTCTTGTGAAAGAATTGACAAGTGCCCTATATTTTGTTGCCTTCTTTATTCATATTGCCTTTGATTTTATTAACTAGTTTATCTCTAGTTAATTACGATATAAAACCAAATAACCATGTAGACAAACATAGTACAGTTTATCTGCCTTCATTTAATTTAATTATTAGTAAAATTACTTTTGTATTTGATTTTCTTTGATCAGTAATATTTATTTCTTTGCTCAATTAAATATGAATTGTTAATTTTATTTGCTACATGCAGTAGACTAATCTATTCATTGTTCAACAATCATCAATATATTTAACTTACCGTGTATTTCAACGTTATAACCGTCCTGGTCCTTAATAAATATTCAATAAAAGAGGGTACATATTGTTACAGAGATTTCTAGATGTATCTGGCTGGTTTACCTATTGTAATCCATGAAATCTGATACTGGCCGAAAAAAGGTACTCAAGATTTTCCAGTCTGCTTTCCCTTTGTTAGTGGTGTAGTACGGAAAACCACCTAGTTGTTTGGATGGGACAAAAAACTGTAATTCACCTCTGCACTCATTGTTGTACATGGAAATTAAGGAAGAAAACCCTGCTGGTGGGTGTTTATTGGAATTTGGGCTGTTATTATGATGTAATATATAATGGGAATCACAAATAATTATCAATGTGTATAAGGGGGAAGTAGAAAGTATAATAATTAGTGTTTTTATATCTTCAACTATTATAATATGCCACTAAAATATCTTATAACCGAAATGTGTTATTTTATCCGTCCAGTAGTATAACATTAAACTAGTTCAATGTTATTTATAACAGAGTTATAAGATGTAATTAGTTTATTATATATACACACCCAACACTATGCATGTATGATTACAACTCTGACCGCCCATGACATAAGTCAAATTTTTTAATGCTAGAAAATTTATGGATTTTTGATAGAAAGTCGATTTTTTAATTTGGACTGTTCGCACACCCCTAAGGTGGGCACTAATGATTGTTAAGAGTGATCTCATTTTGATTCTATATTTGATTTAATTCTGTATTATAGAATGTTTATATTTAGTTATTAATCACATGATATCAATAGCCTAAATAACAGAGATATAAATTAATCATAGACAATTAGAACTGTTTATGTAATAAGCATTACTCTTATCTTCTGTTGAATTATTTAAAAATAAATCTATACAATGAAGAGATGAGTATATTTTTTCTAAATGATCTGAAAGTGATGCAAGAATTCTCAATTATTTCTGTCTTTATAGTATTAGTTTATTTATTTATTAAAAATTTGATAAATTAAATGAAAAATGATGATGTCCCACAATCGAGGAAATCCCACAAGAGTCACACAAACATGTACATGGTGAAAGTGATTTAGATTCCATGCTAACCACCTGTTTTAAAGACAGGGATTCCACTCCATAAAGTATGCATGGAACCCACTGTGGAATGGAACTCACAATATGTTATTGCCCCCATTGTCCATTCACTTGGAAGATATTGTCATGTATATAATTGTAGGCTGTAATGTTTTGTAATTGTTGTATATTGTAATGTATTGTATATTATGTATAATTATAACCAGTAAATATTGTATATTATAATCTCTTATTCAACTGTGATATCTCATTTTATTCTTCAACTAACAGAAATACAGAACATTGAGAATGGTTTCCATCTGGCAAAATTAGTAGCAATTTAAATTTTAGCTCAAATAATCATCCTAATCCTAATGGCCTAAATTTTGCTTCATTAGCTTTGTTACAGGATTCAGATATATTAAATTACCTACAATTGTTTCAGGAAGTTAATGGAAATTCTGGTAAATTAGAGCGCTAGTATTTTTTTCAATCATTTTACACAGCTCTGGACCTAGTATTTTGTATTGGAATGTTTTACCAATATAGAATATTTTTGGAGCATGCTAAATTTTGATAGAAATTCTTTTGTGGTGGGTTGGTTCATCATTGTATCACCAAATATCTCATTATGTATTTACTTCATTTATTATTCATATAACCTCAGGTCACAGGTCATAGTTCACTAGGATTGTAGGCAGTAGTTATAATAAATTAATTAATTAATTAATATTGTTTGCATACTTTGTTTTAATTAAAATACACCGTTAAATTTATGTACATTGATGCTCACTTAACTCATGGGCCTTATTCAAAAAGCTGATACTTAAACTAAAATATTTTTATTAGCCAAAAGCTAAAATTTATGGAGAAACTAGATCCACCACGGTCCTGCACCTGAAGATTTCGTCAGTCTTCAGATGTAAACATGGTTAGCGCTAACCCTAACCCTAACCCTGGACTAAGCTTAACCCTTACCTTAACATATGATGTCATATCTGCAAGACGGTCTCAGATCTAGTGTTCTCCAAAATTAAGGGCTTAGCTAATTAATATAAATATTGTGGAGATATTTTAGTCTAGTATTCACGAATAACACCCCTGGACATAGTTAAAAAGGACACCGTTTGTTTTATTTGCCTTAGACCAAAGTCGCAGTAATTTCTGGTTGTATTTTGGTTCATCCAGTGCCATTTAGAATAATTCCATGCTAAAAAATCTTGCTTTGGGCTATATTTTACTGAAAAGTAATTGCCATGTTAAAATTTCGTTTGTACATTTCAATTAACATTAATTGCTGTGGTGGGGAAACATATATTTTGTAAGATGCAGAGATTTCTTTATGTTTGACCAACATTTTATTCCAATGGCATTATTCTTGAAAAAAATTTTTAAAAGAAGGTCCGTCTAGGAATGTCTATTGTGGCATAGTTTAATGTAACTAATTCCAACAAATATCATTTTGGCTACAATAAATTCTTATTTCTATAAATCTCACCACCCCCAAAGTGCATGAACATTCAGATATCCGTAATTTATTAAACCATGTGTAGATATATAAGAAATCTTATAAAAACACAGATCCTATTTCGTTTCGTTTTTTATAGTTCAAAATTTCGTTTTACTTATATTACCGGCGTTTTGGTTGAAGTGAGGGTTAAGCCAATGAAACGGTCTGTTACGACGACTTCTTGGCGTGCCATGCACGGAACTGTGTGTAAACCACTAGAAATGTCAACGCTGATTGATTAATCAATGTCCGACGTCATACGATCAAAAGCCGCTCGTACGACCCCTGACACGACCTTCGAGTACAACCTGTCAGATCTTCATGTAGTGTAGGCCATCGAAAGTATAAAAAAACGAAACGAAATATAGATCTGTATTTTAATCCGATTGATATATAAGATGAATCCCGTTACCTCGAACTAAAAGGGTCGACATGAAATAGTCGAGATAAACAAGGCTGGGGTCATCCAAACTATCGGCTGTGAGAGTTGCCATTTTAAATTATATTAAGTACTGTAGATTATATTTGTTGTGTACAGTTAGCTGTATTTATTATTTAATATGAAACATATTTTTTGTATGTACAACTTTTCTTAAAGTGAAATAAAACGTAAAATTATATGATTACTAGTATGTTGTAGAGAAAAAATCCAGTGTTTTGTGTTTGGAAACAATTGGTTGTCATGCAAAATACGCCCACATTTTGAAAGAGATGGACAGAGAACAAGCGAAAAAAAAACAAATTTTCCTGCAAAGTTGGCATAATCCTGGGGCCTGTTTCACGAAATTTTAACTAAGATAAAATCCAAATTTTAGTAATTTGATTGGATAATATTGGGTTGATTTTAGTGCTTAGCCAATCAAAATTGAAGTATCTACTAAAATTTGGATTTTATCTTTAGCTAAGATTTCGAGAAACTGGGCCCAGGATGTTACGGGCTGGCATGCGTTAATATCAAAAGGACCCTCGGCCTGTATTTATGTTGATATTTGCAATAAAGAATTCATTTCCCCTAATCCAAAAATAGATAAATCTATCAGTGGCTGGAATATGTGTTGAATGAAAAGTGAATATCACCTGACCACCCAGCCCCTATATTGAAAGAGGACGGATGCTTGTACTCATTTTATTTTAAAGGTTGATTATACATATATGGTTCTACTTGATTAGACATGAAGTGACCTGGGTATTAATCACAGGGGGGTTATAATTGTTATCTCTGAATTATTAAAATGCAATTCAATTGAGATAATATATTGTGATACGATCATGACGTCAGGTATAGTATAGATGTATCTATTGTTGGAGCATATAACAACTACAGAAAAGTATTTTGTGTTTTTAAAGAGGGTATGGCTCTATTCTAGACGAAAATGGTTCTAAAAGCATATGTTAATATAAAGTGATTTATACTCAATTTTTATACGCCCACGTTGAAATGTGGTCGTATATTTTCGTCGCCCTGTCCGTCCGTCCGACGTCCACGAGGCTAAAGTTAATATCCGATTAACTTTAAATTTATACTCAGTGTTTAAGGTCACGAGAAGAAGAAGCCTATTGATTTTTACCGATTTCCGATAATTAATGACAGACTTATGGCCCTTGATCATTTTGAAAAATCTTGTGGACGCTCTAGAGGCTAAAGTTAAAGGAGCTAAATCGCTAATATTTTGGACCTATACACACGTACTTAATGATCGTGGGTATAGTTATATGTAAAAAAAAACAGTGATATTTTGGTCAAATTATAATCATTGTCAAAATAGTCATCAAATTCTGGCTGTTTATTGACCTATGGTTGTTAGACCAAATAAGGTAATATCTATCTCTGTTAGTGGTGGGAAATAAACAAGTTTATTACGTATTTTCAATGGAAAAGTACCAAGGACCTGCCGAAATGAGACAGGTATAAATTGAAGGGTTAAAGTGAGTTTTAACTAGACTTTCACCAGGCTATTCCAAGAAGCCATTATCTATTTGAGAACGAGGAACCTGGAAAGTTATTCAAGTTTACCAATAAAGTTGTGAACTATTATTGCTGTAGTATTATTTACGATCACGAGGAAACACAACAAATAAAGAAGTCCATAGTACTACAGTAGCTGCTGTGGGCGTATGTTTCGTTGCCTGGCAACCTATCTTTTAAAAACAATATTGCAATTTCTAATCAATTATTTTCGATGAAATACGTGAACAGTTCTGTCTGTCTGTCCATCACACTTTTTGGGACACAATAACTCTCCTTCTAATTGAGCTAGAATGTTCAAACTTGGTATAGGTGTTTATTAGGTCAATGCCTTGATGGAGTGTGAAGATAAGTATTTTCTGCTTAGGGTAAGCAAAGATAAGCAATTTGATTGGTTGATGCTTTGGGACACGATAACTTTAGTTCCAATTAAGTGAGAGTGATGAAACTTGGTGTATAGTTTCATTACATCAATACCTTGACTAAGTTCGATGATGAGCATTTTCTGCTCAGGGTAAGCAGAGCGATAAGCAATTTGATTGGCCGAGACTTTGGAACACAATAACCCTCCTTCTAATTGAGCTAGAATGTTCAAACTTGGTATAGGTCAGGTGTTTAAGAGGTCAATGCCTTGATGGCGTTCGAAGATTAGCATTTTCTGCTGAGGGTAAACAGAGATGAGCAATTTGATTGGTCGATGCTTTGGAACACGATAACTTTAGTTCTAATTAAGTGAGGGTGATGATAAGGTTGTTACATTTGTTGCAACTACATCGTCACAGTTAGAGAGCTCAATAGAGTGTGCTCTAGCATGTCAACTAAATCATTCCTGTGTTTCGTACGTCTGTCATCCAGGAAGAGCTCAGTGTCATCTTTACGACAAAGTTATTCACCGAGCAGACGCCACGGATATTGACGTAGGCATCCAAACATTTACTTCTGAATTTGTTAAGTTCCACTTCCTCGTGCAGCTTGCTAACTTAATTATCCCTTGCAGACGGCCATAATCACTAATTTTCTTTAACAATTCTGGCCAAGTTTTATCATCACTAGTGCTACCGTACCACCCATACCCACCCATCCACTCCCACACTTCTCATGTGGCTCTTCCAATCAAAGATAACTCTAGTAGTTTTGTCATCACTAATCTTTCTCAAGTCACTCTGGTATCTGTTACACTCACTGTAAGGTTTGCTCCCAGCTCTGGTACCTGTTATACTACAAGGTTTCTTCTCAAATCGCTCTGGTATCTGTTATACTGCAAGGTTTGTTCCCATGTCCCATGTCGCCCTGGTCTGTTCCCAGCTCTGGTATCTGTTATACTGCAAGGTTTGTTCCCATGTCGCTCTGGTTTGTTCCCAGCTCTGGCATCTGTTATACTGTAAGGTCTGTTCTCCTGTTGCTCTGATATCTGTTACACTGTAAGTTTTGTTCTCATGTTGCTCAGGTATCTGTTACTCTGTAAGTTTGTTCGCATGTTGCTCTGGTATACTGCAAGGTTTGTTCTCATGTCGCTCTGGTCGATCAGTTCCCGGCTCTTTTATTGGATTATTTTTTAAATATTCATTCACTAACATAAAAACGTTTCATCGAATTAGCACTGTTTACGATATTATCATCATCATTTTATTTGTCATTTCTCTATAAAGTTTCTATGGCATATTCATCATTATTTATCCTTATTTAGAGTTCTTGTAATACCACGGTTACCCAACTAATCAGGACTGTCGCTACAGCTTTTTTCGGGTTTTGGGGGGGTTTTAATTACGATTCAAAAACGGCTCGGGGCGTGGACCGATTATTTGGAAAATTTAACTACTGTTAACTAAGGTCGGGTGTTCGATCCTTGCATTGGCCGAGAAAGTTCATCCAGATTTTCGGGCGTGGTTCCCCCTTTGTCAGTGATGCAGGACGGAGAGCCTGACAAGAAAAGCTGTCTAGTCGTTCCGATGGGACAAAAAACCGAGGTCCCGTGTACACATTGGTGTGCAGGTAAAAGATCCCTTGACAGTTGGATTCGATATAAGAGTATGCCGTAGTGCCGCTGTCCGGGCAAAATTTCCCTCATAGCACATTGTATGGCGTATGCCCATCTTCATTAGCCCAGTTCGGAGCAGAACAGTAGGACGTTAAACCCCATTTCATTTCATTTACCTATATTATTATCTGAAAGGGTACAATCAAAAACTATATTGGTGTATATATCAAGAGCTCGAATGAATTTATTTCGCTGGGTCCACTCGGGGTTCTTTCTTTTCTTATATCTCTTTGTCGGGAATTTCGGAAATATTATTTCGGAAACGAATGAATTATTATAATCTGTGACAATTTCGCATTACAATTGACGATAATATCGCTTTACATAAACCTACTGTCCAAAGTTCAACTTGGGGTGGAAACATATCATCACGGGGTGTGGATGGAGACAAAACCAAAAATTTACATGCTGAAGCTAACGCCTGGTGGTGTGAGAATCTTAATGCAATGACATAAGTAAGTAGGATTAATTAAACAAGATTTAACTCACAGAATACCATGATATAAACATACATTATGATCAATATACATGTATATAAATTACATATATTATAATGCGATTACAGAAAGAATATAATCAAGTGTTAGCTAGAATCAGGGCCGAGAAAAGGGACGAAACTCGACTGCTTAGTTTTAAAAATTCATTACTTAAAAATCTTTGATTTCTATTGTTACCTGTACATGGGCGTCACACATGGGGGAGTCCGGGGGGTCCGACCCCCCCCCCCCCCAATTGTTTTTCGGGGGGGGGGGGTGTCTGAATATACTTGGACCCTCCCAAAAATTTACATAGTAGGCCCAAACCCCTATTTATTTACAACAATTATTAGGATTAGTTAAGATTCTATCTGTATAAAACCTGTACATATCCCAATATGGTTTATACTGCTAAAATAAAACACACCCTGGAAACATGTGTGAAGAGAAAAGTACCTGTGTTCCGTAAAATTGTGTCTAGTTTGCCTGTCAGTAATATTTTGTTATTTTATTTTCTGCCACTTATCAGAGTGAATCGCATTATGTAGGTACCCAAAAACATAACCGCCTAAACCAAATATTTATCGCCCGCTCAGCCAGCAACGTAACCATAATGCTTTTGCACGCGGTGTCTTGGTAGACAGCATGGCCACATGGTGTTTGTTTATATTTTTTAGGGGTTTTAAAAAATGGGTTAGGGTTAGGGTTTAGGGTTGCAGACCCCCCCCCCCCCCAATATATATGTCACGGCTACGCCTCTGTACCTGTAACCGATGTTCTGGTTGTACGTCTGCTGTTAGGGGGTTTGGCATATTCCTGAAGCAATTGCCAGAGAAATCCTAGTAGATTTTGGCTGTGCACCCTGTTTTTCTTGTTGTAATTTTATATTCTTTTCTAAATACCGGAAATAATAAAACAAAAGTTAAGGTATCGGGAACTGGAGTATATTCTAAAACGTACTAATTGAGATCAGAATTATATATGATTACCGTCAATGTCCATGTGTAAAATGAACATTGGTTCTTTATTCTTTTTATTATTGATTCTTTCTTGTAGTTACAGCAGAACAACTCAGAATTAGAGGATTTGGGATATGGCTAGCAGCAACTCAGGTTTCAATGCGGCAACACTGTGTCCCAG